CCGGATTGCTGGCCAACAACTCTGGGGCCTCTCTTCCTGGCCATGACTTGGCCAACAACAATGTTCTCACACAGCACACGTATTATGCAGGAAGCTGTAACTGGAGAAAAAACTGCTTATCATGTGCTCCATTTGGTTATTGATATCTGTTGTTGTTATTGTCATTGTTGTTGTTGTTGTTGTTGCTGTCATGTGTTGCATGCGGCGAGTGGCAGCTGTTGACGGAAGCTCTTTGGCTTGTATTGAGGATTTTGCCAGTTTAGGCCCTGTCGCTGCGCCTTTACCGTTATGTCTTGTATGTTTTCGGACTTTTATGCTGATTTTAACCCATTTTTAACCCATGGCACGCAACACGAGGCAGCCAGCCAGCCAGCTTGGCTGACCCAATTGCCAGGGCTGTGTCTGATCGAAAGTTTCGCCTCGGGCGCAGCTTGGGCGAAAACAAACATACACACACACACACACACACGTACAGCTAATCAAAAATTCATTAATTTTATTTTGGCTCATATGATTTTTAGCATAATATAATCCGATTTCTATAGCTATCTCAATCTGACAACCGGTTTGGCCATTTCGCTTGTTTCTCTAATTAAACCCAAACTTTGCTCACTTTTTAAATCATTTCTCTATCTCTCTCTATTGTCTCTTTGCAGCTGCCACAATGAAGTCAAGCACTCAAATTCTGTGCACCGCGCTGCACTTAATCGTAAGTATTATAGAAAATATGATATTTTTTACTTGGCCTCATTCCGAGGCGCTGTGAAATGAAAAATTGGCTAAGCACACATCAATCAGCAGAGGCCACAGCTCCAGCTGGAGCCTGGGCTGTGAATGACAATTGCATGGCCTGGCGATTAACCTGAATTTCTCCGTGCTCCTGCTGCCGCCCGTATGCTAAAATCGATGCCGTGTTGTGCCAAGTTGCCAAAAGTAGCACAGCCCCAGCTGCCAGCTTCATGGCTAGATTCTAAGCCGCCTCGAGTCGGGTCCCAGCTTGGGTTTCAACTCTAACCTGGCGCGAGCTGCTGCTGGCGAAAGTTTTTTTTTTTTTTTATTATTATTTTTCGGCTGCCTCTAGAATCGTGAGAATGTTGCCCATCTCCCTCTAACCCAGCACGAACTGCAACCAAAAATCTTGGCGCATTTCTTTGCATTTCCATTTTAATTAAAGGAGCTTAGCTCGCCTGCAGACTTGCCGAGATAAGTCTGGCATTAATGTCGGCTCGATCGTGATTTATGTCAACAGCTTTATGGCAACCGGCCACTGTTATGGCCATGGCCCTCTCACAGCCAGTTGCTAATGATCATTTTCCCATCCACTTTCTTTGCAGACAATCGCAGCTCTAACGACACACGGCGCACAGATACCAACGCCAGAGAGTAAGTACATTTATCATATATATTGTCTAAGTCAATTCCAATTTAACATGCCATTCAAGTTGCTAATTTAAATCAAGGAAAAATTCGTTAAAAGCTACAAGCCAGCAGATTGACCCACTCACTCGAACAGAATTCCAAGCTAGTTTATCTTAGCTGATAGCTTAGCTAGGTTTAAAGTTATTTGGTTAATCAAATATCTTTAAGTTTTCACGGCTGCAACTCTGAAATAATAAAAAGTCGTCGAATACAATTTATAACAACAAAAGTTGGTTTGGAAAACGCTTTCCACATTCTTAGCCGAGCTCTCGTTCACTTTGGCTTGGCTTGAAAACAAGAAACCAATTCCTTATAATTATTATTGTAATATCATTTCTATTTTTATATATTTATATCAAGGAATTGTTAAATCAAGGAATAATGTTTTTTATCAACTTGTAAAGAACAAAAAAGTTCATTAAAAGAGTCGTCTTCAAAAATGTAGCTGAGCAAGTCACAAAGCGATTTTCAGGTTTCGAGTCTAGTCTGAAAAAACAGGCCTTAGTAGCAAATGATGATTTTTGACTAATAGTCTTTTTGTATACAATCGACAACCAAAGACTGGTGGGCGTGACCAAAAGTCGTATATGACCTCATGAGTACGCATAATCACATGTAAAGCTTGAAGTCTATAGTTGGAGCATAATTAAATTGCTCACGCTGAAAAAATGTGGTACTAGTAAATACAACATTAAAATATTACATTTTTGGGGCTCAAATTACGTTTAATTTACTAACGAATTGGTAGTAAAAGATTATTAAGGTTAAACTAGCTTATTCCCAATTAAGTTGGTTATCTAAAAATACGCTCATACGCTTAAGTTTAGGCCAAGAGACTACTCGCCCCATTAGAAACTCTTAGCCAGAAACATTGATCCAGCTAGAATTAAGACATGTTTCAGTTTTCCTTGCTAAAGTTGTCGTTGGCCTATTGCCATTTGGAAGCCCGTGCCAATCCTCAAGAGGGAATTCGACTGCTGTCAACAGTTGCTTGTCCTGCTGATAAATCTCTAAAGCTAAAAAAAAGTGAAGGTGTCTCTGGCTCTGACGGCAACAACAACTGGAAACAAACAAAGAGAAGCTGGGCTCGTAATATGTTGTGCCGCAGCCAAATAAACGCCAGATGGCAAACAAAAGTCAATTCATGTCGCATTTAGCTGTCTTATTAAAAAGCGATGACATCCAACTTGAAAGACTTGCATATTGCGGCACACTTCCTCTTGGCCAATCTCTGGCTCTGACTAGTCGGGCGAAGGGCGTGCACAGCATTTTATGGGCTCGAGTATATAGATTAAATTGCGCCAATATTCGGGCCCAGTTTCGTGCAGCGTCTGCAGATAGGTCAGGAACTGTTCGTAGGTAAAGAACTGACGCTGGCTGCACTTGAGATCATGATGGTAGGGACACTTATCGTCATAGAGCCAGCGCCTTTGCTCCGGCACCACGTACTCAGGCAGCTGGAAGGGTAAAGTCTGTTGCGGATCCTTGCAGTAGAGCTCCGCCGAGGCATAGCTAAGAGTTTGAAAGAGGGAGTAACAGAGAGTTGGCATAATATTTGAGGCTTACACAAAGGCCTTGTTGATCAGCTCCTGGACCTGCGGGCACTTGGTGATGTAGTCCATGACACGTGTGCTGTGCTCCTTCTGCAGAAAGCGTAAGAACACGGGCGAGAGCAAACCGAACCGAACGCAGCCCATAAGCTGGGGAACATGTGTGCGGCGTTTGGGCCATTTGTAGCTAAGCCAACGCAGTGCCGAATAGAAGATCTGCAGGAGAAGCAGCTGCATTGGGTGGCAATAGAATACTCGAACTCACCTCAATCTCGCTATTGACGCCCACACTGTGGCTGCTGAGCAGCCGGCAGACATAGCTGGCATCCATCTCGGCGAACTCGAGCGAGGCGACAAGTGTCAGAAAGAAGCGACTGATGCGCGAGAAGCACAGGAAATCAAAGGTGGCCATGTCCACATAGTTCATGTCCGGCAACAATGTGAACGCCTCGTTCTCGTTCTTGATAATGTCCAGCGTATTCCACACGGCATCAATTAGCTCTGTGATGGCCAGAAATTTGGCCGAGCTATAGATCTCCAGGAGACAGCGATTGCTGAAGCGCTTCCGCGGCGGCGGCTCATCGTGCAGCATCCAATTGTAGATGATGTGAAATGCCTGCGCGGTCACCTTGTGCGTCGGCAGGCGAATCACATAGGTCTGCTCCATTTTGCAGCGCTGAAAGTACGGCGAGTACACCTGCAGCACGCACAGATGGCAGTAGAACTTGTAATCCCCGATATATACCTTCACGTCCCAATTATTCCCGTCCAGCAATAGCTGGAGGAGCCTTTCGCCAATATGGGGTCTGCCCGGCTGCTGCTCGTTGCCATTGTTCATTTCCGCTTTCAGGTCAATCTTGTCCATCAGGCTGTACGTTTCGTCGAGCGGCACTACGAGCAGCTGCTCCTCGGATTGTGTCAAGGGTCTACTAAGGAGTTAAAAAGATAAGTTATTTGTATATACAAATACGCATATATCTTACCTTTCCATCTGGGATCTGTAGCTTTTGACTGAGGAGCCTTCCTTGCTGTCTTCGTTGAGCTCCTGCTGCAGGAATTTTAAAAAGGCTTTACTTTCGAAAAGATATTCATGTGGCTTACCTTTTCATACCATACAAGAGGCAGTCCTAGCTGAGGATCGAAAAGGGAGAAGAATAAGTATTAGCAAGAAGATTAAATATCCATGGCATATACAAGATGACTACATTTTACCATGGTAGCTACATGATAAACTATTTCGACTTGTATAAATCATAGACAAAAAGTATTTTTTATGCAAAAATTCTGTTATCGCCCGAACGTGCCTATGGCAGCTATATGATATGGTTACCTGATTTGGATAGCTTCTTTACATTTTTTGCTCAATCAAGACAACGTTTAGATAAATAAATATAATTTTAAAAATGTACAAGCTTTGCGCTTTAAGCATTTGGGAATTGCAAATGCAATTGATTATGTTTTGATTATCTCCGTATACTGCCTACCTTCTCATCTAAATCAGATGAAGCACTCGCTTCTTTATTATCGAAAGTCGGTGCTGATGTCGGATTGGAATTTATTTGGCTAACAGTCTCATCCCCCAGCTCCGTCTTTGTGTCTGTGTAAGTTCTGGTGCTATCGGAACTCTTTTCCTCAAGTTGTGCGCCCGACTTCAGCCTGTGCGAGTTATCCAACGATTGCTTCCGCTGTTCAGCAGCAGACAAATCGCTTTGTCCATCCCACAAAATTTCCAGCCTTGGTGTTGCAGACGTCTCTGTCGTAAATGACTTCTCCAGATTTGAGGGTGTGCATCGAGCCGTATCGTCCGAGCTTTCTGTATCGCTAAGACCTTCGCTAAGGTCCTTGATTATGAAAGAATCTTCCATTTTAAAACTTTTAATTTTATAGTTTAAAACATAAAAATCAAATGTGTAGAAAATATGATAAAATAGTTTTTTGAGTGGATGAAAAAATGAACTGATGTTAATTTTTAAAAAGCTTCCTATATAGTTAAGCCAGATTTTACGATGAGCCTTACCTGGCTGGAAGAGTTTGAACCTTCTCTAGAATAGATTTAGCTTAGAGAGCTGCTCCATTTGATGATGCAGTTGTGCATTTTACAAAATTATACATAATAGAAAGCCATTAAACATTTTATGTGCCAGCCCAGGCAACGACGACAGCGACAACAACTTGGAGCTTTGGGGCAACCGACTAAGAGGAAAATAGAGAAAAAAAAAAAACCAAAACCGGCTCCAAGTTGCATGCAATTCCTTTGCCCAGCAGCACATGCTGTAGAATAGGAATAGAAGCAAAGCAACTGATGCGAATTGCTCGAAGGTTCGTTGAACTAAACCAAAGCAACACGCCATCTCCAGAGCCCACTCCATTTAAGCCGGGTCCATAACGTGGACGTGCGAGGCGAGCACACGCCGTGTCTGGGCCACAAAAGAAGTGCAAAAAACGTATAGGAATCTGCCTGGAATGAACCGCAGAGCGGGCAATCGCACGCGAGGTGTTGTGCTGCATATGGTATACATATATATACATATATAGCGACTATATAACCCTGCAACACGTAGCTCACCTGGATTCTGGGCACTGCAATTACTTTGCGATGCCAAACCACAAGATGTGGCTGTCGCTGCGACTGTGACTCCAGCTTAAGGTTCTGACTGTTCTGTGGCGCAAGTTCAAGGAACTGGCATCTCTCTAATGCCAGCTGCTGCGCGCATTCAATGGCTTTTCAATGTCATTAACTTGGCCAGGTTTTCATGTTTGTCGCAGCATTTGCTTCCGCAGTTGCCAGTTGCCAGCTGCCGTCGCAGTCGCAGTTGCTGCAGCTTCAGCTACAGCTTCGGCTGCTGCTCCCAGGGGCGTCTTTTTTTCTGCCATTGTCTTGGTTGCCATCGCAAGCTGTCTTTTTTATACCTATTAAAAATGGTTTAGAAAGGGCATATTAGTTGTGTCCGGGTGCGATCCAATTATGAACCGATCCTTTTCGATAAAAATCGATCTTACCTAATATTGAAAAATATCGATTTTCTTATTATCGATAAGTATTAAGATGGATCTCAGTTTTTAAACAAACTTCATTCAATTTACACAAAATTTTTTCTCTCACATATGACATTTTGATATGCTTGCACCCAAAATACGTAAACGCAAGAAAATCGATTTTTACTTATTATCGATCAATATCGATTTCCCTAAAAGCTGATGCAAATCGATTTTAAAATAAGGTTATTTAAGAATAAGTTGGGATTATAAAAGCTAAAGACAGTAAAATTTGAAAGGCTTAACACAATATAGAGAAAAAGTCATGTGTATAAAATCTAGATAGAGAGTTTCCTTTGCCTGCTCGGCGCAGTTTACAGGGCACCTCATAGTCGAATAGTAGCGCCCAGAGCACTTTTATTTATTTTTGCAGATTCGTGTATCGCTGATGATTTATGCCAATGACTTGGGCTCTGCTCAACTGCATCCTCGACTTGCGTTTGGGCCTTGGCTTTTTATTGTTATTGTCTAACTGTAGTTTTAACTGTACGTTCACAAATATTTTATAATCAAACGTCGCCCGTCGTCTCCCCCCTTCTACTGTTGCAGAGGATGCGCCTGGCACGCTAAACGCTGCCATTGCAGCAGCTGAGGCGGAAGCAGCCGCGCAGGATGCCACGCCCTCAGGCAAGCAGGCCACAATAGAGCCGAGCGTGCGGGTTAAATGCCTGTCCGGCTCCATGTTGATCGTGATCAAAGATGCGCCACCCAATCACGAGACGGGCCTGTTCAGCGGCATGATCTACCCGAAAGGCCTGTCCAAGAACTCCACATGCCTCAGCGAGTACAGGTGAGTGCGCGATGCGGACTACCATTTAGATATCTGTTCTATCTTATCTATTGAATTTCTTGCAGAGATCACAATGGACCGTTGCGCTACAAGTTGCCGCTGCGCAGCTGCAATACGATGCCCAAGGAAACGGTAAGTCCAGCTGGGTTATGATCGGGCTGGTCATTAGAATCAACTCAAGCACCCACGCAACAAAAGATTTACTCAATGTTTTATGATATGTTATGTGACTGCGGCAAGTGGTTCTGCCTTTTTCGACATGCTAATTGAGTTTTAGCTGTGCCACTTATAAGGCATCCAGTTGGCGAGATTGGTTACAAGGTAACCCATCCATATGCCAAGATGATTAGCCATTTGCTCAGCGCCGCAAACTTGGCGTGTATTGACAGCAAACGCACATGAAATAACCCGAACGCCTGACGTGACTCTTTGGCATTCAATTAATGTCTCGGCTTATTAAGGTGCATCATTAACCAGCCGATGGAGTCGCGGGGCAAGGTGATACGACAACTGAGCTAACTTAGCTGTGTCTTACTTAACGAGTTGGTTAACTGAAAGAGTTAACGAGAACTCAAATATATTTCTCTCTCTTTCTCACACACACTCTCTCTCTCTCTCTCTCTCTCTCTCTCTCTCTCTCTCTCTCTCTCTCTAAGAGACTTGTGACGTTTGAGAATCATCATCAATACAAGCAACAAATGATTAGCCTCTCTCTCTCTCTGCCTCTCTCCAACTCCCTCGTGATTAACGTCATATTTAAACAACTTTTGCAAAATCTTGACGCAAATGGAATTGAAAACAAACCTGATAATTTTGTGAACTTAATGTTTTGTTTTATGATAACCAATTTAGTCTGAGGATCAACCATTTATTAGCCATTGACATTTAAAGTTACCAGGCCCAACAAGCGATGCTCAAATGAGCTGAGCCGGAATCTAAAACTGACTAATAAATTATCATAAATAAATTTGAGTTTGTGGTTTATGTTGCACATGGCACAGTTACGATAGATGGATAGATCGATATGGCGTGTCTTATTTATTGGCTCATATATAGCATCGATTTACGAGCGTTTACAGCCGCATGCAGCTCATATAGATATATATTTTGAAATCTCAATTAGCACCCGGCCAGCTAAACGGCGACTCCGACTCACGCATCGACATATTTATGGCCAAGACACACACACACACACAAACACGCGCAGCATTTGCTGTCGTCATTGTGATACATTTCTTGTATTTAATGTAATTCCCAGCATTTATTGGGGCAAACAGTTTTGTAATCTGTTGCTTTTTCCTTTCGCTCGATTAGCCTGACACAAATTTTTGTAAAAATTGCAAATTTTAATTGCTGCTGTTATGGCAACCGTGTTGCCTGTTCACTGTTGCAACATATATATATATATATATGTGTGTGTATACTTTTATACGCACTGTTAAATGCATGCCAGAACCGACGGCAAGTTTGTTGCCTGAGTCTTTTGTGTTGTGCAGCCGCTTTGTCCCTGTTGACCCAAGCACTTGACGCGCTGAATAAACGGCTATGAAAATTAAACAAAAATTAAAATTGACAGCTAAAAACAATAATGAAAAATCAACAAGTGAAGTTACGCTCGAAGGCTATTATTTTATGTTGTTGCCTGCAGCTGCAGTTGATGTCATCTGCGTGGCCTCTGACAGGGCAGGATGCTGGGCTTACGTCAGCCGCAAAGATGAGCTCAGCGCATGCACATTTGCATACAATTAAAATATCATTCAGCATGGATGTGTGTGAGTGTGTCTGTGTGTAATTACCTATGCGCATTTATGGCAACAAACTTTTATGTAAAAAGTCGCGTGTCAACTGCCGCAAAAAGTTGCCACGCCATTGACTCCAAACTAAGGCTCCACAACGACCCTGTTGTTATTACTGTTGCAGTAGTTTTTGTTACTGCTGCTGCTGCTGCTTTTGTTGTTGTTGTTTTTACTGTTGTGGCTGTGCATGCCACACGCAATTTAATTAACTATGAATAGTTTATTTTTATACCTATCCATTACAAGCATTAGTACATACGAGGCACTTTTTATAAATATATGAATATTATAACATATTGGAATAATTGGCTGGGATGGAAGTCTCCTACTACTTTTTATAGCAAAGGTTATATCTATAATTAAATATTACAAAAATACTTCAGTTCTAGCCTCATACTCTTGGCTTAATATCCCAAATATAATATAAGAAGCAAGCATGTAAGATATATTCTAATGCTTATAGGGTATACGTTAGTCGGTCAGCCAAGCTTATGCTACTATTTATTGTTTCATTTATGTTTATTACTATTTACTACGTACAGGGTCAATAACAGCGACATAGACATAAACACTTGGCCGCCTGAAGGGCGCAAAGCGTGTTAATTAAATTTTAATTGCGGCGCAACAAACGAAAACCCAAATATTCAGACCTGACAGTGGGCAAGAATTAATAAACATTGTTTTCCAATTAAATAGGAATTCGAAATGTTCAAACAGACAGCAAACAGTGTGAACAGTGAACAGCAGCAGCAAGTTTGTTGCCTGAGTCTTTCGTTTTGGTGAGCATTTCGAATGGCCAGATCACCATTTTCACTGGGAATCATTGAATCCGACTGCGCTCATCAGCTCAAAATCGATTTGTTCTGTAAAGTCTGAGCGCATCTTTAAACTTGAGTTTCGAGGCGTCGCTACGTTGGCGGCCGTTCGATTGCGTTCATTGGCCGACGACGACGCCGACGCCTTCACCTGCGCTGACCGTGAAAATGCCAAAATGTGAACACATGTAAACGTGTTTCTTTCTTTCTTATTGTTATTGATATTTTTAAAAGGCTTTAGCTGCCGTTGGCTTGGAGTGAAGGTCAGTGCTGGACGTCGCCCACGCGGCCACACGTAATCTCTCATTGGCGTTGACATTTGTGAGCATCTTTCAGCTCGCAAGAGATACCGACTAAATTTAACATTTCTGTACAAAGAGCAGCCGGTGCGCATCCCAACCTGTTTTTTCCCGATGTGAGAACTCTTAGAATGCTTCCAAATGTCGCACAGAAGTGTCATAATGACATAATAGCCGTCTGCCTCTACCGTTATGTGCTTGAAATCTCTAATGTCATTTTATTACGGCCTTTTATTAGCCCATTGTCTCATTTGCTGATGCTGCAGCTAGCTGGGAAATCTGTTTATGTAGCTGCCACACACACAAAACATAACTGTCAGCGCTGCACGTTGACAGACAACAAAGGAAGACCAAGTTCTTGGCCCCTGCAGCTCAATGTCCACAGACGGAAGCAGCTCCAAGCTTAACGCGTTTTACTGAGGGGGCATTGAGCATGCCCCTTGGGCGACGACGCTGCCACTTAAATAAAGCATTTCCGTGCCCAAATCAGTGTACACAGTCCCAATTACCAAAAAAAAAAAAAAAACTTCCGAACGCGTCACGTACGCGTCTTTGCCCCAACACAATTGCCAGCTACCACGCAAGCAATTGACCGCTGGCGTGCTCGATATATATGAACGTGCTAGAGTTGAGCGCGTGTCGTGACACGACCCAAAAGTAACGTAACATGAAGGTTTTGTTGCACGAAAATTAAAAATATACCCAATATACCCATAACTTAATTTTAATAAATTAAACTCGATTCATTTAACTCACTTTCTTCTCAGTGTAAAAAAGCTTAAGAACAGATCAAATAGAGTTGGGGATTTGTTTGGGCTTATCTTCGGGGGAGGTCAACAGTAGTTGACTTTAAGACTTCGCACATTGTTTATTGAGCATATATTCCACGTTTCATTTAAGAAAACATGAAGACAGACCTCTAAACGAACATTGCACGAATATAATATTCGCTTTTCTGCTGTGTGAATAGAGTATGAAATAATATGAAAATAATAATAATATGTTGATAACCAGATATTGATATAATTGTACAATCTCTTGCCCAACCCAAACTGCAACACGCGCTCATCTCCAAGAAGAATGTGCGTATGGGACACGTATTGTTGTTGCTGCGGTTCTGCTTCTTGTTGACTGCAGAATTAGCACAAGCACAAGCACCGTTATGTGCTGGAAGAGAATGTGAAAAAAAAGAACAAGTAAATACTTAGCTGTGGGTCACATAAATGGTATAGGAGCAACGAGGGATAGCCGAACACACTGTAAGGCAGCTACAGATCCAAGATGAGCGAAAGATGACGCAATCAGCGGATGTGCACACACAGAGCATCTTGCAACATTCGATTTCAGTTTCAGTTTTCTGAGAACATCAGCTGAACTGAAATTCAAATTCATTACGCAAACATTGCTAATTTCTGCGGATGTGTAGATAACAGAGGGCTTCACACTTGGCTGCACGGCTTTAGCACCATTCTATGAAACACAAAAGCAAACGCAAAAAAATATGTATAAAAACTTTGAGGAAGTGCTCGTGATCTAAAGAGGAGCCCAATGCCGAGTTTAAGACACATCAAATTTCTAGCTGGCAATTTCCAGCGTCAGCCAAGCGTAAATGTGTATGCATAATGAGACACGGGTACGGCCCATTGTACCATGTACGGTGGGCACACACATCTAGTTGTCTGGCTGCATTCCGGTTGGGCTCGCCAATATGGCTTCTTGGGCAGCTGGGCAGCTGCCAGCGCTTGATTTGATTTGAGGCTATGGCAAGTTTGTTGCTTAACTCTTTTGTTTATGCGCAGCAATTGCCAAGTGCTAGAACTGTTTAACGAACTTTTGGAACTTAAAAGCTAATATTCAAGTAATATATTTTGATTTTAGCAATAGTTGCTTTATTTATTATACACCAAAAAAGTGAATATTTAGCAGGCTAGAGAGCTCGAGCTAGCAGAAGTTGAATATGCTTTTCGTAATATTGGGAAATTCTGAATTAAACTTAGCAAAGACAAAAAACACAATCAATTCCTTTGATGCCACAAACTAATACATTTGCAGGACGATGGCGGCATTGAGTTCTTCAATACGATTGTGCTGCAGCCGCATCTGAAACTGATTACGGATCTGGGACGCGGCTATCATGTGCGCTGTGCCTACAAGAGCCGCGATGCGGCCGTCAAGCCCAAGAAATACCTGCGCAAGCATGCGCAGAAGCCGCAGGCATTCCGCAGCGATGAGCACGACCGGCGCGACTATGGACGCTCGCTGGACAAGCAGCGTTTGACTGATGACGACCTGGACGAGGAGGACGTCTACGATGTGGATGTGCAGGATGACAACGATGTGACCAACAACGAACTGCCCATGCCCGGCTGCCATATGAAGATCTACAACGAGGAGCACAAGATAGCCGACGATGTGAAAATTGGCGATCCGCTGACCATTGTCATTAGCATAGATGAGCAGAAGCTCTACGGACTGCACGTGACGGACTGCATTGTGCGCGACGGCCTGGGCTGGGGCGAACAGCGTCTGGTGGGCGAAGATGGGTAAGTGGATGGGCTTGAGTTGGCTCGGAATTTGATTAATCTTCTGCTTACTTTGGCAGCTGTCCCATGGACAACGAGATCATGGGTCAATTCAACTACACAGAGGATCGTCTGGCGGCCAATGTGACCTTCCCGGCGCACAAGTTCCCCTACACCACCTCCGTGTATTATCAGTGCAATGTGCGCCTGTGCGCGCTGGAGGATCCCAGTTGCCAGGAGGCGCCCGTCTGCAGCGGCAAGCGACCCAAGCGCCAGGCCAGCGAGGGCAAAGATGATGAAGCCTTGCCGGCGACCATTGAGGTCTTCTCCGGCCTCTATGTCAATGAGAACGAGAATGCCAACGACAGCGAGGAGGATGCGGTGTACAAGGAGAAGGTATGTTTGGAATAAATGGATTGATGGATTACCAATCCTTATCTGTTCTTACCTGCTAATAACTATGCATGTGTGTACTTTAATAATTGATCCTCATTACAGACTCTGGAGGATGCCCTGTGCGTATCGCAGCGCACGTTTGCCATTGCCATTGCCATTGCGGGTCTCATTCTCATGCTGGCCGTGGTGGCCGCTGTGCTGTGCATTATGGCACGCCGTAGCACCAAGACGGTATCCAATTCCGGCAGCTCCATATACAGCGGTCCCTACACAAACACCGCCTTCTCGCACAGCAGCTAAGCCGCAGCAGCAGTGAAATGTGACAGCTTCAATTAAAAATTTCGCAAAATTTTCCAAAACAAAACAATGGAACACTCAAAGTGTTTAAAAAAAAATTAAAGAAAACAAATCGGTTTTAAGGCCAGGATAAACAAGAGATGAAGAGATGCACACGCAGCCGCCTGCGGTAGTCAATTGTCAAATGTCTCGTGACAAGTTGGGTAGCAGTTTTTAGTCCATAAGGTCACAACTTTTTAAGCTAATCAAATTATTTTTTTAAGTTTTGCAAAATGAAAATCCCTGTGCAGAGATTACCGGGCAATTTCCCATTATTGTTAATTGCCCGCTAATGTCGCAGAGTTGTGCAGTGCTGCCATTTGCAGTGCAAAACATAAGCATTGGCAGCACTGCCCTTGGCACTCTGTTAGGCACTTTCGTGTCGGTGGTGGTTGGATTCCCTCCTCCCAGATTCTTATCAGAAAACGCACCAGCCCCTCCCGCCTTATGTAGTGCAGTCATTAAACTTTATATATAAATATTGTATTTATCCTACTATTTAAACTGTTTAATTTTAAACACTCGAACTAACAACGAATGCAGCAGCCGACGCTCAGGTGATATTTGTATTTGTACTTTAAATATTTAAAAATAACTAAGTTCCAAAAAAAAAACGAAAAAAACCTGCGACACTTTGTTCTTAGTTAAATGTTCTGTACAATTATTTTCTTGTCATTGTTTAAACTATTTGCACTACAATATTTAAATACTACTATTTACTTTAAGCACGCAGCCGCTCTTATTAATAATATATAAACTGATTAATTCGTAAAGTATTTAACCCAAGCCTTTGCACAGCTTCATTTGAGCATTGGACCTATTTTCTAAGAATGCTCGCCTGGAGCCGTGCAATGCGAATTTCAAATAAATACACAAACATCGTACAGTGAAAGCTCCACTAAATGAACTTTAGTTTTGTTGTACAAAAACTAGCCACAGAGTGGACAAATAAGTCTTCTAAATTATATGCAAATCGAAAAATTGAAGAAGTAAACATTTTAAATACAAATTCGCTTTTTAAAGGAATAAAGATATAAATGTTACTTTAGGCCAGTTCGCTCAAGCGAGCTTTCACTGTATTATTTTAAATGAAGAACCTAGTTAGGCCTAAGCTAAAAATTAAACTATGAAAATGAACAATAAAATTAAATTGACCATAAACGAGTTTTCAATGCTGTCATCAGCTGTCACAGGTGCATGAATATAAAAGCTGGAAACGCCACCAAATACACTTAGCCATGTGGCTGCTCTTGTTGCTGGCGAACGGCTGGCAATTGCCTGAGCTGAGCGCGTTGCGCTGCCCGGCGGAAAATGCCGCTCCACTGCAGTTCCAGCTGGTGCGTCAGTGCCAGCGTGCCGCTACGGCTGAGGCACTGGCTCTGGAGAGCACCCCAACGCTAGAGGCTTGCATGAAGTTGGCGCGCGAGCTGCGTGGCTTGGCCTTAAACTATGCGCCAGGTGGGCCAGAGCGGCGCACAAATCGTTTCGAGCAGCAGCCAAGGGATGCCTACGACAAGGAAGCACGCAAGCGTCTGACAGTCTTTGAGCAGCCGGCGGAGTACTTCAACTGTCATGTGCTGCAGTGTCCGCAGAATATCAGCTTTGCGGGCATGCTGAATGACAGTCGCTTCGATTACTACAGCTTATATGGCAGGCCCACAGGTAAGCGAGCAGCTCGCTTAAAAGGTGGGCCAAACTTAAAAGCTAATCCGCAGCGTTGCACAACATCAGCTGCGTGCCGCGTGTGGGACTCTTTGTGTTCTATACACGACCCGCCAGCTATCTGAATGCCTCGCGCAGCTGCAGCCATGCCAGCGAGTTTAGCGGCAGCCTGGCGCACGTTGCCTCCGAGGCGCGCACCTATGCACTGTCCCGTTGGCTCGTCGAGTACAATAAACAACGCGCCGGCGAGCAGACCGTACCGGGCATATTTCTGGCCTATGTGGGCTTGCGTTTTAATAGCTCCAGCTCTCTCCGGCCGATGGACTATCGCAATGCGCAGCAGGAGAGCCTGCTCTGTTTTCTGTACCGCGCCTGGCATGAGGGTCATCCGCGATCGGAGTAAGTGAAATTGCTTGAATTATGAAATAGCCAAGTTAACAGCAAGTATCCGAAGGGGCAGTCAGGCTAATGCCAGCTGCGTGGCACTGACTCCAAAGGGCACTTGGCAAACGCTGAGCTGTGAGCGCGAGCTGCCCTTCATATGCGAGATCTTTACGCCTGCGAGATCCAGTACGAACAGGCAACTGGATACGGGAGCGAATGCTGCCGACGTGTGTTACTGAAAAGGATTTACGACAACCCGATTTAATTCCAACAAAATAACTCCAAAAGGGAAAGTGAACCTATCCCGACCTTGAGTTGAACTAAAATTAAGCAAAAACCATATACAAACAAGGTATATTGATAAATTTACCTTCAGTCTTGATTTTAACGTCCATGATGAAACAGCTGCGTCTTTAATTATTAATTAATTTATTCCATTTAAATGAAGCGAATTGAAAAAAGGCGCGGTCGAACCGGTAAACCAATCAGAAATTAATTCACAGTTATTTGGTGCAGCACAGTTATTCGCAGACATTTTTATTAGAATTGGCCGTCTTCAAAACAAGAAATGTATTGTGTTGTCGTGTGTTGTGTGTTTTTAACTCTCCCACTTTACCGAATGGCAACAATAAAGTTATAATTACAAAGTGTACACTGAAGAGCTTAAACGAGATGAACCGCTTAGTGGTACTTGTAGTTCCTGTGGTGCTTCAACTTGGTATAGTTGATCAAGTAGAAGAACGTCATGCTGGCGACGGTCAGTTGGAAGAAGGGTGCAATGCCAGCACGCTTGGGGAACACGTATTTGTGCTGCCAGCGCCACCAGGCACGGCTAACGGCGCCAGCAATGGCGCTTGGAGTCTTGTTGCGGCGTCCAAACCAGGAGCCCAACTCTCCCAATTTAACTTGGCCGAAGGGCACATCAGCTGCGATTGCAAATAAAACAATTACATAAAATAATCGTATTATGCGGCAGTAATGTGCGGCAGAAAATTACGTAATTTTGCAAATTCGCTCACCTTTGCCATAGTAGCGTGCTGGATCATAAGGTCCATGCACCTTCGGATTATACTCAGCTGGATAGTCACCGAAAGCCATCTCGCTGCGTTTTGTATAATAAAATATATAATTTCCCAATGAGATTATATTTTCTAGCCTGCCTACTTACTTTGCTCGATACTTGAGTATGGTACGAGAATGTATCGATAGAGTTCAAGGCACACTAGAGCACAGTGATGCAGCAGCACATATATCGATAGTAGCACCGCGATGCTGTAAGTTGCCACTCCTGCAACATTCTGACGCGGTGGCAACGCCGTTGCGTTGTATATACAGAAATCAAATAAGAATTTTTTGCAAATCGGAAACGCGCTTAAATAACGATAATAACAATTAAAAAAAGACTACAAAAACAATAAATTCAGAAGCGAAATGAAACTGGAAGAGCTCTTGACAAAGGGTGCATCATCGCCGCAGGAGGACGACGACGATGATGAAAAGGCGGAGTCGAAAACAAAAGCCACAAATGCCTCTGATGAGGGGGTGGAGAACGCTGAAGATGCTGCTGAGGAGTCTGCTGAAAAGGAAAGCGCAACGGGCAAGAAAAAAGGCACACGCAAAAAACGTTCACTCAATTGGGAGGAAGCGGAGCGCGGCCTGCTGCTAGAGGTCATCAAAACAAAAGTCGCATTCGTTGAGAATCGCAGCGTCGATGCCAAGAGCATCAAGGCCAAGCGACTGGCCTGGTCGCAAATAACCAAACAGTAAGTGCACACAAATATGTGCAGCACTTCAATAAATGCCCATTTAAATATTCACTTACAGATTCAATGCCCTGAACTTTCGACATCGCCTGCTGGAGCAAATTCAAGTGCAGTGGCGCAGCATGAAAAATTCGGCGAAGCGCGAACATCAGCAAAAGCATCCAAAATCGGATGCGCTAGAGGGCATGCGCATGATTGAGTTCATGGAGGAGTTGCAAAAGGATCCGGTATCGTCGCGCAGTCAAACGCGCAGCGGCACCAATGGCGCTGTAAATGTACCACTGAAAAAGGAGCTGCTCGAATTAGATGAGGACGAGGATATGCCCCTGGCTGCCTTGCCAAATTCAACAAATGCCAGTGAGGATACATTGCAAACATCCACCATAGCCATACCCTCACCACCGCCCTCCACCGCCGGCGGCGACTCACAGCAGGAGAGCGCCCAGCCGCAATCAGCGCCCAATAGACGCAAACGTGCCAAAGCCAAACCATTGCTGAGCAGTAAGGACGACACAGACGGCACTACTGGCCCGCCGGACAACGACAAGACTTCACCAACGCGCAAAAGGCGACAACGCAACGTGAGTAGAGACCGCAGCATGTTAAAGAAACTCTCATTTGATAAAAACATTTCCACAGCATTCACAGGCACAGTCGGTGCTATCCGAGGATGAGGCGCCGGCTGCTAGTGCCGCCGCAGTTGGAGCATACACGCCAGCAACAGCTGCTAATGAGGCAATTAGCTGCGTGGACATGGAGGAGAAATACAAACAGCAGCTGTTCAAGCTGCTTAAGCAAGCGCGACTGGCCGAGATTGATTATGCACGGCGCGAGCACGAGCAAAAGCTGCGCTTTGAGCAAATGGAGCAGGAACTCAAGATGTCGTACTATCGACAGGAGCAGGACCTCAAGCTGCGACATATGCGCGAGGAGCACGACATACGGCTGCGTCAACAGCGGCGCGAGCACGAAGCCCGTCTCACTGTTTACAATCTCAACAGCAGCGCCTACAACGGCAACGGCGAACTGCAACAGCAGCAGCAGCTACAAGAGGAGCAGCAGCAGCAGCAGTCGCAGTTGCCTCACGGCGTGCGCTGCAATGCCAAAACGGACTATAATAATGTGCACCTGGACGGCGGTACAGCTCAGCCACAGCCATCGACATCGTCAAGCAGCAGCAGCACGGAAGCAGCGCTGGCGCTAAATGCCAACTCTTTGGCTTACAACTAGTTGTTGTAGGCACACCCATGCACACACACAAACACACTCACACACCCAGAACACAAGATATTACGCATTGCCAGAATTTAGTGGATACTGTATACAAAAGAGGAAACAACAAAAAACTTAGCTTGAAATGCGTTTAGCAAAATGTAGCCGACTCTCAAATTGTCTCAAAAGACACGGACTATTCATGTATGAATATGGACATTAATTCATATACAATATACTTACTCACGTTGCCACACGCAGGCGACGTCTTTTTCGCGCCCTGCACGGACACAAATCGAATGGACTGTTTTTTTTTTTTTGTTTTTTGTTGTTGGTTTTGGTGCATGCCACAACACAGACTAACAGACAACCACCCACCCACCCAACCAAACAGACAGACAGACAAGCAGATAAACAAACAAACACACACTACGCAAACACATTTGCATTTTTTCAATATTAGTATTATTATTATATTTGTATCCTGGTATCTGTTAAGTGAACTTGCTCTACAAAGTTATGAATTTATGAATTTCACAAGCGGTTGTGTCGCAAGAACAAACAAACAAACAAATAATACTCAAAGAACCCTCGAACACACACATACAAAAAGGAAAAAGAAATCCTCGCATGAGTTTTTCCATTTTCCATTGAAGAAAACCTATCCTAACAGTCAGTCAGTATTCTATTTTGTCACTGTATTAGAATTCTATTTTTGATTATCATGCAGCTATGTTAAGTTTTTATTTTGATTATATTATTTTTTTAATTATATAAATACTTATACGATAATTGTACATCTATGTAGTTGTATTCTGTATGATCTTTGTTCATACACATTAACTTTTATAGCTGTCGTGTACTCGATAGGAATACATTTTTGTAAGCTATACGAACGTCTTTTAAGGTACATTGCTAAGTCTACACCCTGCCACACACACACACACACACACACACACACACGTATATACATACCATATACCCGGATGTACACTTTGTGTTGTTTAGCGCAGTAATATCCTGTAACTTTGCTTTTGCTTACTAAATGACATAATTTGAGCAAAGGACAATTAAACAATTAGATAAAGATAATACATTAGCAAACATGTCTTTTAATTGAAATGCACTGCGATCTCCATATCTATGTACGTATATACGTATGTATGTATGTATTTAGGTGTACGTACATATGTATGTATTATATGTGTATATATGCATGTTTGTATGTCTGTATATATGTATTTGTAAGTATATATGTATGCATGCATGCATGTTTGTCTATATGTATGTATGTATGTATGCTTGTATAAAAAGCAAAAGCTTAACAGACTCTACATTGCGTTACAGCAACATGTGTCTGGGCAAAAGGTTGCAAACGTTTTTGAGAACATGTTGCCAAAACAGCGCATGCATAATTGTATGTTGCTAGCATCATGCCGCAACAATGAATTATTTTCTCTATTTATTTAGCTTTCCAGGATATGCTCGCATTGAATATCATGCAAAATAGGTCCTTCGGGACAACTTGAAGTACATCCCATCTAAAGAGCCAAGAGAAAAATCAAAAAAAGGCTTAAGAAATGCCCAAAATAAAGAAAAGTGTTATTTTTTGATTGTCAGTTGGCATATTTGAATATTTTATACCCATTTTTGTGAGTTTACTTATTGACTAATTTACAAAATGAAGGATCTGGACCTTACCTTGGACTACATGGAAAATGCGCGCTTCAATTACACGTACGGGCCCTTGATCACGCACATGCAGACGGAGTCACCTTTTACAAGGACCGAGTTGCTCTGCATTTCCATGGTCTATCACAAATTTGCGCTGGGGAATGGACCCAAGGCCAAGTTCATAACCTTAATGCAGCTAAGCAATATATTGGAGCTGATGTTCAATGTGACAGATCGAGAAATAAACAGACGCATTGTGGCCCGTATTAGCTATGATCCGGACTGTACGGACTCCAAATCCTCGTCGGAGCGGCACTGTAGCCTGGCCAGCTTTATCAGACTTTTCTCCATCTACTTTTCCACAGATCTGGAGAAGCGCATGCAGTTCGTTTTTAGCGTAAGTTTGATTGTGGGAATCGTTAGACAGTGTTGATTAAAAGCTACATATCTACATGGACAGTGTTGTTAAAACCTATATAAATATATTCGTATATTTAGATTTACGATGAAAATGATCGTGGCTACTTGGAACGGGAAGACGTGGTGTTTTTTGTGGAGAAGTTTTTTGACGGCGATGACGAGGATGAGATCTTTGAGCTGCGCACTGTAAATACTGCTAGCTAAAAGGTCTGCTAACTGCTCCTTCTGCTACTTTTCGCCCAACAGGATATGCTTGAAGTGCTTTTTGCTAAATTTGATATAGACAAGGACATGCACATCTCGTTTGAGGAATATTCCGAGGTTGTGCGCATGCAGCCGCAACTTATGGAATTTCTGGGCATGGTTTATCCCACACAGGATCAGCTGGACATTGTGCGATTGTGTGTAAATGTCCTTTCCTGATGCCAGGAATTGCAATTCCCTTGCTTACGCGCAAAAAGTGCTCACGCTCTAAAGTTATAAATAGAACTTGAGCACTTTTTGCACTTGAGCAAAGACTTGTATAACAGCATTTGATGGCCATGAGCACAGAACTGTATAACAGATTGGAACAAGCACCGGCTTCAACAAATTAAAATTTTCGAGTGCATTTTTCTGTTATACTTTGTATTGAACATTTCTCCCATAAGTTTGTATAACACTATTTGATTATGGCCATGAGCACAGAACTGCATGCACAGAACTGTATAACAGATTTGAACAAGCGCCGGCTTCAATAAATAAATATTTTCGAGTGCGTTTGTTATACTTTGTGTTGAGCATTTCTCCCATTCGCTTGTATAACACCATTTGATGATGGCCATGAGCACAGAACTGTATAACTGATTGGAACAAGCACTGGCTTCAAGAAATACAAATTTCGAGTGCGTTTTATTGTTATACGTTGTGTTGAGCATTTCTTCCATACGCCTTGGCGCCCCGTTGTCGAAAAGCGAATTCAATTTTTGCATTACAAATGATTTGGCTAGCGTGGCCGTCCGTCCGTCTTATAAAGCACATGAAACGGAAAAGTGAAACAAAATAAAACGAATAACACAACTTTATTCATTTTTGTGGCTTTTCTTCCTGCTCGCCTATGGCTCGGCTTCAGTTCGCATGGCTCAGTCGTAGGCAACGGTCGATCTATTGCGCAGAGCCGCAATTAAAAAAAAAAAAAAAAAAGGCAACAAAAAAAAGCCAAAGAGAGCGAACTGTTCAATAAACAAAAAGAACCGCAAGTCCAAGTGCCATAAAAGGAAAGTGCAATAACCGTGCAGCATTGGCGCAGCGAACGAAGAGAGGAAGAGATAGAGAGAGATCGGAATAAGGAAGGAAGGAAGAGGAGAAAAGAACAAAATGCTGCTGTTCTATGCAAAATATGTGTTTATCTTCTGGGTGCTCATGGCAAGCTATCGAGGCAACATGATGCTCATGCGCCAGCTCTCCGAGGATGAGGCGCTGCTCAATTTGACCGCCTGCTCCAAGCACTGCCTGATTAAAATGCCGCAAAAGGTCAGATCAACTGGTGCCCACTCAAAGCTCTTAGATTTTAACATGATTCAATTTTGTAGAACTTTACTGCCTGCTACGAATACTGTAAGAACGACAATTCCAGCGATTTAATGCCGACACGAGTACGTAAGATACAGGAGAATTTCCTTTTGAAGCTCGTCTGCCGCACGGAGTACAACTTGACATTCCGCATCAATTGGGTGCAGCATGCGCGGCACAACACCACACAAAGTGCGCCAGATGCCATGTTTATCATCAGAATCGATGCAAAATTAACTGGTTTGGAATCCATTCTCTATTTGGTAAGTCAACTAATTTAAGGGAAATCCAAGCCGAGCTAATCTTCGTTTTAATCATTTGTTAACCTAGTCAGATGACAGTTTCTTTACCATACCCGAGCTGGAATCAAATACTACGTATAATGTTACGGCGCTGGCTGTGCACGCCGATGGCGCCTATTCGCTTATAGCCATCGAGGAGGGCTTTCAAACATTGAGGCGTGGCTATCAGCCCAGCAAAATGGGCGAGGTTAGGCTGAGAAAATTTCAAGAGCAGCCCGACAATTTGCGGCGCATCGCAGCCGTGGTTGAATGGCAGCCGTCAGCAGGTATTCAATGGGATGGGGAGTATGGGGAGTACCATCAATAAAACCCGTATTATATCGTTTTTATATTTGCAGAACGAAACTGTTACTTTGATATGATATACTATTCAACGGATAGCCAAAGCATGGAGGCGCCCACTCCAGTTCATTTTCGTGATGTAAGTGCATCATAGTTTTAACCAGCAAGAGCCGGACTTGGCAATAGCCAGCTTCCATTATAAAAACGGCTGAGAACAGGGAGGGCTGTTCTTCAATCCATCTTTGCCCAGCTCTAGTCAATTTCACCACAAGATTTTCCTGATCTCTACTACTACTGTACTCTTCCACAGCCCCGCCAGCTGTATACCTATACAATACCCAATATGGAATTTGGTGAGCACTTCAGGATTGGTGTGCGTACAGTTAATGACAAGAATAGCCTGGAGAGTCCAGTGCAGTGGCTCATACTGCAGGCGCCCAGCTGCTTGGATTGGTTTGATTACAACTATACGCTCTGCGGTAAATTGGAATTGCATAGCATAGAGAAAGACATATAATGACTCCTTGCATACCGTGCAGCTCCACTCAAGCCGAGCAACGTAAGCGTCCAGCAGCAGCATTTTGATCAGGATGTGTTGGCCTTAAATATCAGCTGGTCACCGCCGCGATATCTGCCGGATTACTATACGCTGTACATACTCGATCTGCACACGGACAGCGAACAGGCCAAGTACACAGTGGAGGGCAATGCCAGCCATTTCTATATATCCAATATAACTGTGCTGGGTGCCAACTTTGAGGTGCATTTGGTGGCGCACACACGTGGCGGCCAGAATGCCTCCATGCAGTTTTTGAGCAAGGCACCGCTGGAGGTTTGGATGAAAGGTAAACTGTGCTGTTTTAGGATTTCTAAGCCTGTGGATAACTTTCCAATCGATACACAGAAAGCAGCCTGATTAAGTTAATACTCTTCCTTGTTGTGCCCGTCTGTTGTATACTCGCTTTGTGCTCAATGACGCTGCGCAAGCACAGGCGCCAACAGGAGTGCCAGAAGCTGGAGACCAAGGAGCTCAAGTCAGCGCCCAATCAGGCTGCCGATTTTCATCTTTCATTAATCAACAGCAGCAGCCTGTTGGCCACGCTCGCCACCGAAGATAACTTTGAGCTCGATGATGAACTGGAGGTGGAGCCACATGCTGTGCTGCTGCAGGATGTATTGGGCGAGGGCGCCTTTGGCCTGGTGCGCCGCGGCGTCTACAAGCAGCGTCAGGTAGCCGTCAAGCTGCTCAAAGGTAAGAAAAAAGCGTTGGGAGCTGCCCAGCTTATTAATGCCTTTGCTTAGACCAGCCCAATGAGGAGGATGTGCAGGCTTTCAAGTGCGAAATACAAATGCTGCGCGCCGTCGGCAGGCATCCAAATATTGTTGGCATTGTGGGCTACTCGACCAGGTTCAGCAATCGCATGATGCTGCTCACCGAGTACTGCGGACTGGGAAGCCTGCAGAGCTTTCTACGGTAGGACTGGTTATCTATATGGGAAGCTTTCTAATGCCTTTCCTTACAGCGACGAATGGAAGTTCCAGCAGGAGCGCAGCGTTCAGGACATGCGACTTAAGCTGAACCCAGCAAAGCAGCCGCAACCACTGAAGACAACGCATCAGCAGCGCGCCAGACATCTCCTGTATAATGACACACGCATTGAGGATATTAATGGCTCCATGTTGTCCACACTAGAGGAGGAATCCGAAACGGATCTCTCGCGAAACAGCAGCCACCTCGATAGCTACAACTTGACCAAGGCAACGCATGCTGCAGACAACAAATCCTATGGACTGCATGAGATTGAGAATATTGATGCGAATGCGGCAGCCGTATGTCCGAAGACCATATTGAAGCGCAACCAAAACGAGCAGCCACCTGGTAGGAGCTGCACGGTAAGCTTCGAGAACAGGGAGTACTTTGACCCACCTGCAGCTAATGAACAAATGGAGAGGCAGCCGCTCAAGTATGCCGATCTGCTGGACATTGCACATCAGGTGGCCGTAGGCATGGTAAGTGCTTAGTTGAAGAAATGTTTAGACAATAATATATCCGTTTGTTCACAGGACTTTCTGGCACAGAACAAGATTGTGCATCGGGATTTGGCGGCGCGCAATGTGCTCATCTCATCGGATCGCACCATTAAGATAGCGGACTTTGGGTAAGTAATATGATGATGATGAATTAAATGAGAGACATATTAATATTAATTTCCTACAGCCTCAGCCGTGATGTCTACCATGAGAATGTCTATCGTAAATCCGGCGGCAGTGGCAAGCTGCCCATCAAATGGCTCGCACTGGAGTCGCTAACCCATCAGGTGTACACCAGTCAGAGCGATGTGTAAGTGAGCTTCAGTCTGATGGAACATATTTTAATGACTTGCTTGTCTCGTAGCTGGTCCTTTGGCGTGCTGCTCTATGAGATCACAACGCTGGGTGGTATGCCGTATCCTTCAATTTCACCCAGAGATTTGCTGCAGCTGCTGCGTCAGGGACAGCGCATGAGACGACCCGACGGTTGCACAGATGAAATGTATATACATTTTGAGTATATAGATAGATAGTTTGCTTTGCGGTTCGAGCAAAAACCTCGCCTGGGTTTTCCAGACCTTGGCTCGAACCGGAAACAAATTTTCCTGATATATAAATAACCAATCTTCCCATCAACTTGGAACAGGTTCGCACTGATGGAAAGCTGCTGGTGCTCCGTACCCGGCAATCGACCCACATTCGCCGAGCTTAAGCAGCGTCTGGATAACATGATAGTGGCCACCAAGGAGGTACCACTGCGTCTGCTGCAGCAATCAAAGCAACGAAATCTGCAGACCAACGAGCAAACAGACAATGCGCATAGGTAAGCATAACTGGAATAAAATGTAGTCTAATCCAGATATTCTACAATCATAAATTCACAGCAAAGTGGAGCAGCTGCCGCCAGATGATGGAACGTACCTACAGCCTTTGCCGTAGCTTGTGCGCAAATGAGGGATATTTGTTATAAATTTTTTCCTTAGTGCAATACCTTTTAAGTAATTAGTTAGATTTGTGTGTAGCTTAGGGGTTTTAATTCAATTTAAACAACTAACAATGCTGAAAAGCTGCAAAGATTTTGAAATATATAATAAGAATTTGTTGAAACCCAAAGTTTAACTTGTGATAATGCTTCCAATCTAAGATTCTTATAACCGATCGAAAGCGTTTCGAATATTGTATTCATGTCGGGAGATAGTTTTGAAAGAAAATGAAACTTAGTTAATAGCTTTAAGGCATTTAAGAAGTAGAGCTTAATGTGGTTCAATTATTGGGACACTTTAATCAAAGATTTAAATGATCCTTAACAATAGTAGAACGCAGCTTAGGAAAATGATGTATATTATAAAAACTAGAAAGAATGATTGTTTTAACTGTCCTAGATCAAATCATAGCACACTGAAATTTGTAACGCCTTGCTGGTAGCTGACTTTTGTTTGTCGTTCAGGCACAAAATTCGAAAGGTCCCCCACATAGAAATCGTTTGGCAATTTTCTTAAAAGTTCCGGTTTTTTTTTAATAACAGAGCTAGGAAATGTGCCAACACTGCTGCCGCATGGAATGGACGCCCTGTGCGCCAATACCCTATGCATGTCCGCTCTGTCCGGTGCGACAGTTATCGGATCGCTGCCACGGACCGAACAGAGGGGACTACAAGCTCCTGTATCCCTATCCGTCGCCCAACCGCAAGCCAATCAAGCATACAGATCTGTGCAAGGACATATCCGAATTGTATTCCTATGTGGTGGCTGCCAAAACCAACGTCAAAAGGGGCAACAAGCGCAGAGGTAACACAGCCAACCAGGCGTCCGGCGATAAACAGCTGCGCATGCTGTCAACTTCTGCCTGGCATCAGAAACAACAACAACTACATCTGGAGAAGGCTCGAAACCAGGCTAACCGGCGTAACGAAATCAATTGTGACATTCCAGCGCCATATATGGATCCCATACAAGAGGAGGACACCTGGACTTGGAAATCCCGATATCCGGTGCCAGAAAAAGTGCTGCCCGTGCGCGCCCGATTGGCACCGTCCGGTGCAAAGCGGGCCAGGAGTGAGCAAACCGATAGCTCGGCGCAGCATACATTACAAGCGCACCTTTCCAATGTCCAGTAGACAACCTTTTTTCCACGTATGATCAGTCAGCAATAGTCCCGCGCAGCGCCTTACCAGTGCGCGTTTCATAGTTGTGTTATAAAAAAATCAAGAATAAACCACAATTTGTTAGTCAAAAAAGACTAAAAAGTGCCTTTTATAGCGGCAAATCATAAATGTTCTGGCAAAGTCAATGCAGATAAGCTATGGATTTTCAACTGATCGATCGTTCCTTTGAGCTGTTACATGATATAGTTAACTGATTTGGTAATTTGCTTAGTTTAGGTCTTAAACCAACTTAAATTTGATTACCTTTGTATTTGTACATAATATAGTAGCTATAGGTGAGATTTGGACCTGATGACAAATGAATTGTTAACTAATAGAATCTATGACAATTAGCCGGCTGCCTTAAACTTATATCCTGCTTACACTTTAAATGAAAAACTCTGCATAGTTTCATTAAGATCAAGCCTGTAATTTCCATAGGAACAGGATATTTCCATATCATTGCGGCTCTTCATACCCATCCAGTGCAAGAAATACTTTACAAAAGCGCGAATGTCTCCTTCCAGTTCTATTAAAGCAAATAAATTGATATAATTTCAATGACTTACATATTTGAGCTAATATGTTTAACAAGTTTAATTAAGCGAACTATATTTAGATTACACAAATATCGCATCCTTCCCCTCATATTCAATTCCCTTCATCCCATCATAAGTACACTAATTAGTTAGACCCAGTTTAGCTGGATTTAATATTTGTACAGATTAAAGAGCTCTTACATTCCAACTATAATTAATAGCTACGTTTATGTCGTGTTACCCAAACGTGATTAGAAATTGTTTAAAATTTTATATAATTGTGATAATGTTGTATAAAGTGCATATAAGATCTTTGCTGTTAAATTAATAGAAAACTATTTTGAGACCTTTTTTTATCGATTTAAAAAATAATTATTAGTTGAAAAATGAGCGAAAGCTAATGTGCACATTTTAAAGTTTTTATAAAAAATAATTTTTAAGAATATAGCCGGGTAATATTAATCCTCTCCATACTCTTTAATCTCTCTAATCGCGATTGGAACAAGGCATAAACGCAGCTGCCAATGCAAAATATCGACCCGCTGGAACAACAATCTAAAAGTATACATATATCAGGTATATTATGAGGGTTTATAGGTATAAATCTTTGTATATATATATTTCTTTTTATACAACACTCTCCTGTTCTTTGGACTTTCGCTGGTTTTTGGGCGTTTGCTAATGGCGGCCATAGCCCAGTCCGAGTATGTTTCGCGCCTGGAAACAGAAGACAGTTAAGATTAGTTCTAAGTGAGTAAAAGAAGGTGGACTTTCGCACCGTTATGAAAGCCGAGTTGAAGGAACGTTGAAATGTGTGCGTCATGCCCTCGGTCTGGGCCAGGGCCATTTGCAGCTGTACGGCCTCGTCCATGCGGTTCTTGAGGAACTCCCACGTCTGTGCATGGCCCGGCGAAGTGTCCTGCAGCATGTAGAGCTCTGTCATTTTCATGATTGTGGCCAAGCCAATGCGTCGCGTGTACCAGCCAAACTGTGGACGATTCATTAATGGGGATTAGTTGAGTAGAAGCTATCAGCGAGTGGGTTGGGCGCCACTTACGTCCACGGAACGATCGCCGGAATAGTAGCAGATGTCATCGACCAGCGTCAGCACCTGCGCCAGCGCTGTGGATGCATTCTGCGGCTGGGCAATCAACGCCATGGCCTGCGGCCACTGGCTCTTGTATGGCTCAATCATTTCCAGACGCTGGCGCACGGCCTGTACGAGAAAATCAAGCGGATCGTTCACCTCCTTCTCGCCATTGTCTGTCTGCTTTTGCAGGCACTGCACCAGCTCTGCGTTGCACTTGCCGTTGAAGTGCGAGACGAGCGCAAAGCCGCCTTCGGGAAACATGCCGTGAACAACGCTTGGCAGGCCGCACTCCTCGGCGCCCTGGACAATCGCCTGCTTGCTCCAGCCGTGCTGTGGCACATGCAGCATTGCGGCATCTAATATGCGGCTGCGTATGCCATCCACCTTGGCCTGCTTGGCCGCCTGCTCTGCGCTCTGTTTGCCCTGCTCTCCGCCTGCTCCGGTGGTGCCTCCAACCGCACCTGGCTGTGCGCCCGGTTTCTGCTCGGCTGCATCGCGTTCCCGTTCGCGTTGCTCTTCGCGCGCCCGAAACTCCTCAAGCTTGTCGCTGTCTTTGGCATAGCTGCGTCTCAAACTGCAGGCGGGCTTTAATTTTGAACGCAGCTCCTGCTGCTGCTGATGAAGTGTGTGAAAAGTTGCCGCTGTTCCGCTGCTGCATATGGCGGCTAGCCAGCAGCCCTGAGCATCTGTAAAGGGTTTCGATTAAATGAATTCGAGAAAAACTTAATCATTTTATCAGAAGAGAAGATAGGGACCTTAGGAGAACTTAATTGTTGCGAGCTTTAGTGAGCTTTAATTATTTCCAGGCAAAGCTTGAACTTGTTTTGGCATTTCTGATATTCTTAAAGTACGTAGTTAACAAAAGCTTCGAGCTTTAAGCGAGCTTTAATTGTTTCCTGGTAAAGCTTTAAGTCGCTTTGACATTTCTGATATTCTTAAAGCATATATTTAACTAAAGCTTTTAGCTTTAAGTTTGCTTTAATTGTTTCCAAGCAAAGCTTAAAGTTGCTTTGACATTCTTGAGCTTAAGTTAAACCAGTCCAAATCTAAGTGACAAACATTCTGTAAACACGCGCTTGTCCCCTGCTCAACCCTCTAGTTTCTAATTGCAATTAGGTACAAATGACATTGGGGGTCGCGAAAAGCAAGCAAAGCGTCTGCTGCGTAATTAATTAACACCATTTGGAGCACAAAAGCGCCAGCTCATCTGGCCCCAGCTTGTTGGGCAATTAACACCTGCTGGCCGAAAAGCCCCAGAGCCACAACAAAACTAAATCCAAGGCCAAACAATTGGTCAGATAAATTTCGTTTTCATTACGCTTTCAGATATAAACATAAAAATATATGCTGGGTGGTTGGATTCGGGGTTTTCTGCCTAGCGCTGCTCCAGTTCCAGTTCCATGGCTGTGGGCGTGGGCGTGGGCGTTGCCGTAGCCTGTTTGCGCCTTGCGATGCTCTGCTCGAGATTGTCGCTGGCCAGCAGATAGAGCACGCGCAGCGACTCCAGGCCCGTTATGGAGCCGGCCAGCACCTCGAGCTTCTCCTCGCGTCCAATGTCCGGCAAGCTGCCGTCGCCCTCGCCCTCGCCGCCCATGCCGCTGTTGCTGATGTTGACGGCGAGCATGTTGAGCTGCTTCTGCATAAGCTCATCGTCGGAGGCACTCTGGCCGTTGCGCACACGCTCCCTGTACGCCTTGTAGTGGGCCAGCGAGAAGTTGAGCGCCTTGCCCAGAGGCTGCAGCAGACGCTCCTCAATCTCGGGCAGTGCATGCCAGAAGCCCGTCCGATTCTCGAGGTCGGCCATGGCAAAGTAGCGTAGAATATTCAGCGCATTGGACAGACTGACCGAGTGCAGCAGCAGATCCGATTTGACATCCTGCGGCAGCACACAGACGCACCTGAGCAGCATGGAGCGAAACTTGATGCCGCTATAGACATCCCTGAGCGGCGCCTCTTTCTCCAAGGCGGCGGCAACCAGATCCTTGTACATGCCCGCCAAATAGCCCAAGATGCCGTCATGCTGCAGCGTTTCTAGCAGATTCTTCAATATAAAGTACTTGGCCGCATCCTCGAAGGCGAGTATATAGTGGTGCAACACCTGCAGACCCAGCTGACGCAGCGGCTCCTGCGGCGAGTAGCCGGTGATCTTGCACAGCGCCTCGCAGTAGCGCTTGTGCACCTCCAGATCGAGCGAGCGCTGCGGCACGGGCTCCGTCAAAATGCTGAGCATGTAATCGTTGAGGCGCAGTCCGCAGTGCTGCAGCGGCGGCTCGGGCTGCTCCAGCAGCACGGCCACCAAATACAGGCTCGACTCGAACAGAAAGAGCGGCGCATAGATCTTGGGCGCCGTCGCCGGCAGCAATTGGCCCACGAGCAGCGCATGGTAGTACATGGCGAGGGCGGGCAGCGGCAGTTTGTCATCGATGAGGAACATATTGTGGCTGCTCATCTCGTAGACGCCGTTGGCGGCGTCTAGGCGACGTTTCCAGCGTGCGCGCTGCTCGACCAGGCCCAGCAAATAGTAGGGATCGCCCAGCAGCCGTGTGATGTCCGAGGTCAGCGTGTGCTGCACCTGCTGCACATAGGTCTGTGTCTTGCCCGCATTGGCCCGGGCCAGCAGATAGTTCTGTTGCGTCAGCTCCGGCCGCAGGCGCCATGGACTGGGCGTGCAGGTGTGCGCCTGGCCCGGCTGCAGCAGTCGTTTGGGCACATTGCTCACCTCCAGCAGGGCCAACGGCTTGCCCAGCAGCTGCAGCAGAAAGCAGGTGAGCACATTGCGGCGATTCAGGCCGCAATCGCGAAAGATCGGAGCACGCGCATCCTGCTGGAGCACCGCCTTCAGCAGCGGCTCGTAGCACAGATCGATGGTGATGTAGTGGGCCATCAGCTGCTCAATTTGCTGCTCCTGTTCGAGCAAATGGGCCTGCTGCTCGTCGTAGCCCTCGCTCAGATAGTCCGGCAGCGGCAGCTCACGGACACGCGTCACCACCGACGACAGACACCATTCGATGGCCTGCGGCTTGGCGCTGCCCTGGCGCAGCAGCACCACCTGCAGGGCGCGCAGATAGGCCGAGAATATGGCAATGCTGCTGCTCTCCTCGATCTTCTCCATCAGCTCCAGCATGAACGGATGCAGTGGCGCATAGCTGGCCACAATCTTCAGCAGCTCGTTGACGCAATCGAAGAGCGGCGCATCATCCACATTCGTGTCGTCCGTCAACGTCGGAGCGCAGATCTCATTGTATAGCTCCATGGCAATGGCGGCCATGTGCGGTTCGATTTCCGCAAAGACTGTGGGACTCTGGAAGAGCATTTTGACGCCGTCGTAGTCGCGTTCGAGCAGCATCCGTTTGATGAGACGCAGCAGGTTCTCGGCTTCTGTTACCGTATCCATTTTCATATGCTGTTTAATTTACACTAGTTTCTAGGAGTTTTTTTTTTAACTTTTTTTTAATACTTTTAACTTTGACTTTAAACGGAAAATTCTAAATAAGCTGGCAACCGGCAGCGGCAGCATTTGCTTTATCCATTCCCCCCCTGACGTATAAGTCGGACCGAGAAAAAAAAAAAACAGCTGTTCGCTTTGAATGCCAATCTCGCACGTCTTTCGTAATGTATGCGTAGGGGCGAATTGCGAATTGTGAAATGCCGAGGCGCGCGCGTCTTTGGTATGGTGTGTTAACAGTTGTGGCTTAATTGATAATTTACTTACTGAGTGGGAGCACAAACTTTTGTATGCGTATCACTTTCTGCAAACAGCGCACATTTGCCATTTTTGCGCTCCAAATGTTGTCTGCTCAACTGATATTTGCTTCCTCTTTTAGTGTTAGGTTCAAGCGCCATTCAGCGTGCGGCAAGTTGAGTGTTGTAAAGTTACTTTCGGTGCACCATTTACAGCACTCAAATTCTAGGGCTGCCAGTGCACTTTAATAAATAAAAACATTTGAACTGAACAAACAAACTTTCAATAGCTCAAATGAAAGTCAATTTGACTAAACTACAGCTATAAAGTGATCTTCATTGTGAAATGGATTTTTCTTACATGTTTAGAACAACAGCTGTTTGGTATTTTCTTATGATGCATTTTGCACATTTTTGTGGCTTGCGCCAACTGGTCACACTAATTAGTAGACCCAACGCTTTTCATTAGTCGTGTGTGCTGTTCGCGGTGCCAGCGCGCATAATTTTTACATTAATTTTTAAGCACAATTTTTGCAAACCACTGCAAAACATTGTTAGTCAAATAAATTAACTGTGCGGCGCATTAAGTCAATTGCTAGCAGCGCCACACAGTTAACACCACAAGTGTTCAATTTGTACGTTGCCAACGAATTATTTAAAAAGCGAATGCGGCAAAAAAAAAAACAAAAACCAAAACGAAATCCAAGAATTCCAAAGCAAATAATCAAAACATTCAAATAAAACGAATTGATAAAGCATTTAAACAAATCATATATAATATCCATTAGAATAGTTAGCTTAAGCCACAACAATTGTTAGCAGAGGAAATCAGCTAGACCAACCGATCCCCCAACGAGGGTGGAAAACCGTGAAAAGTGTGTGTGTATAAAAAACGAAATAAAAAAAAAAATTGTGCATCTGTGTTAAACGATGAGGAAAACCGTTGCGAAAAATGTGCGAGCAACAATTTAAGGCTGTTCCTGTTCTTAAACGTCCGTAGTCCGGCCTGAAATCCAGTTTTATGCGAGGCGACTCGCGCTTGAAATCGCTTCGACAACAACAACAATAACAGCCACAACAACAACAAACTTGGGCCCTTTTCGCCTTGCACACAGCACGCAATTCGCCGCCGCCGCCGCCGCAGCCACCGCCTCCGCCCGCAAAGGCCTGTGCCGCCTTGTGGTTATTCCTGTTTGACTTCATTTTCGCTCGCTGCCAAATTGCTGCCACTTTCGCCGCAAACTTATAAACAACAACAACAATAACAATTATTTTTGGGCAACCAGTCAAAATGTCGACGCGCTCGCAATTAACCAAGGACCTCAATGGTGAGTAATCGTTGTTGTTATCGTTATTGTTATCGTAATCGCAACTGTAAACTCTTTACACACACCCCACCCCACGCTCTTCTTCTTTGTTTTGCATATAACTGCTTGCACATTCTACACCCCCCCACCCCCTTGCATCCCCTCTGCTGCGTTGTTTTTGTTTTCGGCATTGTCGCTTTATGTTTTGTTCTTGACGTTTGCCTCTCGCCCGGCGCACTTCCGCTTTGCCGCAATGTGACACGAACACGACACACCACCCGCCCACCCCCTTGCCTAATCTACACTGGAACAGTTTGAGATGCTCGGAGCACTCACTTTCCAACTGCAGCTTGCATAGTCTACGCACATGCCGAAGTGTGCGTGTGTTTAATTCATATTCATTCGCATTGCTTGCCTCCTTATACCCTGTACTCATTAAGCATTGCATCAATTGGGTATATCTAGTTGTATATAGGGGAAAGAGCATCGATATTTAAAGGAGGAATGACAGAGAGAGCGAGAGGGGAAATAAATAGGATGCAAGAAAGAGAAAAGAATAACATTAAATCACCCTTCTACGCGCTTCTCATGAATTGTGTGCTACTGGGTATCTGCTAGTCGAGCATGCGTTGCTTGCGAACGTTTGCTTGTTAATTGCTCGTGCGATGATATTTAATTGAGCTGAAATTCAGTTGAGCGCTGCAAAACAGAAAGTAGAAGGAACATTAATAAATAATAACAACAATAAAAACAACAACAAATAATAAAAAAAAGCATTTATGAGCTTTATAACTGCGCGATAAACAAAATACACAAACAGACACATTTGCAATGCCAGTGCACAAATCTGTGTGCGTGTGTGTGTTTGTTCTTATTGGAATATTGCAGTTAGTCAGAGTCTGTTTGTCATTTAAAGCGATTCCTCGTTTCAGCCGGGGAAATTGTAGAGGCAGCTGCCAGCAACAACAACAACTTAATTATTAACATAATAATTATCTCGAAGGAAATATATATGCATGTATGTGCAAGAATTTGCATAAATGCATTTAAGTTTCTTCCACAATTGTTTATAATTGTTTATACTAAATAAACAAGTTTGTGCAACAGCAATTAGTTCTTCAATTAGTTTTTGTTTATTATTGTTGATATAGGCGAGGTTGAAAATGCACTTCAATTGCAAATGTTTCATCTCTTTTCCGCTCGTGTTGGTGGATTCTGCAAAATACGTGGAACTTGCAAAGCGAGTTTTAAATTGTCTCTAGCTGGAGATGAATGCATGAATCTAATTAGATAATAAAAGCTCAGTTACATTCTCTAGCTTATCACCCATTTTCCACGCTCATTTGTGGAATTCACATTTTACTGCTCGTAAAAATGCAGCTAGCATTGAAATAATATGTGAGAGAGCAATTTTTATTTAACAACATTCTGTTCATCATTTTGTTTTTCCCCCGGGCGTAACATTTGCTAACTGTTATTCCTATCATATCATATTTTGTGGCGACTTCTGAATTACTTAACTATGATTAGGGCTCGCTCGTTATCTGAATGACTCGTGATTAACTTGATGCCGTTGATTAATCGACAGTCGGCAGGTGTCTAAAGTGTGCTTTAAGTTGGAATAACAGACACACAGAGATACACACTCGCACACACACTCGCACACATTTGGCATAAATCAGACGGCCAATTGAGTTTCTGGTAGCGCCTCGAGTTTATTTTCATTTGATTTTCACGCTGGCATTTTCTTTGGGGGGCGGCGCGCAGCTGCAACAACAATTCGTTGTTTGTGGCACATAAATAAAATTGTCAATGCATCAAGTTGCTCCAAATTCCAATTCCAAAATCGAAACTAAAAACATTTGCCTAAGTTACGAGCATCAAGTGGCATGCGCTGGTCTAATTGGACTATGGCTAATTGGAAGCCAACTGCGCGCACAGCGGGCGCAGCAAATGTTGCACCTGGGCCCAGGCTCAAGACGCACACACTCTGACAAGGGGCTGGCTAGTGGGCGTGGTAGCGTGGGGAAGGGGGGGAGGGTTTGCGAGGTGCTGGGTCTGGTTCTTGCGGCTCCTGTCATTGCACTCAAATCAAATTAGCGCGAATGCCAACGAACTTGATGAAAATTGCCAGCCTAGGCAGTTGCTCTCAAACTGTAAGTGGACTCTGATTCGGTGTGGCATTTGTTAACGTTCCATTTGTTGTTGTTGTTGCTGTTGTTGTTGCCACTTGCTGTTTGTTGTTGTTTGTTGACTCTTCACGTTCGTCGCGCTCTGAAGCGCTGTCAAGCGTTAACCAATTTCCGGTGGAGGTTCTTGCGATGACGTCTATATGCAAAGTTTTTGGAAAATATTCTTCCAAGGTTGTGCTTCGCGAACTATTAAGGACAACTGAGAATACTGAGACACATAGTATTCCTATATACAGGCACAATACCACTTTCGACTTATACATTCATCTCTTTGAAGAGCCATATGTACGAACAAAGAAATTCCTTATCCATAAATAAGTTAAGTTGTTGTTTAATAGGTTTAAAACTCAGTTATGCAATAATTTCCTGGCAAAATCCGAGCTCAAGACTATGCCGAATTCACTGGCATAAGCGGAATATAGATGGAAAGTTCATATGTTAACTAAAATGTTGGAAAGAACCTGCAAGAATTCGAAATTGTTTTGAAGAGTTCAAATATAAACACAAACTTAAGACTTCTAGAATTTAAAATTATATTTTTCTTTTGATAATTTGACAATTTAATAGAAATCTTCTGTGATCCCAGAAGGTAAGAAAATAGAGATCTGGTATGCAATGGGAGATATCTTCTTTTAAAATATTGCAACTTAATGCAATATTATAATTTAATTAACAGTTAGATCCAGATCTTGTGTAACCTTAATCGCGGCTTTAGTTTACATCGAATTTCTTTACTCTCAATGAAAAAAAAAGTGTTGTCTATATAAAAAATTAAAACCGTGTTGTGCAGTGCACTGCACACCTTACGGTCACACCCAACACACGTTGCAGTCTCTCTCTCTCTCTATCTTTCTCTCGCTCGCTCGCTCTTCTGCTTCGCTCGCTCACGTTCCCAATTGGGAATAGTCTGATAAGCGCAATGTGCTGATAAGAAGCGATCGCAGTTGTCGCACTTCGCCTCAGTTCTGAATTCGACGCGGCCGCAGCCTAGTGCCTGGCAGAGTCTACGTAACTCTCTCTCTCTCAAAATCGGGGCCCAAGGGGCGCGATTCGTAATTGTTTTCGTTATTATTATTATTATTGTTATTGTTATTTGTATTAATTTTGTGAATGTGAACAAAATGTACACAAACGAAATGATGAATCACATCGATCAATATTTGCGTCGCATTATCGAGCTGCAGATACGCGACGTGGTGAGAAAAACCAAAGACAAAGGTGAATATACTGCATGCATGCCTAATAAAAGATACAAAGATACATTCCTTGTACTCAATGCAAGTTTTACACGGACTCATGAATGCGTCATACTTTGATAACGCTCGTAACACTCGCTGACCAGCATACCAGAGAGTGGGAGGGGAGAGGGGGGGGGGGTACTTTTTCGCACGTCATAAAACAACAAACGTCCGGAGCTGCTGCTGCTGCTGCACCTCTTTTCAACGGAAATTGACTTGTTCAACATTTTACAGCACTAATTATTGTTGTTTTTTTTATGCGCCAAATCGTATAAGTCTTATCAGTGTTGCCCAATTCGTTTATGTAGATTCTAAATACCCTTTCCTGTACGTTTTTATTTATAAATTTTAAATTTAGTTATCGCTGCAATAATTATTGCCTGCTAACTTTTTGCCGTTTTATGGCCACTCTAATGCTTGGCTGGCTGATTTATTGCTAATTACTGGTCACACTTCCCTTTTAACAGTTATTCTGATGCTTATACTCAGCTCTTATACGCACACAATAAACTAGTATATTGAGAAATAGATAACCCAACTTTGCTTAGTCAGTTTATAACTGTTTTTGTCGTAAATTAAGGCACAATTTCGACGGGTTCTGGACATTGAACTATTTATGTGGTTAATCGCAAACTATCCTTTTGATTACTAAACTCTTGAACTAAACGAGTAGCTTTTTTAGTTTTACTTCTTTTGTATTTATAATTGTAAAATTGACTCGAAGTTTGCTTTTGATTCACACAGTTATTTGCCACAACTCTGTGGCAATAGGAAAAAACGAGTTTGCCCGAAATTAATGGATTCACTTCTTTTTTATTGGGTCTGCCTTCCAGCCAAAAATGCAAAACTATGGAAATTTATTGGATGGGCTCGGCCAGTGAAGGCCATAAGTGTTGTGTGTGTGTGTGTGTGTGTGTGTGTGTGTGTGACCCCTGAATGACCCACTTGCTGGCCAATAAATGCACCCGCTCAATAATTCATGCTGCCAATTAAACGTCTGCTCATTTGCAATGCAACTAACGGCAAATTGTATGCAATTAGTGCTAACAGCTAACTAGCCTCTCCCTCTGTTACTTTTACTCTCTCTCTGTATATCTCTCTCTCCCTCTCTCGCACACTCTATATGTTGAGCATGTTTGTGCCAGTTTCCCGTCTTGCTCCATTTCCAGTTATCCTGCCTGCATCTTGCGTCTCATTAACACAAACACAAACACACACATACACACACACACACATGCACACATTTTGCATTCGCAGCGACAATTTGGGTGGATTGAAAGTTGGTGGGGAACTGAGAACCCGTTTGACAGCATCTCGGCTTAAAAGAAGCGACACAAAAGCGCGCAGAATTGACACCAACACCAAAATAATATATAAAAACCAAACTCTAAAAAAAGCTCATGAGCTGTGCTCTATTTTGAGGTCGGGTGAAATTGTGTCACCTAACAACAACAACAACAACAAGTGACGCTAATGAGGCACGCCTGCCTGCTGCAGTGCTCACTCAGTCGCATCCCTGACCCGCTGCTGGCCAGCCGCACTGTGCTGTGCTCCACTTTTGTATTTGGTGGATAGGAAGAAAGAAAAAAATGATGGGTAGAGAGTGGGTGAGAGTGTGCGAGAGAGCAGGTGGATAACCTGTCGCTTTCTATGGCTTGAACAATGTGTGCGTGGCTTGAAAGCTCAACGTCCGAATTCGCACAAAAAATAACTGCGTTTTGAGGTCATATAAATTGAAGCGCTCGCCCACTGGAATTTACAAAGGCAGCTTAAAATAGATTTACAGCAATTAGAACAAAAGCAAACACTTTAACAGCGTCTCTGCTGTGCTTAACATCTTCAGGGTCAGTTAATTGTTTACAGTCTTAACAGAGGCGGCAAGCGCACAGCTGTCTGCCTGTCCATGTTAACAGCAGCAAAAACAATGACAGCTGTTAATAATGCGCGAAAGTAAATGGCAATAGCCGCCGGTCGGTCTGTTGTCTGTTGTCTGTCTGCCTGCCGCCCACTCTCTCCCACTTCCTCGCTCTCTCTCGCCCCCGCTGCTCCATTGTGCAAATATAATTAACATAACGTAAAGTAATCACAAAGTTGTGTGTAAAGAAAACGAAAATAAAAATCTTCGTTTAACTTTCTTTTGTGCTGTTGCTGCTGCTGCTGCTGCGCTTGGCTTCAGCTACAGCTTTGATTGTACCGTTAGCATAAGCAGCCGCGGCAGAGGCCTTGCCCATTGTTTGTTGTTTTTGCAAAGATTGAAAGCGATTGTCGCATTCTTTTCGACTTCAAATACGTACTTGTAAGAATACTCTGTGTATGTGTGTGTGTGTGTGTGTTCACAATTATATGTAGGTGTCTATGTGTGCGTAATCGTGTCTATATTTGGGCTGCGCTGTGCCTAATCCTTTGCAAACAAGAAGCTTTTAAGCTTGACTTGGCATACATGTGTACAGAACCATGTAAGCATTTGCTTCTCTATGCCATTGCGTGCAGTTGCTGTCAAACTGTACAACCGATTTAAGTCTCATATTCATTTAGTTCTTCACTGAGTTTTGACAGCCTTTGTGCTGCTAACACGACACGTTCGCATTTGCGAGTGTGTATCTAGATGCAACAAAAAGAGTGCACAATCAACTAACTACACACACACACACACACACAAGTGTTTTAATAAAAGGCTCAGACACGGCGACACACACGCAGACAGCCAGAGACACGCCCACAGCTGCACTTGTAGCTGAGTATTTTGAACTCGTGTAATCTCTGCAAAAATGTATACACACACACATGTATGTGTATATATACTAACAGCAGCAGCAACAAAACTTTGCCAAATTGGGTCACACTTATCGTGTGCTTCCCCGCCCCCCTTTCCCCGCTCACTTGGCATGCTGTCAATGTTGTTAAGCTGGCAAAATATGCTATCCAGATGAGAAAAACTTATTTCGAGCTTGCTGCAGCATCGGTTCTTTGACCCCACACAAGAGATAAAGTATCGAAAAGGTATCGTTTCATCGTCGCGCTTGACCTGTGTCTTATCAAAACGTCGAACCGAACCGAACCGAAATTGACCACAGTTCGCAATTAAAGTTAAATTTCCTTTAAGCGGAAATGAAGTCGAGACTGCGAGACGGCTGCACAGGTAATTATGAGCTCGAATGGGAACATGGCCAACGTAATTGCTGTAGGGTACATTTCGTGTATCGGGCAAATGTCTGCTTGCCAAATGACTAATAAAATCTCGCGGGCCAGACAAAAATACACATACATACATACATATATGGAATAACAGTAAAAGTTCAGCGAATAACAGCTATTTTGATGTCAGATCTGTTTACGTTCCAATCTTTTATAGTACAAAAACTGTTGTTGGTGCTTACAAAGAACTCTTTTTCAAGGAAAACTTTTACGAAAATTGGCATTGGAACTGAAGGGGATGAAGGGGAAAATATGCGACAGTTTTTAAGACTACTCAATTTGTTAACTTTTTATTATATATATCTATATGAATATTGAATATCTTTTAATGTACATTGAATTACTGCATTCAGTTGTAAGCTCTATGAAATGTTTATACTGTGCTATTATGCAGTCACAGTCACTGTCAATAGTCGGTGATTGCAAACTTGTTACAAGAAAATAAACTTTATTGCATTTACTTTTAAAAGAGACTATCATAAACGTGCCACAAGGCATGTCGAGTGAAGTACATAAATGTTTGATAAAGTGGGGCAATAAAATGCGTTTTAAAATAATAAAAAAAATGAATTTTACGTTCTTTTCTAAGTTTCTGTAGTTACTTTTTATGTACCATCCATAAGGAATATTCTTAAAAGTTAATTTACTGCGCATTGCATATTTAAAGAACACAATTCGTCAAGTTCTTAAATGTATTTAATTCATTTTAATAACATTCTGTTAGTTTACAGAGAATTAAGAGTTCTGCATTGCATCCCAACGACAAATGCTATTTCATTGCCGCAAACAATTACTCGCGTGTGTGTGCGTGTGTGTGCTCATCAACAGAGTCATTGTGATATTGACATAGTGTCGACCGATGAGCACTTGCATGCAAGAACAGAACAGCAAACATACTAAGTAATCAGCTCTGGCTACCGTGCTAATGTGCTAGAGGGAGTAGGCAAGAACGGCGCGAGAGCGAGCTTTTGAGCCGCAGCAGCTGTAAAAGCGTCAAACAAAGTTCATTCACATTTTTTTTTTTTTTGCTGCTGCAATTAAGAGAAGCAGCCGCAGCAGCAGCAGCAGCGGCAGCAGCGGCAGCCAAAATGTTTTGCTCTGGCTCACAGTTAACTGTCAATGTTGCCGCTTGGACGCTTCGCTGGCTATGCTCCACGCTTACGATGGCGATCTTTATCATTGTCAACGCTGCGCGGCGGAACTGAGTTGCTTATACCCTGCACGAAGTGCTAAAAGGGGTATATCGGCTGCACAATGTTTTCGCTAGAGACGGCTGAAAGTTGAAATGTTGTGGGATAAACTTATGTCACAGTTTAAAAGTCACTACTTTTAGAATTAAACCGACTGCGGCTGAGTGAAGTTGTTATCAAACTGTAAACAGGGTATTGCGCAGTCGCTGGCACCCGACCATAACTTGTTTCTTTTAGGTTTTTTTTGTTTTAGTTTACTTTGGAATAGCTGGCGCCGTTCTAAGTGCCCCGCAGTGGGTGGCTCTGCCCCTGCCACAAGGTGTGTGTGTGTGTGTGTGTGTGTGTGTGTGTGGTGTGTGCGTGTCTGGAGGTCTTAACAATCGTTGTTACTCATAACACACACAATTGGCACTTAGAGGCGCGTTGTCAGCCATAGGCAAAAGCCCGTTTGTCAAATGTCTTTGCCTTTGCCGTTTTGGCCACAATTTTGCGGCCGTTTAGTGAGTGTGGTCAGGGCCCTAATTGCTCCCGCAGCTCTTTTATGGCATGTCCCATGCAAATCCATTGCCAACTACACACATACATGCATCTGTATATGTATATACATACACACACATATATATATATATATAAACTTGCTTTTTCACTTTCCCTTCAGCCCACAAATTTGTTTAAGGAATTTGTAGGCGTAAAAATAACGAGAAAAAAAAACCATTAAATTTGTTTTAGACCCTCGGCTGTTAACGATATCGTTCTCTTGAGGGTGATTCATAGCAAATATATCCCTAGGGCGGGGCGTATAGAAGAAGAAGAAGCAGTACAGCGGGAGTAGAGAATAGAAGATAAGCTTGGATTCATTGCAATTTCTTTACTTCTGTATTGATACTTATAATAGAGGCAAACTTCAGATGGGAGTTACGTATAGTATGATGCAAATGAGCTATATATATAGAATAGTAACGGTTTATTTATAGTTAATCTAGAGCATATAGTGCACCTAAGTCTCATAATTAATTTCTTCATCTCTGATTAACAATTTGCGATGCGTAACTCTTTTTTATTCCTGGTAAATTTCTTTCTTTGTTAAAGGGTAGAAATTCTTCTTCTTTATTTTAGATCCTTGCAGAGGCTTTACCTATGTGTAACTCGTTCTCTCCCAGCTATTCCCTACTTTCGCTCGTACTAGCAAACTTGTTAATTAGTTGGTTTATTTATTTATTAAAGTTTCTATTACTATGTTTTCATTTTTTTACGGCTTGGGTTTACAGTTGAGTTTACGGTTTAGCTGTCGTTAGCTGCCAAAATCTTTGACATTTCATTTCCCAGCTTTGCCTTGGGGATCACATGCCCAGACAAGGAGTCATAGCCTATTTGATACCCTGCCGCGCCTCTCCTCCCGGCAAGCTTCCCCCTGTCTGTGCTGCTTGTGCCTGTGTGCCATCCGGGCATACTTGAGATTTGGCGTGCCTGCCGCATGACATAATGCTCGTACAACAACAACAACAACAACAATCAAAATATTCTGTGCCACAAGTTGCCCCCGGCAACCCCTTAGCTCCGACCCCGCTCCGCCCCGCCCCACCTTTGCTGGCATTGTCAAATGCACATGAAAATATCTCACTTTGAATAAATTCGTCATTGTTGTGTGTACGAGTGTGTGCGTGTGTGCGTGTGTGTTGGGGTGTGTGTGTGTGTGCTAAGTAGCTGGAAATGTATATGAAAATAGAGGGGCTTGGGGCTTAGCCAACTGAGGCGGCAGCAGAGAGAGAGGGGGGGGGAGGGGGTAGCTAAGGCTGCAAAACTCAGCGAAATTTCAAATTGTGTTTTATTTCTGTTGCCTTCATAAAATTGTCTACGTGTTTTGGTTTGAAAAGGCAAAAGGCAATATACGAGGTGCTGTCACCCATCTATGATATAACACTCGTAATAATATATTGGCATGCATAATAATAACAACAATTACGTGCAGATACCCTTTATATAGAGATATATAGATACAGATATGGCCGTAAATATGGCGAGATGTCAATTTGGGTGCATGTGCTTAATTGCTTTTGCCAATTGATTTTAATTAACCCAGCTAATAATAATTGCACTAATTAAACCAGCTAATAACCACGTTCTTCTTCTTCTTTCGACAGAAAGCGTTAAATCGATTTTGGGTCGCCACACAAAGATCTTGGTCAAGTATATGGTCAAATTGGAAACGAAAGGCGATAAAACGGAGAATCGTGTCTTGGTAAGTGTCGAGAGCAAAAGCAGCAACAGCAGAAACAACCACCACCAATTGGCAATTGGCCTCAGGAGTTCCTCATCACACGCCTGACCCTGCCCCTGCCCCTGCCCCAGCTCCTTCCTCTGCTGCACTTCAGCTTGCGAGATTTGCCATGGCTTTGGCCCTGAGTCTGATTTGTGTATGAAATTGCACGCTGGGATGATTCGCTTGCGGCTGCCCGGCCAAATTGCATTCAAATGCGAATGCCCTGTAATTGGCTGGCAAATGGGGTCTATTTGTGTAGAGCGTGCGGCTTGTAAGAGTCTCAAGTGCAGATTCAATAAATATACATAAATCTTAAGCTATATATAACGATTTTTTCAATTGCATTTATCAAAATCTTATATAATCAACTAGACTTTTTTGGCCAGTTCTTAAAGCTTTATGGTCTTCTATAAGGATAGAGATTTTCTTCCCGATAAAACGTGAAAAACTGAATATCCCTTATTCCAATAAGCATTGTTGAGTTGGTTAAAAATGTGTTAAACTATAGTCATATATATATATATATATATATGATATCTAAAGCGCTAATTCTTAGGCTTACGCCAAAATTTCAATCGCAAAAGTATTTAGGAAAGAAAAAAGGGCAAAAGTACAAGCACTTGCTATTAGTTTTATATTCCATTCATAAATCTCGAACTTCCAGTAAAACATAATCTATGGATCTGCAACATTCAGAAGCTGTTCATGATATATATATATATATATATATATATATATATATATATATATATATATCAATCTCTGCTTTAATTCCTGATATCTTCATACCAAGTATTCTTCATCAAGGAGTATTAACAAGTCTGTTCTTTTATACCTTTTGGCCACTCACCTGACAAGCCTCTGTCTTGCCTTCTCCCTCTCCCCCGCCCTCTTCCGCTCTCTTTCATCCATCTGCCTGACCGTCTGTTAATTGGCAGCTGTTGGCAGCTTAAAGGTAGCATTTCGATATTGCGTCCATTGAGTTGGCCTCAAAACTCAATTAAAAGCAAACACTTTGCCTGGCGGAAAGTATTTAAAGTGCTTAGCTTTTGCCCCATGCTTGCCCCATTGGGGCTTTTCTTTGGAGCTTTTCACATAGCTGTAAATGTAATTGATATTTTATAGCATACTTAGCGACGTTTTAGCCCCACCTTCCCTCCCTTCCCCCGCCCTCGGCTTATGCTAATTTCTCGCCTCGTTTAAAAGTCACATGACTGGAAAATTGATTTAGTTCTAGGGCCGAGGCGTACAAAAAAGCCGCTTATTTAGTCGCCGAGACAAAGTGTCCAATTACCAGACCCGACAACGGTAACTTAGCAGGAAACAGCTACCGCCTCCCCTCCCCTCCCCCTCATACCACACCCGCCCCTACAATAGTGGCAAGTGGCTAAATGAATTACAGAACGCACTTTGATTTCCAATTAAATGCTGCAAAAAGTTTTCCTTTGCAGTCAAAGAAAATTGAGTTAGCTGCCGCCTCACGGCAACCAGAACCCCCGCCTCGTCCCGCCCCGTCCCAACGCACTTTGTGGGGCACTCGGTATTCATTCTCATTGCACTAGCTTCTAGTGCTACCACGAAAATGTGCAGCCCGACAAGAGGAACACTCGACCCCAGCCCTACTCTCTCTACACCCCTCTGCATTTGCCTTGCATGTTTACACGTTATAAGAAATTACCCAGCCCTTTGCACTTCAATTAATTACTAATGTAATTTAAATAAGTTACAAATTTCTGATACTAAGAACACAATCCATGTTCTTCGAAACTGCGGAACTTACAATCTAAGATATGTTGTACTTCAATAAAAAGCGTCTTTCGCTTATTATACCCTTATCGAGGGTATTCTAATTCTGTCAAACTGTAAAGTTTAACACAAAGCAGGAGATCCCATAAAGTATATATATATTCAAGATCAGCATCAATAGCCGAGTTGATAAAGTCATGTCCGTCTGTTTGCCTTCTGTATTGCCTGGAAATTTTGCATAATCTTTTTATGCAGTACATTTGTCGGAGCACTATATCATATAGTCGCTATAGGAGCGATCGGTCGAACAGTAGGTCTTGTGTGGAACACTTTTTTGCTTATCAAGATATCTTGAGCACACTCGGCATTTATAAGTTTCACTTTACTCCCTAAGTATATGCAAAATCTTGTCAACATCGGACCACCATATCCTATAGCTGTCATAGGAATTATCGGTCGAGCTTTTCATGATCTTTCTATGAGAAACTTTTTTGTTTTTCAAGATAACTTGACTAAACTAGGCATTCATAAGAGTTACTTCGCTTCCTACATATATACAAAATCTTATCGATATTGGTTAACTATATCATTTAGCTGACATAGGAAATATCGGTCGAAAAGTAGCTTAATCTTCTTTAATCCAAAACTTTTTGTTCCTTTGCAGGTTTTTACGCCCGTTCGCATTTATTTGCTCAGCGCCAAGGTGCCCACAAAGGTAAGCGTATAGAACTATATAATAATTAAATTTTGAAGCAGCTTCTCTTAATAATTACCCAAAATGATGCACATTGCAGATCGAATGCCATTTCCATTATTTGGACATTGTCGGCGTCGAGAGCAAAAAGTCAACACATTTCTCGATTGTGACCAACGATCGGCCATATTCGTTTGTCACCACCGGCGATGCGGGCAATTTCAGCTCGGTAATAAAACGCACAAAACTATCTAATATCATGCATCTATTATCATATTCGTAATAATTTCTCTCTTCTCCGGTTCACAGAGCGCTGATGTCATTCTAACCGATCTAGCCTCGGCCATTAAGCAAATATTTCCAACAGTTCCTCTCAAATACATCATTAAAAAGGCAAGTACCCAAAAAACTGGACACGCAATAGAAGCTTTTGTATAATTGGGGGGGATTTTTTTGCTAGGAAATGATTTACAGGGTTATACTATATACTATATATTGAAAGATCAAAAGGAGTCAGCTTTTTTTTGGATTTAGTATACTCTATAAGAAATATATACTTAAACTTTAAAGTATACTATATACTTTATACTATATATACTATATACTGTATATATAAGACTATCGAAGCATTTGTACTCGTATAATTGGGTAGGATTTTGTGCTAGGAAATGATTTATAGGGTATATATAGAAAGATGAAAGATCACATATAATAGAAAGATCAGTTCAACTTTTGGGTATAATATTATTTATACTCTATAAGAAATATATAGTCTATATACTTAAACGTTACAGAATACTTTATATATATATATATATATATATTATATATACTATACTATATATAGTCTATACTCTATATATACTCTATATAACCTATACTCTATAATCCCTCTGTTACTTTTCTAATCCTAACTGTTACTTTTCTAAACTAACTACTTGGAAAAAAACTTTTCGTATTACTTTTCTACTTTACTTAGTTGTTTTGTAGAGTAAACTGAAAGTTTCGCTGCAACTTTTTATTTATATTTTCTGTGTTTTTTTTTATACCCTGAACCCATTAAAAATGGGTATAAGGGTATATTGTATTTGTGCGAAAGCCAAATGTATGTAACAGGCAGAAGGAAGCATCTCCCACCCCATAAAGTATATATTTTCTTGATCAGCATAAATAGCTGAGTCGATCTAGCCATGTCCGTCTGTCTGTCCGTCCGTCCGTCCGTCCGTCCGTATGTATGAACGCAAGGATCTCAGCACCTATAAGAGCTAGAGACTTGAAATTTTAGATGTAGATGCTCCTAGCTCCCGCGCAGATCGAGTTTGTTTCCGATAATCGATAACTTACTCCGTTTCCAAGCAATCGATAAAAAGCAATATCGATATCCTGTTTTTTGGGCAATTTTGGTAAATAATAAGAACTAGAGTCACCAAACTTGACATATAGCTTCTAAAATAGAATATATATATGATATAGGATTTTTCTTCACGGTTTTCCCTCTAGATTAATCTGGCATTCAAATCTGAACACCGATTATTTAGTCGAAATGCATGTCCAAATCTTACCCCAAGATTCGTATATAGACATGGGTCAAAAATGACCACCCCCATATCTCGGCCAAATCTCATCCGATTTTCACGAACTTTGGCTGTTTCTTCATGGTTTTCCCTCTAGATTAATCTGGCATTCAAATCTCGACACCGATTTTTTGGTCGAAATTCATGTCCAAATCTTACCCCAAGATTCGTATATAGACATGGGTCAAAAATGACCACCTCCATATTTCGGCCAAATCTCATCCGATTTTCACGAACTTTGGCTTTTTCTTCATGGTTTTCCCTCTAGATTAATATGGCATTCAAATCTCGACACCGATTTTTTGGTCGAAATTCTTGTCCAAATCTTACCCCAAGATTCGTATATAGACATGGGTCAAAAATGACCACCCCCATATCTCGGCCAAATCTCATCCGATTTTCACGAACTTTGGCTGTTTCTTCATGGTTTTCCCTCTAGATTAATCTGGCATTCAAATCTCGACACCGATTTTTTGGTCGAAATTCATGTCCAAATCTTACCCCAAGATTCGTATATAGACATGGGTCAAAAATGACCACCTCCATATTTCGGCCAAATCTCATCCGATTTTCACGAACTTTGGCTTTTTCTTCATGGTTTTCCCTCTAGATTAATATGGCATTCAAATCTCGACACCGATTTTTTGGTCGAAATTCTTGTCCAAATCTTACCCCAAAATTCGTATATAGACATGGGTCAAAAAGTACCACCCCATAACCCGGTCAAATCTCATTCGATTTCCACGAAGTTTGGATTTTTCTTCATGGTTTTCCCTCTAGATTAATCTGGCAATCAAATCTCGACACCGATTTTTTGGTCGAAATTTTTGTCCAAATCTTACCCCAAGATTCGTATATAGACATGGGTCAAAAATTACCACCCCCATATCTCGGCCAAATCTCATCCGATTTCCACGAAGTTTGGATTTTTCTTCATGGTTTTCCCTCTAGATTAATCTGGCATTCAAATCTGAACACCGATTTTTTAGTCGAAATTCATGTCCAAATCTTACCCCAAGATTCGTATGTAGACATGGGTCAAAAATGACCACCTCCATATTTCGGCCAAATCTCATCCGATTTTCACGAACTTTGGCTTTTTCTTCATGGTTTTCCCTCTAGATTAATGTGGCATTCAAATCTCGACACCGATTTTTTGGTCGAAATTCATGTCCAAATCTTACCCCAAGATTCGTATATAGACATGGGTCAAAAATGACCACCCCCATATCTCGGCCAAATCTCATCCGATTTCCACGAAGTTTGGATTTTTCTTCATGGTTTTCCCTCTAGATTAATCTGGCATTCAAATATGAACAGCGATTTTTTGGTCGAAATGCATGTCCAAATCTTACCCCAAGATTCATATCTAGACATGGGTCAAAAATTACCACCCCCATAACTCGGTCAAATCTCATCCGATTTTCACGAAGTTTTGCGCTTTCTCCATGGTTTTCCCTCTAGATTAATCTAGCATTCAAATCTCGACACCGATTTTTTGGTCGAAATTCATGTCCAAATCTTACCCCAAGATTCGTATATAGACATGGGTCAAAAATGACCACCTCCATATTTCGGCCAAATCTCATCCGATTTTCACGAACTTTGGCTTTTTCTTCATGGTTTTCCCTCTAGATTATCTGGCATTCAAATCTCGACACCGATTTTTTGGTCGAAATTCATGTCCAAATCTTACTCCAAAATTCGTATATAGACATGGGTCAAAAAGTACCACCCCCATAACTCGGTCAAATCTCATTCGATTTCCACGAAGTTTGGATTTTTCTTCACGGTTTTCCCTCTAGATTAATCTGGCATTCAAATCTGAACACCGATTATTTAGTCGAAATGCATGTCCAAATCTTACCCCAAGATTCGTATATAGACATGGGTCAAAAATGACCACCCCCATATCTCGGCCAAATCTCATCCGATTTCCACGAAGTTTGGATTTTTCTTCATGGTTTTCCTTCTAGATTAATCTGGCATTCAAATATGAACAGCGATTTTTTGGTCGAAATGCATGTCCAAATCTTACCCCAAGATTCGTATCTAGACATGGGTCAAAAATGACCACCCCCATATCTCGGCCAAATCTCATCCGATTTTAACGAACTTTGGCTTTTTCTTCATGGTTTTCCCTCTAGATTAATCTGGCATTCAAATCTCGACACCGATTTTTTGGTCGAAATTCATGTCCAAATCTTACTCCAAAATTCGTTTATAGACATGGGTCAAAAAGTACCACCCCCATAACTCGGTCAAATCTCATTCGATTTCCACGAAGTTTGGATTTTTCTTCACGGTTTTCCCTCTAGATTAATCTGGCATTCAAATCTGAACACCGATTTTTTGGTCGAAATTCATGTCCAAATCTTACCCCAAGATTCGTATATAGACATGGATCAAAAATGACCACCTCCATATTTCGGCCAAATCTCATCCGATTTTCACGAACTTTGGCTTTTTCTTCATGGTTTTCCCTCTAGATTAATGTGGCATTCAAATCTCGACACCGATTTTTTGGTCGAAATTCATGTCCAAATCTTACCCCAAGATTCGTATATAGACATGGGTCAAAAATGACCACCCCCATATCTCGGCCAAATCTCATCCGATTTCCACGAAGTTTGGATTTTTCTTCATGGTTTTCCCTCTAGATTAATCTGGCATTCAAATATGAACAGCGATTTTTTGGTCGAAATGCATGTCCAAATCTTACCCCAAGATTCGTATATAGACATGGGTCAAAAATGACCACCCCCATATCTCGGCCAAATCTCATCCGATTTTCACGAACTTTAGCTTTTTCTTCATGGTTTTCCCTCTAGATTAATCTGGCATTCAAATCTCGACACCGATTTTTTGGTCGAAATTCATGTCCAAATCTTACCCCAAGATTCGTATATAGACATGGATCAAAAATGACCACCTCCATATTTCGGCCAAATCTCATCCGATTTTCACGAACTTTGGCTTTTTCTTCATGGTTTTCCCTCTAGATTAATGTGGCATTCAAATCTCGACACCGATTTTTTGGTCGAAATTCATGTCCAAATCTTACCCCAAGATTCGTATATAGACATGGGTCAAAAATGACCACCCCCATATCTCGGCCAAATCTCATCCGATTTCCACGAAGTTTGGATTTTTCTTCATGGTTTTCCCTCTAGATTAATCTGGCATTCAAATATGAACAGCGATTTTTTGGTCGAAATGCATGTCCAAATCTTACCCCAAGATTCGTATATAGACATGGGTCAAAAATGACCACCCCCATATCTCGGCCAAATCTCATCCGATTTTCACGAACTTTGGCTGTTTCTTCATGGTTTTCCCTCTAGATTAATCTGGCATTCAAATCTCGACACCGATTTTTTGGTCGAAATTCATGTCCAAATCTTACCCCAAGATTCGTATATAGACATGGATCAAAAATGACCACCTCCATATTTCGGCCAAATCTCATCCGATTTTCACGAACTTTGGCTTTTTCTTCATGGTTTTCCCTCTAGATTAATGTGGCATTCAAATCTCGACACCGATTTTTTGGTCGAAATTCATGTCCAAATCTTACCCCAAGATTCGTATATAGACATGGGTCAAAAATGACCACCCCCATATCTCGGCCAAATCTCATCCGATTTCCACGAAGTTTGGATTTTTCTTCATGGTTTTCCCTCTAGATTAATCTGGCATTCAAATATGAACAGCGATTTTTTGGTCGAAATGCATGTCCAAATCTTACCCCAAGATTCGTATATAGACATGGGTCAAAAATGACCACCCCCATATCTCGGCCAAATCTCATCCGATTTTCACGAACTTTGGCTGTTTCTTCATGGTTTTCCCTCTAGATTAATCTGGCATTCAAATCTCGACACCGATTTTTTGGTCGAAATTCATGTCCAAATCTTACCCCAAGATTCGTATATAGACATGGGTCAAAAATGACCACCCCCATATCTCGGCCAAATCTCATCCGATTTCCACGAAGTTTGGATTTTTCTTCATGGTTTTCCCTCTAGATTAATCTGGCATTCAAATATGAACAGCGATTTTTTGGTCGAAATGCATGTCCAAATCTTACCCCAAGATTCGTATCTAGACATGGGTCAAAAATGACCACCCCCATATCTCGGCCAAATCTCATCCGATTTTCACGAAGTTTGACTTTTTATACCCTGAACCCATTAAAAATGGGTATAAGGGTATATTGTATTTGTGCGAAAGCCAAATGTATGTAACAGGCAGAAGGAAGCAACTCCGACCCCATAAAGTATATATATTATTGATCAGCATAAATAGTTGAGTCGATCTAGCCATGTCCGTCTGTCTGCCCGTCCGTCCGTCCGTCCGTATGTATGAACGCAAGGATCTCAGAACCTATAAGAGCTGGAAACTTGAAATTTTAGATGTAGATGCTCCTAGTTCCCGCGCAGATCGAGTTTGTTTCCAAGCAATCGATATCGATATCCTGTTGTTTGGGCAAATTTGGTAAATAATAAGAACTAGAGTCACCAAACTTGATATATAGCTTCTAAAATAGAATATATATATGCATTTGATGTTGGAAGAAGAGGGTTCAGGGTATCCCCTAGTCGAGAGCTCCCGACTAGAACCTTGTTTATTTTACGACATGTGCGAATTTCCATAGAAACTATTTTCTTATTACTTGGCCTCGAAGGCCACAGATTAAATGACTCAGCCACGCATGTGCGAAATTCTCTAAAATTGAGATACAAATAAGAATACGAGAAGAACAACAACAACAATCAAATTTTATTTGCACTTTAAAGAAATCATATTTCAATTGAAATTTGTAATTAAGCTTTTCTCAGACAATCGATAAATATCGATGCAGGGCTTCTTTTGTATCTGTTAAACGTTTCGATAAAACTTTTAACAAACTGTTTAATTGGCTTAGCGGGGGCGGATGGGCGTGTGGGCGTGCCCTGGGTACATGACCTCGTTGTGTGCCTGAGTCGTTTGCCCGACTGACTCACGATTTGGCTTTAATTAAAGCCTAATTTAATATTTATCGGGCACAATGGGCCACAGTCAGCTATAAAAGTTTAGCTTTTGTCACAGCAATTCATAAATTACGCACATTAAACAAATCGGATACAATTTAATGAAAGTTATCTAATATTCAATTTTAAAGAGTAATACTAAAAGTATCCAATTTTCTATAGTTCAGCCCAGAAATCGCTTGAAAAATGTCAACTCAAGGCGGGCGCTTAAATGATTTGATTAAATTGTTAATGAAAGATGAAGTGAAATGTTGTTGACAGAGCGCAAACATAGACACCTAAGCACACACACACACACACACACACACACACACACACACAACCACACACACACACACACACACACACACACACACACACACTCAATTAAGCTATTTGGGTCTCAAAATTCGCTGAGCTTAAAAATTCAATGCATTTATAATGATTCAAGTTGTTGTTGTTGCTGTAAATTATGCTGCAAGCACTTATGCAAATAGCTTGACTCATCGCAGCGCCCACATTGTCTGCATTTGCTCAACATTTTTGCATTTTAACTGAGCAGAGCTCGTGTCTTGGGCGTGTTTAAACAACAACAACAATACCAACAACAACAAATGGCCAACAAGTTGTCTAGATAATTGCCGCTCGGCACGCAAGTCTAAAGTGTTAATTGCGCTGTTGACGCCCTTTGGCAGCCGCATTTTCCCATAGCCCAGGTCCATTTCGCTTACTTTAACTTATCTTTTCTATTATTTTTGCTCATCTCTCTCTCTCTCTCTCCCTCTCTGTTAGATCGACATACAACCGCCGGAGCGAGAGACAATATTCTCGGAGGAATTTCGACCCTCGGATCCGCGCAATGTTGGTCCCTGCGGCGGTTTCAGTGCCCAATATGCCTGCATGTGCGATTTTCATGGTGTCCCGTATCGCGAGGAGGTCGCCTGGGATGTGGACACCATTTACTTGTCCCACGATACACGACTGCTCAACCTGCGCGATTTCGATCATCTGGAGCCCAAGTGAGTGCAAGACAATTGCTCAACCAAATGCCAAAATAGATTTATGATTAATTAAAATTAAATGTTCATAATCTATTTTGCTTAAGTTAAAAAAAATAAACACAAAATTTGGTTAGTTTTACGTCCTTTAAACTGACTATGTTAAGACAAATGTTAATGTTAAGACAAATGTTAAGCTCATGTTGATTATTTCTTTCGTATTCACAAAAACTTGATGGCCATTGTTTCGGCTATGTTAAGATAAATGTTAATGTTAAGAAGAATGTTAATATTACTGCTGATGTTAATTTATTTATTTTCTTTTTCACAGAGACTTGATGGCCATTGTTTCAGCTCTGGAATATAATACGTTTTTTCGTGGTCTAAAGGCGGCGCACATGCGCCTCTCACACGAGACGCTGGAACGCATTCTGCACGTGCTCAAGCGCTCCATGTGGCTAGAGGAGCTGCATCTGGAGTCCTTAGGTTTAAGGTAAGTTTTGAAATATGTCAGCATATTGTATGTTAAACCTTTCTCTCTTTTGCCAGATGGGATTTCTTGAATAAGCTTTCGATATCTGTGATTACCAACAGCAGTCCAGCGATACGTACCATCGATTTGAGTCACAATCTAATCGAGGATAAAGGTGTGTACAGTGAATGCCCGCTAGCGTGTACAGGCCCCCCGTCAGCATTGCGTTCCGTGTTTTGTAAACCAATTAATCCAATTACTCTTTTACTTCCAAACAAATGAACAATGTGCTTATTGTTAACCTCTCCTTAATTGCCATCTATATATTTATTTTTATTCTTGTCGCGTCGTTATCCGTGTCCATTTCTCACATGTAGGAGCTAGCTCATTGTGCGCCCTACTTGGAAAGATTGTACAAGGTTTGCAGAACCCATTTGACACACATTTTTATGTACTTAGCCAAAACCAAACTAGAAAATTCATCAAGATTACAATTCAATTATATTTACTCTACATTGTTGTTGTTATTGTTATCGTTATGCTATACGCTGTTCATTTCATCAATATGCGATATCATTTTGTGTGGCCATTGAAAAATCCGAGATTGTGGAATGAAAAACAATTTGTTGAAAGATATTGTTATTTAAACTGCTTTAAACATTAATTTTTTATTGTACATTATTGAGAAGAAAGTTCGGATGGAACTGAAATTAATTGATTTAAAATGTTTTGATACATATCTCTCTTAGAGGAGAGAGATGTAGTCTTTCATCTCATCAAACTAAATACGGCTAAATCATCATGAATAGTTGTTTTCTTTTTAAATAATATTGATAATACGCTCATATAAAACCAATCTTTATATTAAATTCCGCATCGATTTACAATCTCTTGTTTCCCAATTTTGGCCACTTAAGTAAATTCATGAGAGTTCTTTATATATACATATATCTATAGCCATATTCATAACCATGCTGCTTGCTTCACTATTTTTGCTCTCTGTGTACACTCAAAATTTCTCAATCGAGATTGGCAAAAAGAAGACACACACGCAATTCGCAAATTTAAATTATTTTCTTTTTTTTCACTGATGCTCTTTAAGCCAACCAATACGCACAACTAATGTCAATTTCTTTTATATCATTAGGCGCCATACATCTGGCTGGGCCCATAGCCAAGGTATCGAAGGGTCTGTGCAAATTGGCGCTCTCCCATTGCGGGCTCACCTCAAAGGGCGTTAATCAGATGTCGCACTCGCTGACGCTCAATCAAAGTATTTCCAACTCGCTCACCTATCTGGATCTGAGCGGTAACAGTCTCAAGGATGACATAACCGTGAGTAGAAGGCGCAAGTTTTTGTATTGGAAGGTAAATTTAATCAACCTTATTTGTTTACAGAATCTGCACAATTTTCTGGCTCAACCCAATGTGCTGGAGCATCTGGATCTGGCATCGACTGATATTACGCTAGAAAATGTAAGTGATTTTTATCCGTTCAGAAATTAACAGCTGTAAGTTTTTAACATGACAGTTGCTCAACATAAAGAAAAATGTCACTGTAAGCAAAGATCAACTGTTAAACATAACACAGACATGTTGCTGTTAATTGAACAACGTCTAATCATTTTTCCTACTTGTTATTTCCTGTAGTTTGAAGATTCTTTAAAACTGTTTAACATAACATAAACAGTTACAGAATTCTGTAAAACAGTTTAACATAACAATGTAATATAAATATAACAACTGTTGTAATTAACAGCATTTCCAACATATTACAAACAAATGTTTGTTAAAGAATATTTCTAACATAAGATAAATAATGTTAAAACAACATCCCTTTAACATAATATAGATATGTATGTTACTAGCAGCATGTTATATCTGTTATATGTTAAATCGAACTGTACTCAATATTTCCCCCCGTATAATTTTCAGCTTTTTGGAGCTCTGTTGCGCGGCTGTGCCACGCATTTGTCGCATTTGAATGTCTCGCACAACTCGTTCAGCACGAAGAAGGGCAAGGAGATTCCGCCCTCGTTCAAGCAGTTCTTTACGAGCACGTTGAGCCTAAAGCATCTCAACATAGCTGGGTGCAAGCTGCCAATGGAGGCGCTCAAGAATCTGTTGCTGGGCCTGGCCTGCAATGAGTCGACGGCGGGTCTGCATCTCGATCTCAGCGGCAATACGCTGGGCACCCAAGGCGCCCACGTGCTCGAGTCCTGCATACACGGCGTACGCGTGCTCCAGAGCCTGGACATCAGCGACAATAGTGAGTAATTGGCGAGGCTCAACTCCAATTCTTTTATTTATATGTTGTCCTCTTTCCCACAGATTTGGATGCCGAACTGGCGTCCGTGCTGACGGCCATCTCGAAGAATCCCTCAATACGCACGCTGCATCTGATGCGCAGCTTGACGGGCATGAAGCCCAAGCATGTGCCCACAGTCATGGATGCGCTGGTCAATCTAATACAAAAGGATGACTTCCCGCTGGTGGAGCTGGTGCTGTCGGAGAACAAGCTGAAGCACGATCTGCACGACTTCATCAATGCGCTGGGCAGCAACCAGAGCCTGCAAAAGCTGGACATCAGTGGCAACTACATGGGCGATGTCGGCGCCCGGCTGCTGGCCAAGGCGCTGCAGATCAACAATCGGCTGCGCACCATTTACCTGGACAAGAACAGCGTCACGCTGCAGGGCTATGCGGATATTGTGTACGCGCTGGAGCACAATCACAGCATGCGCACAATACCCTTCCCAGTGTTCGATATAGCGCCGCATCTGAAAAATCATCCGGATAAGACGGATGCGGTTATGCGCAAAATGCAGGAGCTGCTGCAGCGCAACTGCAACGGCCTGAAGCGTGCGAATGGCCAGGGCTTTAGGCTGCAGCATGGCTTTATGCTCTCCTCCACACACCAGCTGGTGGATAAGCTGGTGGCCGAGACACAGGACACCATATCCATAGCCAAGGGCGGCGGCGATAATGTGTCCGCCGTGCAGCGTCTTATCAGCGATGCGGAAAACTGCAAACAGCTGATGCCCAAGCTGCAGGAGGCCGTGCGCAACGATGCGCATCCCATCGAGACGAAGCTGACGCGCGTCGCCGGCGAGCTGAGCTATACGATCCGCAGCTATCTGGAGGAGACGCTCGAGACGATGATACGGACCGGCATCGAGCAGTGCCCCAAAACGCTGGGCAATCAAATTGTTATCCAAGATCTGCGCAAGGCGCTCAACGAGCGTCTCCAAATACCCGAAGATTTTCTTCAAAACTGTTTGCTCAACAATGCCGGCAGCGAGATCATGAATAAAGTTGGGTGAGTAACAAGAAGAGTGCGAGAAAAGAGAGTGGCAAAGAGAGCGAGAGTAGCAAAGAGAGCATGCGGTCAGGGTGTGCGAGCGTGACTCAACCAGGAACTGAGGCAGACAACAAGACGACGCGTTGATCAACTGAAGCTGGAACTCACGCACACACACACACACACACACACACACACACACACACACACACACACACACACACACACACACACACTCGTGCACTGTGCTTTTAGAGATGTGCAAATAATGGTGAATCAGTATGAAACTATTTGACATTGAACGACCAGAAATAAAGAGTTGAACTCTATTCAGTATTTTTTCATTTTCTTATTTAAAGTGCTTTAAAAACTCTGAAATTCAAAAATCAAAAAAAAATATAAATCGTTGGAATAAACCACTTTTTTAGCGTTTCCATCAAAATTAATTGAATTCTATGTGGTATTAGCAGGCAGATTTATGCCAAAATTTTACATTTAAACAAATTGCACTCATTCTGGCTTAATACCAACAACCATTACAAACAGTCGAATATTTAATTAAAATCATAAAAAAAAAACATTTCAATCATGGCATACTTTGATAACGTTTGCATAACTTGCGTCTTACTGTTCGATTTCCAGTTTCCAAGTGTCAGATCGAATGCATAAAGAGACAAAAAAAAAAAAACAAAAACAGATTCGAAAAGCTCGCCTCGTCTCCCCTCTAACAGCTGAGCTTGGCGAATTGTTTTTGTTTTTTTCCAAAACATTCTGATGCGAGCGCTCTCTTTGCGCTCACCCACACACACGCATAGTGTTAAATATTTTGCTCCGTGTGTGTGTGCGTGCGTTTGTGTGCGTGTGTGTGTTAACGGACAGATAAGATTAAGCAAACAGAAAATAACTTAACAGCTGAATGCATTTCCATTCGAAAGCCCAAACGGCTGCTGCTGTGTGTAGCTCCCTCCAAAAACTTAAATCAAATACATCAGTATATTGTATATGTGTGTGTGTGTGTGTGTGTGTGTTTAGCTTTTGCCGCGATATCGCCGCAACGGCGACTCGGGCAACGCAGGCGAATTCATTGCCAGTTTGAGTGCCGTTAAGTTTGCTACAGTGCCAGTTAGTTAGCTTTGTTGTTTGTTTTTTGTTTTGTGCGCGCTCCGCCAGCTGTTTGCCGAGATGGGCCTGATGCGCACTTTGTGCTGCTGCTTTCACAGCAGCCCGGGCGCCGGCGAGAGCGACCTCTCTCGACCAGCCTATCACAAGTGTCCCGATGAGGAGCAGGAGTGTGAAACAGAGACGGCAACAGTGCCGCCAACAAACAAGAAGTAGATCAGCAAACCAATAACAGCTGCCCAATGCCAACGCATATTTCTAATGCAACTGTTGTTGTTTCTTTTACTCCCGCACAGTGAGATTGAGCAGTCGCTAGCTGCAGCCATATCGGATCGTGCCACAGATGAGGTGCTCGAGGCGCTAACACGCTATCGTCGCGGTCTGGGCATATCGGAGTCGCCATCGGTGCTACTGGACGAGCCGCAGACGCCGGACATTGTGCGCAGTCGTTCCAGTCATGTAAGTAACCCCCCCCCCCCCCCCCCCCCCCCTCACCACCTCCCGCTCAAGCCAATAATCGATAACAACGCACCTGTCTTATCTACGAATTCGTTAAATTTAATAACAAATGTGATGTCATGGGCTTAAAACCCTTGCCCAAACTTTTGCTTTCATTTGGCCTGCCCAAATATTTGGAGCATTCCAGTTGTTCGATTGCTGCCGTTAGGGCTGTTCTTTTTTTCTTTTCTTATCAGACGCGTTTTTCATATTAAATTGAACGTACTAACGCCCTATTTCTCTCTTCCCTCCCCCCTGCATGCCTTCAGGAAGCCGAGGGCTTAATCATACGACCCGGCGGACGCGGCTCGGTCTTGCCCAAACTGGGCCTGGAATCGCCCACTGTAAGTGTTGAAAATCTCTCACTTCCCAAGTGGATGCAGTAAAAAATAAAAACAAAATACACCCATTTAAAATATTCAAAAAGAAAAAAAAACGATGCAACGTATATAAATAATATATATATGCAAGTAGTGGCAAATAATCACAAGTACTCCCGCACACACACACACACGCACACACGCACACTCGCACTCTTATCACAAACTTAAGAAGTGTGTGTATATAACATAGAAATATATATTTTCTAGACGGGAGCGTATCTTATATCGTATATAAACAATTCCAAAAACAGCTTAGAACACACACACACACACACACACACACACACACACACACACACACACACACACACACACACACACACATCCACACATCTACATAAAATTTAAAAAAAATAATTATTTATGTGAATATGCTAAAAACATGGAAATTAAGACAAAGCTCATTATTTTTATCTCTCGTGTTCTTCTCGTGTATCCTTGCATCATCCAAACAAACAATTCATCAACAATTATCACAACAAAACGAACAACAACTTAATTCGCTATAAACATTATATCATATGCATATTAAAATACATATATATATATATATATATATATATATATATATATTAAAACCTTATCTCCAACTCATTTACATACAACAACAAAAAATAATAATATAATTCACAAAAACTTAAAGAAATTGGAATATCTGAACCTTGTAAGTAGTTTTTTTAATGTCTCGTTCTCTCTTACAACTATCCAAAACTATCTATCTAGAAAAACTATCTTTTTAGAAAAACTATCTTTATGTGTACGCAATATACAGCGAAAGCTCTCTGGCGCGAACTTCGATACTTTTTATTTAGAAAAATAAATAAATAAATAAAAGATATTTATTTTGGTATTCAAAAGAGATGTAGGAATTAAAATTGAGAATATCTACATTTATAAATTTATTTTTTTAAGATTTAAATAGTTTGTCTTTAAAATTTTTATATATTCTTTTCTTAAAGATAAAAGTACTTTTTTTAAATATTTTTTTTTTCAGTTTTTCCTTTTATTTTCTATAATTTCTTTTATATCAATAATACTGGAACTAAACCAAGCTTGCTTGAGGAATATGTTCGCCTCAGGGCAGCTGTTCGTTAGTTAGAGCTTTCACTGTACTTTCAACTACACTCTATATCTTTTTCCTGGTCTTTGTAGCGCCTCTCTGTTCTATGTTTTAGTTTTAAACGTAGCTAATTAGTTATTTAAATTTCCTACCAAAAGTCAAAAACTTGATCCGACCCCGACCCCGCCCCGGCGCCCCCAGCTCTCATCATTTCACACATGACAAACTCATGAATGAACATAACCTCAAATTGAATATATATATTGCCTTTAAGAAATATAGCTAAATGTATTCCCTGCCCCTCATCGCAGGCCACGCCGCATTTGCCGACGAAGCGTCGCTCGGTTGCCCGCAAGGTGCGTCCCCAGTCCGTGGTTGAGAATCTCAGCCTGAGCCACATACCCGATCTGCTGGAGTCGCCCTCGTCGCATCGCTCCAGCTCGCAGCTGACGTCGCGTGGCGCTGCCGCCGCCGCTGCCGCCGCTGCAGCTGGAGCTGGTGGCGCCTCGGCTGGCAGCCACATGATGAGCGACAGCAATGCGGCCATGGACGATGGCAACGTGGACGAGTGCTGTGATTCGATCACGGAGCTGCCCAGCGCCTCGTTTCAGCTGCAGCATCTGGTCAAGGGTCGGCCCAAGCGCGCCAAGACGCGCGCCCCGACCCGGCCGCTGGTCAATGCTGAATGCGCCGCCGGCGCAGTCCGGGATATTGGCGATGGGCTGGAGCACTTTTTCCGGCCCGGCTCGGTCACGCCCACAACGCTGACACCGCTGGTATCGCCCACATCCGAGGAGTGCAGCTCGCTGTCCTTTGTGGACAGCCCGACGATGAGTCGCGACGGCAACGGGCACATGACCTCCGAGGAGACAACGCCCATCATGGAGGAGCGACGACCCATCAAGCTGGAACGCCAGTCGCCATTGCTCAAGAGTAAGTGCCTCGTCACAGGGAATCGCTCTCTAGTCCAGCACACTACTCTTCCTTTTACTTTCCAGGCGCCTCGTGGGCCACGCGTTCGCGCTCCACGGACAACCTGGAGAAGTATTCGCCGCTCGTGGGTCGCAAATCGCCGCTGGTCAAAATGCGCACGGAGGGCGGCCCCGGCAATGAAGAGGCGGCAGCTGCCGCAATCGCGCCCAGCGCTGCACTGCTCAAGCCGGGCACGCGCGACGAGAAGATGCGCTCGCCCAGCAGCGACTCCATCAAGAGCCATGCGACGGGCGGCGCCGTCGTCAACGATGGCAGTCTTTTAGGCAAGACGGGCAACGGCATCCTGCGCACACCCCTCGCCCTGCAGAAGCCGCGTCCCTGGTCTGTGGTGGGCAGCGAGCCGAAGGCGAACAACGATCTGGTCACGGGCAATGGCAGCATCGACTCCACCAAAACAACGCCCGATACCCTGGAAGAAGGTGCGTTCATCTACATTAATATGTATATATAGAATATATTTCATATTTGTCTAATATATCGTTTGCCTTTTTTCAGATATAGAAGTCCTTCCCTTTGGTCCAGGCATTGCGCCAGGTGAGTGTCCTCTTGAGATTAGACACAAATGTTTTCTTTCAATTTGAACATCAATTTTGCAGGCGCCGCGCTGGAGAAGAAATCGGTGCGGGAGCTGGCCGCAGGACTCAGTCGTTTGGGTAAGCATGAGTCGAGCTTCTGTTGCATGTTGCCTGCCTGCACCTGGATGCGTAGCTAGTTGATATATATTTTGATTTTTATGTATTTACACTTTACTTTTACTTTCATATTATGATTTGTTGTGCTTGTGCCTAAACCTGTATTGTATTGCAAAAACCCAAAGAACTGCCCCTCAAGCCGCCCGTAATGCCCAGAACCATGTTGAGCACAGTCAGTCGCACGAGCACCGCCAGCAATGGCAGCACCCACAGCAGCAGCAGCAACAATTCCAGCGCAACAACAACAGTGACAACAACAACAACAACAAGCACAGTATTAAACAATCAGACGCGCTCCAAGATAACCAGCACGAGCAGCACCAACAGTGCGACGCAGGAGACGCTCAGCAAAACCATCATCACGGAGCACGGGAGCAGCAGCAGCAGCAGCAGCAGCAGCAAGAGCCAGAGCACGGATCATGCCATAGCCTGTGCCAGCCTGATCAGCAACGAGATCCTGAGCATGCGCAATGGACAGCTAGCGACCAAGGCGACCAGCTGCGCGGAGAGCAATGTGAAGCGCATTGCCGGCAAGGAGATCTCAACGCTATTCGAGGTTTGAGCGAGCACCAGGATCGATCATCATCAACATCATCATCATCTCCTCCAAAAGCTTCCACTCTCATGCTGTGTCTGTGCTGTGGCCATCAACAAGCGTCTAAGCATATTCCTTGCAATTCTGTGTAGCTTTAATGTTGTCCATTTTAATGTTGCTTTCATCCATGAATTTGTGTGTTAATTTGTTGACAAATTGTTTGTTTTTAATTCGTTAAGCATTGCATGACACCCCACCCTAGTTATACACGCTATATGTATATATATTCTAAACCGGAACCCGAATCCAATCTAACCCACAGGAGACATTAGTTGAAGGCCTGCAGCGCACCTCGACAAGACGCACCTTTAGAGATTCGCCATATACCAAGGAGGATGTCGTTGATTTATAAATCGTGTCTATTATATGTGCTATATATATGCTCAACTCGACATTCCTTCTCCCCCCCCAAGCACCAGACTTCAAGTTATATGATAATGTCTATGATAATAACGACGATAATGATAATGATAATGCTAATGATGATAATGAGCAAAGGTTGCAACTAATTCGTACTGAACAATTTATAATTTATGTGCAATGGCGCGAGCGTATAATGTGTGTGTGTATTGTTTTTAACTCTTTGGCAATTTTTTAAATGAACGTGATTTATTTATTTATACTTTTTAACCCAAACAACATTTGCATATTTATAAAAACAAAACAAAAAATGGGATTAAAAACCAACGTTTTTATGTACTATATTTTTATGTATTTTAAATGAGTTAAGTGCCAATTATATACAACAAAACAAATCTATTTTTCAATTTATCTATTGAAAACTAAAAGAAAACAAGAAAAAAAAAAGAACGTAAACCTAAATAAATACGAAGAAACTAACGAAGGGAACGCAATGAATATTATGATATATTTATATGTAAATCATTTGCGTGAATTAAACTAATTTAAAGGCCTAAACAAATTAAATAAACAAACTTTAATGAAATGTAATATTTTTATAAATGCTTCCAAAAATATCTATAAATTGATTGTTTCTTATTTCTCATTATTCTTTCCATTGGCATGAACGACAATCTGTTTCGATTTAGAGGTTTTTTTTCTAATATATTTTCTAAAAAGTTAACAAATTTACTAGGCAAAAAGAATTACTAAAAGAAATCAAAGAAAAAATGCATTTAACAAATTACAGAAAAACTACATTTGACGCATCAAGCAAAAGATTTCATTTTACTGAATTAAAACAGAACACTTGTAGTTTGCACGTATTAATAAAAACAAAACAAAATGTTTATTAACAACATATTTCAATCCAATCCACCACCGAACCGCGAATACACTTCAATTTGAGAAGTGCTCCCCCAAATAGTTGGCTCAAATATGTAGTTTGCCATTCAATTCAAGACAAAAGAAAACGAATAACTGTAACGTGTTCATTAAAGTTTAAGCACTTGCAAATTTATTGTAATGTATTGAAATTCAAATTAAAATCAAATCAAAAAAAAAAATGTCTAAACTGAATTTTCAATTTAGAGCTGCACGATTAATTCTTCGCTGGCTGCCGAAGGTATCGATAACTGCGGCAGTAACATCGATAGTCATATATTTAGGTATTTTCTTGTTTGCGGTCACTCGGTCACACTGCACCACTAACTCGCGTCGGCTTTGGTTGTATTTTTCTGAAATAGACCAAAAGGAATCAACAAAAAATTACAACTGAATTAATAAACAATTTTTTTACATTGAAATCAATTCCTGCCCTGTCAAGATGGTGAAACTAACACCCGAGTTGATTAACCAGTCCATGCAATACATAAATCCATGCCGTGAACGTGAGCTCGATTTGCGCGGCTACAAAATTCCACAGATCGAAAATTTGGGTGCCACATTGGATCAGTTTGATACGATCGATCTCTCGGACAATGATCTGCGCAAACTGGACAATCTGCCACATCTGCCTCGGCTTAAGTGCCTGCTGCTGAACAACAACCGCATCTTGCGCATCAGCGACGGCCTGGAGGAGGTTGTGCCGAATCTGAGCTCGATCATATTGACCGGAAATAATTTGCAGGAGCTGAGCGATTTGGAGCCACTGACAGGTTTCAAGAAGCTGGACACAATATGTCTGCTCATCAATCCGGTGTCCACAAAGCCCAACTATCGCGAGTATATGGCCTTTAAGTTTCCACAGTTGCGCTTGCTAGATTTCCGAAAGATCAAACAGAAAGACAGGCAGCTGGCACAGGAATTCTTCCGCACCAAGCAGGGCAAGGAGATGCTTAAGGAGGTGTCCAAAAAGTCCAAATTAACAGCTGCCGCGGCACTGGCAGCGGAGGCGACCAACGGCAAAACAGCAACTGAAGGCGGACGTTTTGCTAATCCCGAGGATATGCAGCGCATCCGCGAAGCTATCAAGCGTGCCAGCTCCCTGGCGGAGGTGGAAAGACTGTCACAGATACTGCAAAGCGGGCAGCTGCCCGATAAGTTTCAGCATGAACTGGGCCAAAATGGTCTCAACGGCACGGCAGCCGCACCGGCCGTGGCCATGGATTACTAGCTCTAGTACTGTCGTCAGCTACCTTATAACTGTAGAACAATCTTTTAATAAATCAGTTAAAAAGAATACAATATTCAATTTATCTCTGCATCTTATAGATATCTATAGTTCTCAACAGGTTGCTGTATTTGTATTTTTCACAGAAAAAATCTCAAAACTCTATACAACCGGCGATTAATGTAAATATTTAAATCAAATGCACATGAAATTAACGTAATTGGCTAAAAAATTTAACAATCTACACGGACAAAAAAAATGCGGGCAATTAGTAAATATGCTTTGGCTCTGCAAACGGATTTGCGGGTTAGCATTTGGACTGTGGAATTGGTTATTGCTTGTATTGCAGGTCGTGCTCCTCTCTCGCTCTCTCTCTCTCTCTTTGCTCTCTCGTATCTCACTCGCTGGATATGGCTAGTATTATGACGTCTTCGCCGCCATTATTGTGTCGTAGTGCAGGCCGGTGTAGAAGATAATCCACGTCACTAAAAATCCGGCAAACGATGTCATGAAGCCCTCCTTGACCAGCTCCCACGCACCGCCATACGCATCCTCGTCCACATTCTGAAAATTGATGGCATACAGGTAGACAACGCCGCAACTAATTCCGGCAAATCTGCAATTAGAGAGTATATACGGCGGAGCTGTAGCACGTTCTATATTTAGGTGCTGGTTCCACTTACAGCACAAGGCCCAGAAAGCCTTTGAGCGGCACAATACCCCAGATGATGCCGAGTATGATGCCAAACACCTGACGTGACCAGTAAATAACATCCAGAAATTCATCCTGCAAACGTGTGCAAATTGTTAGCGAAAACACGCGCTTTGGTCTTTGGTCTAAGCTCTTTGGTATCTCACCTTGTCCTCCCATTCGGATTTTGTCATGGCTCGCGCGCAAATTTCACGCAGAGATGAGGATTTGGCACTGCCATTGGCATTGCGTTCAATTGTATTTGTTCTGGTTGCCATTTTTTGTGTGACCTACTTTTAAACAAATGATTTCCACACGTTAAATTAATTAATTATTTTTCACTATCAGTAAAGTTGGCTATGCCGATTTATAACTTATTGTGATATCGATAAATTGTATATCGATAAGCATTAATGGAACAGCTGTGCTAAGCGAAATGAACTAAAATTGTGAGCATACTTTGTTCAATTGAACTTTTCAATGCAACTCTAACGTGGTTATGTGAACGTTTGTTATTTGCCGAATTAAACAATGTTACAAATAAGCAAGCTTTGTTTTACAACATCCAGCTTAATTGCCGGTAAGTAGGCCGTTATATTGACCGTGTTACATTAAGGCAAAACCAAATGTTTTTACTGATAAACAACAACAGCACAGCGGCATGTCGGACTCACCGCCGTTCGGTGCATTGATCAGAGCTGGCGGGCGGGCAAGGGATTGCCGGAGAATCCCAATGCATTTGGTCCACTCACAAACATGCCCGACTACACGTACCTTGATGGCAGGACGACGCCGCTGGGCGTAAGTAGCATCAATTTATACCAAATATATCCACAATCAACCATTTGTGTTGCAGTCCAACCAGAAGAAACGCTTGATGAAGCAACAGGAGATTGCGGCCAAAATTGTGGAGCTCAGCAGCGAACTGGACTTTGCCAAGCAGCGTCACGAGCGTCTCAAAATGCAGGCCCAGGCCGAAAAGCAACGCATTCTGCAGAATAAGCTAAAACCAAAGGGTCATCTCTTGTTAAAAAAGAAATAGTCCAGATGTAAAGCCTACTTATTGGGTGCCCCTTGAATGTTCATTAACGTTTACGATATACTATTTTCACTATTACACAGATATGATTGTTATCAGCTCATATTATTTTTATCTAAAAACGTGTTCGCTTTATTTGGAACAGCAAACAAAAGCTATAAGCCAAGTGTCAAGTGTGCCCTGTGGGAGCCGCACGTTATATAGAAAGACGTAAGCATGGTAAAATTAATGGTAATTAAATGTTAAAACTCTTGTGACGCACATTGGACAACAACCTGTCCTGGCAATTAGATGGCCAGCTCTTAACGCATGTGATTTCTGGCTGTTTGCCAGATTTAACCTGAATACAGTAAGCACCAAAATAAAACAGCTAAAAAAAACCCCAATGGGAAAAGAAGTACAACTTATAGATCACGTAGCTATAATTCAAACATGTTCAAATGAAATTATGTAAACAAGGAAATGAACAACATGTTGATTTGTAAGCAAGGTAAAAGGTATTCATCTCACGCTAGGCAAGCCGCTGTCGCTTGCACAGCAGCTTTGGATAGTGCCCGTACACCTTTACGGATCACGCTTTTAAATATTTATATGCATTATAAATTACCAGCCCAACATTTGCACAGCTTTGCTTATTTGCGCTCCCGATTTTGAGCATATTGTTACTACCAATTAGACGTGAAGTATTTTGCACGCCACGCTTGTTATTTAAAATACTCGTTAAATTCGTATTCAGAAAGGTATTCCAGCTGCACGAAAGCTATTTCAGCAGCCATATTACGGGTCGTGCACTGTAAGGAGAATCTTAAAGTTCCCAGTTTGTGGCCGGGCAGCAAGCAAAATCAATCAAGTTTTTCACAGCTCTAAATCAATAAATAAAAAAAAAAAAAAGCCTTCATTGTGCCAGACATAAAAATTTCCACATTTTATTTGTTAATTAATTTTAACGTAAATGTGCCATAATAAAGTATTGATATATTTATTTACTTTCACACATGGGGCCAGCTAAAGGGGCCAATGCACATTTCGGAAATTTCCCACAGACAGCCGCAAAAAAGAGTTAAGTTGACTGAAAAGAGTTCAGCCTCAGTTATAGCACATGAATCTTAAAGCAAGTGTCGCACTTATTGCACTTAATTAGATAGAAGCTACGAAATTTGGCATAACAAGCCCAGGAATGGTGGCTAAAGAGACAAAATATAATGCCTTCATTTCGTGTAGGTGTGATGGGCATCGCTTGGCTATGGAAAACGTGAGTGCCAAACGTGATATATGGCATATCGCTAATCATGTCGTTGACGTGACTCACTGAAATTTGACTTTAACCACAATATTTGATCAATTTATGCCGCACTGCTGCCGTTCGCTGCAAGCCACGGCGTATACGTAATATTTGTTGCATACTTATATACAGAACTGCTGAGGCTGAGGCTGAGGCGCGGGCACGCACTAATTATTTGCGCTGTTTTTTGCAAAATTTCACACTCTATTTGAATGCCGAAAATATTTACAAAAGCGCTGTTTATTTGGCGCATGGAATGTTATGAAAAGCCCCAATGAAATTGTGGAAAACAAATTCGCCGATTTCGTTGATTGCCCAACTGATTGTTGTTGTTGTTGTTGTTGTTGGTGTTTACGAGTGTGGAGCTTAAATATTTATTTTTATACCAAAGACGTTTTATTCAATTAGCATGGTTATATTTATATTAAATCAAATCAATCAAAAATTGAGTAAAATTAATGACCCGTGTATTGTATTAAAATTAACATTAGATAAAATAATCGGTAATAACATTAACAATGTATTCACTTGTAGTATAATAAAATAATAAATTCATCAATGAATCAGTTTCATTTGAAATTTTACACCTGTCATTTACTGCTGCATGCTAATCTGAGCTTATATTTAGATACCTATGCCATATACCATATATAGACATTAGATCGTGCGCAGACGGCGCAGACAACCGCAACATTTCGCCTGGTACAAATCTTGACGTCATATAAAGACCCAAATGAAAAGACAGCGGTAATGTCAGGAGATTGGAAATGTCTGGCATAAGAAACAATTCCATGGTTATGGAAAATATACAAGCACAAACAATAAACAAAATGCTGAAAAGCCATAATCAAATTATTTGATAGACGTCAAATCTTTCCGCATTGTTTTAAGTTTTCCAAATCAAACTAGAATCGCGCACGCGGCTAATCAAGCGGCAATTAGAGCCCTGACCACAAACTGAATCATTTGGAGACTCGAAAAGCATGCGCAGCAGCCAGACGTCAGTATAAATCCGAACCGGCTGCTTAAATGAAAGCGATGAGCGCCGTCCAAAATTGCGTCAGAGCCGACAAAATTTAAAGGAAAAAAACAACAACATATTTTCACATTTGGGTGCGAATCAGCTCACATTTTCGTATAAAAGGCCGGGATTCTTTGGAGTTAAGCACACAGAAGCAACGCAACGTTCCAAGCAAACACAGCACCTCAAGAAACTTCAATTATTCAAAGGATAACAACTCTCAACAATATGCAGCTTAAGGTAAGCATCCTCTACAGCGCACCCACATACCTATATACATATATCTATATGTATATATATATGTACACAGTATATTGCACAGTTACTAATTATCTTGTCTATCCACAGAACATTTATACCTGTCTCAGCCTGCTGCTCAGCATCATTATCTGCAACCTGTTACAATGCAGCGCCAAACCCGCATACTATGATCTGGATAACTATGAGAACGCCTATGAGTACAATCCCAGAAGCGACGACAGCGACAATTCCTATGCCGTGGCCTATGGAAAGCCCCTCACACGCAACAATCTGAACAAGCTAAACACGGGCTATTACTATGTGGATAATGGCTATATTGCGCCGGTCAGCGGAGCGAGTGCCTCCAACCGTCGCAGGGTGGGCGAAGATAGCAGCGATCAGCCATCAGCTGACACCTACAGATTCACACCGCTTGTGCGCTTCAGGAAGACCCACACAAAGCGCAATAAGCTTTTTGTGCCCAACTTATTTGGCTAAGCTGCAGCCGTAACTGCCCTGGGAAAACGAGAGCACAGACTGATGATGTTTGTTATTGTATATACACACACATATACATATGTATTTGTTATTTAATATTAGCATAAGCTCACCAGCAAGTACCTTATCTCATCTACACTAAGCATATATATTTATAAAAATATAATCAAGAAAATCAGTTAAAATAAATATTTATACCACACATGCAAATCAAATATTTAACAGTTATTTCAACAATCTAAACAAAAGACTTAAGGCACGAACTTGTACGGGTCTGAAGTTACAACCATTGATGCAAATTATTTTTCTTTAGTTTTCAATACTGAGAACTATTATCAAAGTGATTATTAGCTTGTAGTTTTACTATTGAACTAGTCTATAAATAAATACTTTTAAATTAATATACATATTGACAATCTAAAAAAAAAACATCTGTAAAAAGTTAACCGGTTCTCTTTGTAAAGAAAAATTTGATGATCATATCCCGTGCAATCACTTCATATATTTAACCGTCTTGCCATTAAATATTTTTTCAAAAATTAAAGATTTTGAAATCTTGGGTAAATATGATTAAGTTTTTAAAAATTGGCTTTAGTCTCATACCTGCACTCATAATTGTTACTAAAAGTTCGTATTCAGCATTTTAATTAAACTTGACAAACATGGGACGTACTTATATCACAACTCTTTACAGAAATTATACGATATCTAATATTATATTTGGCATCAGTAATTTGTAATGTGTGTACTCTAATAGATCCTTAGGTAACCCCACATTGATTGTCAGTTCATAGATCCTACAAAAATCTGCAAGGCTATGATAGAGACGTTTCTGAATTCACATTCCCAAAAGAAAACAGCATCAGCCGGCGTATTTTGCTTTGATGGACCGTACAACAGTAAATTTTACCCACTTTCGTTAAAATTTGTGCCACGTTAGCAAATTTTGGCAAATTCGAATTACCCGCCAAAATACAGCTCTGTTAATTGAGGAGTACATCTGTTAGGTGTTAACAGAATTCTGTTAAGCAAGCAACAACATGAAAAAATGCCAGACCATATTAAGACAGCTGACAGCTGTGCTGTCGTCATTTGCAGAAGAGGAAGAAGCATTAGCAATTTTAGCGTCTGAGAAAAAGAGTAATTTTCTTTCAGTGAAAGATGAGTTTCATGCAACCGAGTCCTGTTAAATACGCTTGCTCCTGCGGCATTTTGAATCCAATTAATAAACTGTTCTTCTGCCGCCACTGTCCGAAGCTGAGATGCGGTTTCTGCGTCTGCCATGAGATTGAGTCACACTTTTGCTCCAATTGCCTGGAGAACATACCATCCTCGGAGGCCAGACACAAGAAAAACTGCTGTGCCAACTGCTTCGATTGTCCTTGCTGCCAGCACACGCTCTCTGCGCGCGCCACTACCGTTCCAGTTGTGCGCAAACCTGAAGAGTCCAAGGATGGGGAAAGTGGGGCGGAGGCCGCGCCCAGCCCAAAGCCTTCGGCCATGCCCACCACAAAGAAAATGTATTATTTGTCGTGTCTGTCCTGCCGTTGGACCACACGTGATGTGGGCATACCCGATCAGGGCGTGGCCACCGGCACCTGGCCGGAAAATGAATGCTTGTACCAGGCGCGCTTTAATACGCTGATGGAGTACTATCAGTCGGTAGTGCTGCAGGAGAAGCAGGAGAAACAGGAGTTTCTGCGCCGCAAAACGCCCAAGCAGCATAAGTTTCCCAGTCTGACCGATCGCACGGGTCTGACAGTCTCACTGATACGACGCCAAATCGGCTGGACTGAGAAAAGCGTTCCTAAAACGAAGCCCATCAACATAGCGCCCGCCGAGGCCAGTGCGGAGGTTGAACCTCTACCGGAAGACATCTTTACGCAGCCCATAAATCTGCGCAACATCACAACAGTGGCGCAGCGGCACAGCCAGCCAGCGGATCAGCCGACGGCCGTGAACAAGCTGTATCCACAGCGACGTTCGTTGTGGATCAAGCGCTCGCTACGTTGCCGTCAATGCGAGCACAATCTTATCAAGCCGGAGTATCATCCTACATCTATCAAGTATCGCATACAGCTCTTCGCCAGCTACCACGTTCCAGAGGTTATTATGGTGCGCTGCGAGCAGCCGCTGCAGCCCGGCCAAAGTAATGCGATATTGCTGAAGTTGGCCAATCCTACCATGTACGATATGACAATTAGTATATTGGAGGCGGTGCCAGAAGACGCCCAAATCAACACGGATGCCTTTCAGCAGGCGTGCAGAATCAAGGAGGAAGCGATTACCTCGTCTCCCCTACTCAAGACCACGGGAGTTACTCTGGCGCGTCAGAACTCGACTCGAGAAGTGAAGCGCGAGGTGCGTGAATTGGCCAATGCATCGATTGTGCCACTGGAGAGCCCATTCCTGCTGAGCCAACGCGATGATTCCAAGGAGTTCGATGAGGATGTTCAGGCGCCCATCGAGGAGCCCAAATTCATTGTTTGGCGCAAGGGCAACAAAGTTTTGATACGGCTTCAGTTTAGTCCAGCTGCTGAGTTAGAGCCTGGCAACAAGGTGACACTCGGCTTCTACATGCAGTACACGTACGTCAATACCGTTTCCAATACTCCCGACAAGAAGGATCCGACTACACATGCTCTATACTCAAGGATCTTCATCGAGGCTGGCGAAATAGCACAACAAACAGCTAATTAGCTTAAGCAAATCGATACTAATTAATCATGCTTTAATCACGCTATGTGAAATATATTTATGTAACTAATAACTAAAAAATTGCTTGTGGGGCGGTTAGTATTACCCTCAATTATGTTAATCTAAGCAAGCACTGCATCTGATCACGTATAATAAAAGCCTTTGCTCTAGATCAAAAAACTTTCGGCGCACCTGTCCATTTCTCGCTTAGCTTCCACAAGAACTTGATGACCTTCTCATCCGTGGCAGCCTCCGCTACTTCCTTTGGCTTGCAGTCGCTAAAGTACAGTCCAGTCACGTCATCCAAGTCTGGATCTAGTGCTGCATACAATGTGGTCTGCGCCCCGCTCTTGGGCGTTTTCAATAGCGGCCAGAAAAGTGGCTTGATAAAGTTGCTAAGAAATAATTCAGCGAACATAGAGAAAGGTATTTCCAATTCACTTGACTAGACTCGTACTTACATCACAAATTTGGACTGTGCAAGCTGAAGGTTTCTGAATATTTCCGTAACCACTACGCCGGGATGTAGGGCATTTACGGTTACTCCAGTGCCAGCCAAGCGTTTGGCCAGCTCTCGCGTAAACATGACGTTCGCCAATTTGCTCTGGCTATATGCCTTGCCCTCGTCATAGGACTTCTCGCCATTTAAATCATCCACGTTGATTTTGCCCATAGCGTGTGCCAGACTGGAGACATTTACAATGCGACTGGGAGCCGATTTCTACCAAATATTAAAGCTTAGCTGGCCTGTTTTTCATTTGAACGCATTTTATACCTTTAGTAGATCTATCAGTAAAATGGTCAGCAGAAAGTGGCCCAAGTGGTTGACACCCAGCTGCATCTCAAATCCGTCCTCCGTGAGACGTCGCGGCCCACGAAAGATGCCGGCATTATTAATGAGAACGTGCAGTTGATTCTGTTCCGCCTTAAAGCTTATATTAAATAACTATGTATATTAAGAATCAACACTACAAACAGTTTCCGACTCACTCTGCAACAAATTTACGCACGGACGACAGCGAGGATAGGTCCAGTTCAAGAAAGAAAACATTTTTGTTATTAGTCTCCCTTATAATTTGCTTACGCGCCTCTTCAGCTCTATTCCTATCCCGACAGGCCATATAAACTGTGGCGCCACGTCGGGCCAGCTCCCGGACAGTCTCCTTGCCAATGCCCGTATTTGCGCCGGTCACAATCACAATCTTGCCGGTTTCATTGGTTTCTTTTTTGAATTGGCCACCCTGCATATACTGCCTAAAAGAATTTGACCTATAGTATAGTATATATTATCGTAAAACAGTCGCCATCTGTTCCACCTGATAAAGTAGACCGCAAAGCCAATTGATGCCGGCCAAGCTATCAATGGGCTTAGTAGGTAATCACTGAGCGTCCACATTTATTTGAGGTCTCCACGGCGCCGAGTACAAAAATAGACTGTGCTATGGCATGGCACAACCTGGTATATATAATCAAGTTACGCTGCAATCAGTCGACTGATAAATAATAAAATGCGTGATAACAAATTTAGATTAGACATATGTCGCATACATATATACACCAATGACTGTTATTTTTTAATTTAATATTTCATTGTCTTAACACTAATCTAATTTCTTGGAGTGAGTCCATTTCTCGCTTTCCTCCCAAAGGAGTTGGCCCATTTTATCATCGGTCGCAGCGGGCGCAACCTTCTTCTCAGCACAATCGCTGAAGTATTTGCCAGTTACATTACTCAATTCCGGGTCTAGAGCTGCATATAAGGTAGTTTGTGCTCCGCTTTTGGGCGTCTTGAGCAGAGGCCACAACAAACTCCGTAGAACATAGCTGCAAATATGACGAATTTGTTGTAATATCAACATTTGGCTATCAACTATAAATACGAACCGTCCAAATGTGTTATTTAGTATCTTCATATGTCTACCGAGTTCTGTGTCTACAACACCCGGATGTAAAGCATTCACGGTCACTCCCGTGCCCTCCAATCGTTTAGCCAGCTCCCGCGTAAACAAAACATTCGCCAACTTGCTCTGGCTGTATGCGTTGCCCTCGTTATAGGACTTCTCGCTGTTCAGATCGTCAATGTTGATGGTGCCACGCGTATGAGCCAAGCTGGAAACGTTGACAATACGGCTAGGCGCACTTTTCTATAATGAAACTAGAATCAATAGAAGCTCAATAGTTTTAGATCGATTACCTTTAGCAAATCCAGCAGCAAATTGGTAAGCAAAAAGTGACCCATATGGTTGACGCCCAGCTGCATTTCGAAGCCATCCTTTGTGAGCATGTGTGGGCAACGCATAACGCCCGCATTGTTGATGAGAATGTGCAGTTTATCCTGTTCCTTCTTGAAGCTAGTTTAATAGAAGTTATTAAATGGGATATTATGCAGTAGGTGAAGCAGCGCTTACTCAGCAACAAAATTGCGAATGGATTCCAGAGATGCCAAATCGAGTTCGCGAAAGAATATATTTTTGTTCCCCGTTTCTTGTACAATTTCCAAACGTGCCTTTTCTGTTCTGGCCTTATCCCGACAGGCCATATAGACAGTGGCACCTCGACGAGCCAGCTCAAGTACCGTCTCCTTGCCAATGCCCGTATTCGAGCCGGTGACAATTACCACCTTGCCGGTTTCATTAGTTTCCTTCGTGAACTGGCCACCCTGCATGTACTGTCTGAAAGATCAGAGAAACCGATGAATTGCAATGCATACACATGAATATTAATATTATCAATTAGCACTAATTGTACCTAAGAAAATAAATACCAAGGCCAAATAGAGCCGGCCAGACTAAGCATGGGCACAGAAGGCAATCAATGAAAGCACACATGTTTCTGTTCAAGCGCTCGAAATCAACTGAAGCGGAGTCAATTGTTGCGAGCTGTTTAAGTATACATATATTAGATATGAGTCACATATTTCGTTGCTCGACTGAAAACTCACGATGACAGTGATCAAATCAAGCGTGCGAACCTACTAGAACTATAATGAGCGCATGAATATTTACGCATTTAATGTTGAAATATGTACACATTTATTTATACAAATAACCACAAAATAATCCTTATTCTTTAGAGAATAACTTTATTCAGTCTTGATATCCAGTACTGGTGCACACGTCCATTTTTCGCTCACAGCCCAAAGCCATTTGGCAGTTTGTGCATCAGTCGCAGCAGGCGCTACTTCCTGAAAATGGCAGTCGCTAAAGTATTTCCCAGTTACGTTTTCCAACTCCGGATCGAGCGCTACATACAGACTCGTCTGCGCCCCATTCCTGACCGTCTTAACAAATGGCCAAAACAGAGGCCGAACGAACAAACTGCAATACAAGCTGGTTATCAAGTTGAGCCCAAGATTAACTACTCGTATACGTACCCTGCAAAGAAGTTGGTAAAAAAGCCCATATGCCTAAAGAGTTCAGTGTCCACTATGCCGGGATGCAGGGCATTAACTGTTACTCCAGTTCCCTCCAACCGTCTGGCCAGTTCGCGTGTAAATAGAATATTGGCCAATTTGCTCTGGCTGTAGGCCTTTGCATCATCATAGGACTTCTCACTGTTTAGATCTCCCGTGTTGATTTCACCTCGCGTATGCGCCAAACTGGACACATTTACGATGCGGCTGGGACACGATCTCTAAAATGTGACAACAAGTTGACGACACTATTCTGGTCTAGTACTTAAGTCTAGTATACCTTCAGCACGTCTAGCAATAAATTTGTAAGCAGAAAGTGTCCCAAGTGATTGACGCCCAGCTGCATCTCAAACCCATCTTTTGTCAACGAACGAGGACAGCGCATGACACCGGCATTGTTGATGAGTATGTGCAGATTAGCCTGTTCCCGGTTGAAGCTGCAAGGATTTAACCATCGTATAACAATTGCTCGAATGCAAGGGGATAACGTACGTGGCCACAAAGTTACGTATGGAATCCATGGATGCCAGATCACATTCGCGGCAGTAAACGTATTTGTTTTTGGTCTCTAGTACAATCTCCTCTCGTGCCTGTTCGCACTTTTTCATATCTCGACAGGCCATATAAACTGTGGCTCCCCTTCGCGCCAGCTCCCGCACCGTCTCCTTGCCTATGCCCGTGTTCGAACCGGTAACAATAACAACTTTGTCCGTTTCATCTGTCTCTTTTGTGAATTTGCCGCCTTGCATAAGGTCTCTTCAAACGGGAAATTTTCGTTGTTACCAATTGTTGAATCAAATGCAACTGACTTACTTTATAAAACAGGCGCAGCCCACCGAGGTGCCCGCCACGCTTGCCCAGAATATTGGCCGGCTTTTGAGAAACGCAAATAACGTCATTTTATACTCGGATAAATACAAAACACGAGTCCACAAACTATGTAATGTTGTGCATAAATACGCGATCGCGATGGCTTAGGGTGTTCGCACTTGAAATACCCTTTGACCAATTGATGGTTCATACGGAAGCATAGCGCGCATGCTTGTTGCCCATAATTGTAAAAACAAAAAGGAGCATTAATTTATTTATGTTTTTAAATGTTTAAAGTAAGTGTAGAATTTATGTGATATGGCGTGTGTGTTTCGTGTGAAATTACTGCTAAATATGTAGGCTCATTGCGTGTACGTACAGGGTATCATAGCCAGAGTTGCTTACCTGACTTTCGAATTGAACTAATAAAACTTACTTAATAAACAAAACTGTCAATCCAATTACAAGGAGCCATACCAAAAACGAATTCAATATACAATCAAGATCCAAGTTCATCTTTGCAGATATTCTTGTTAGAACTTTGTAAGCGCAAATTAAATAAAAGCTCTTCTTCTTTGTTTGAATTGAAAACAGGGTGTTTCAAGTCCACAAGTTCGTCAGACGTGGGCTTGTTGTGTTTATTTTATTCCGAAATTTCACGTGAATAAGTATACGTTTCTTGAGAGCGTTATTAAGAACAAAATATCGTCTGCCGTGTGTGAGTCAAGTGATAGTACGCTCAGCGCCAACGGAGACGCGTTCAATTATAACCGAGCCAAACAAAATATAATGCGTCGAAATGTGTAAGTCAACGCCAACTCGACTGTTGCTTTGAGAATAATCGAAACGCTTCTTATTTCAGGCGCCAACAACAGTACAACTGGGAGAACGGACAGCAAGACGCAATGGACGATATATTCCTCAGGCCCGCCCATGAAAGCAGCGAGATTATGGATTTGGTTCAGTTGGCAAACAGATCCAGCAACGGAAACACAAAAGTGTCGCGTTCTGAGAACACGCTGGAGGTGAAAGTACAGGAGGGCGATACACTGCAAGCTCTGGCTCTGCGGTTCCATTGCTCTGTAGCGGACATAAAGCGCCTGAACAAGATTGACCGCGATAATGAGATACATGCACGTCGAATTATTCGCATTCCAGTCACAGTGCACAATGTGCTGCTGGGTGCCAGCGACGTCGATGCACTGCCTAGTGTTCATCGTAGCGGGAATAACAGTCCCAGGCACAATGTGGACCTAGAGCCGGCCATCGAGCGCAATCCGCTGGAGGATGCACGCATGATGCTGGATGAGCGACTTCTGGTGGCTGCTGTGAATGCTTCCGGTCCTGTAGCTGGCGAAGGCCAGCCCTCAACACGGAGAGATGGCAGTAAATTTTATGAAGGAGCTCATGGCTACCCAGACGACGAGGGTGAGTTGATTATTTATTTTCAATTTGTAAGGTGGCTGGCATTGAGTTATCATATTCGAAATTTCAATGCGAGCTCTTAACAGCTGATAGAGCTGGCCAACTAAGCAAAGTCTTTGTGCGTTAGAGTCACCCTGTGTGCAGTAAGGCGCAATTCTGTTAAGTGTTCTGTTAAATAAGCAGTGAAGTTGGGCGCAGCGAGCAATTTGTTTAGTCATTCAAAATACGGCCACACTCGTCAATAAAATTGCCAGAAAACACAAGCGTTGGCGAAAGACACAAAATTTAGTTAATAATTCGCTATTAAAGAACTAAAACAAGATGCCGGACTATCTGGGAGATGATCAGCGCAAAGTTAAGCATGACGAGAAGGAGGAAAAAGAGATTAAGTCTCTAGACGAAGGCGACATCGAACTTCTTAAAACGTACGGCCAGAGCCAGTACCACAAGTCCATAAAGAACATCGAGGAGGACATACAAAAGGCCGTTAAGCAAGTAAACGAGCTAACAGGCATCAAGGAGAGCGACACGGGCTTGGCACCGCCAGCCCTGTGGGATTTGGCTGCCGACAAGCAAATACTGCAGAATGAGCAACCGCTGCAGGTGGCGCGTTGCACAAAGATTATCAACGCAGACTCCGATGATCCCAAGTATATTATCAATGTGAAACAGTTTGCCAAATTTGTGGTGGATCTGGCCGATTCTGTCGCCCCCACAGATATTGAAGAGGGCATGCGAGTGGGCGTTGATCGCAATAAGTATCAGATTCACATACCGCTGCCACCCAAAATTGATCCCACTGTCACGATGATGCAAGTCGAGGACAAACCAGATGTTACCTACAGCGATGTGGGTGGCTGCAAGGAGCAGATTGAGAAGTTGCGCGAGGTGGTAGAGACACCGCTGCTGCATCCCGAGAAGTTTGTTAATCTCGGCATTGAGCCGCCCAAGGGCGTGCTCCTGTTTGGTCCGCCCGGTACGGGAAAGACATTGTGTGCTCGTGCGGTGGCCAATCGCACAGATGCCTGCTTTATTCGTGTCATCGGCTCGGAGCTGGTGCAGAAGTACGTGGGCGAGGGTGCACGCATGGTGCGTGAACTATTCGAGATGGCCCGCTCCAAGAAGGCCTGTCTGATATTCTTCGATGAAATCGATGCCATTGGCGGTGCACGCTTTGATGACGGCGCTGGCGGCGACAACGAGGTGCAGCGTACTATGCTGGAGCTGATCAATCAGCTAGATGGCTTCGATCCGCGTGGCAACATTAAGGTGCTGATGGCCACCAATCGACCTGACACATTGGATCCTGCGCTTATGCGTCCCGGTCGCTTGGACCGTAAGGTGGAGTTCGGACTGCCCGATCAGGATGGCCGTTCGCACATCTTTAAAATACACGCCCGCTCAATGTCCGTGGAGCGAGACATTCGCTTCGATCTGTTAGCACGTCTGTGTCCCAACTCGACAGGCGCTGAGATACGCTCCGTATGCACTGAGGCAGGCATGTTTGCCATACGTGCACGCCGCAAGGTGGCCACCGAGAAGGACTTCCTCGAGGCGGTCAACAAGGTTATCAAGAGCTACGCCAAGTTCAGCGCCACTCCTCGCTATATGACCTACAATTAAGCTACGTTTTATACTTCATTTCTTTATTTTGCTGCGCTGTGAGCCTCCAATTCAAACTGTAACTGCTGCAGCTGGGCTTTAAGTAAATAAAAGATCCAAAATATATAGTATTCACCAGTTTTGGAGTATTGTTTCTTGCTAGCTATTCATCTGTCTTTGTTCATGTATATAAACCCGCATTTTGTTTTGTATATGTGCAGCCAACATGGAGCAGACATTGGACGACAGTGCGGCCTTGCTGGATGATATGCTGGTGGACAGGCATGCGCCAATTGTGCGTCCCATACCGGGTCCCTCGCTGCGTGCAATTGACTGGTCTGGCTCGGATTGCGACATGTCCTGGATATGCCTGCTAATATTTATACTCGCACTCTGTGTTGTTATACCGCTCGTCTATGTCATTTATCTGGCGGAGCATCCGCATCACAATCACACCTCATAGCTGAAGTGATCATCATTCCAAGTGTGCTAATGATAGGCGAAAAACACAACTCTCACTTTATTGCTCCGGAGGAACGCATTTAAAATGCAGCTGCGAGACGTAGAATTTATAATGTTTTAAAAAAATGATTACATACATAAAATAATAATTATTTATCATAGAAATAAAGAACCAATTGTGACTTGTACAATATAAATAATAGACTTGACAAAAATAATTAATGTGTTAATGTGAAAGTCTCAATTTAATTAAAAATTAAATTTAACAAATCTTAATTGGCATCTAACCAATACTTTAAGTGTGGTAAAACAACAATAATTAGTATAACTGATCATAAGTTTTTATTCATATATAACACTATTTATAGCACTGAAAGAATATATTTACCGATACATATATATATATATATATATATATATATATATCGATCGATGTTCGGGTCATTATGATAGTTCAAAAGTTTTTTGCGGGGTTTAAAGCTAAATACATATCTTAGCGCTAAATAAAATAGTTAATAGTTTAAATAAATAGTATCCATGGATATAGTTATTTAATTATAATAAATACAAACTAAAAACAATTATTCGCGCACACTGGGCGTAACTTGTAGGTTAAGTACTTTGAAGAATACTTTTCACTGAATGGGTACTATGTCTGTCGTTTAAATGGAGGCCATGGCACATGATTATTTGGTCTTGATTTGGTATCCAGGATGCTGCTGCGCACCATTATTGTGCATATTCCTCATTGTGGAATATCAGCCAATGGCCGCACAGCCAAATGTAACTTAGTTGCATTCATATTCACTTAAACTTTAAGTTCTCAAAGTAAGCAATATTGCTCCTAAGGAAGCCTCTGCGCACGGGCACAGGGCTCGCCGGCGAGGCGATGGGTATATTGATTGCATTTTCTTCGGATTGCATAGAGGGATCTCTGTTGGAACAATTGGAGCACATGTTAAAGCAAAGTCAATTAAAATGATCGAGATACATACGTTTCCAGCGATGATAGATCGGAGGCAATTGTGGATTCATCGGCCACCTCGGCTATGGAGACGGCGTGCTGCAGCATATGCTTACGCGGTTGTGGCGAGGTGGGCTGCTCTGGCGCATCGGCTTGTGCCCTCAACTTGGCATGTTGCAGAGTCTAACGTACTTATACATGGAATATCCATAAAGTGGGCTATATACAAGATAGACCTACCTTGGCTCGCCAGCGTCGCTCGGGCTGGGTGCGTTTGCTGGTCAGCAAAAAGGCTTGAGCCAGCGCCTTCACCGAGGGCAGGGCGTGCACCACGTCATCCTCAACGGCTGGCTTCTCTGTGGGCGTGGCTGCTGGCTCAGGCTAAAAAAAACACACACACACACACACACCTGTGATTGGGCTGTCCAACAACTATTTGCTGGCAACTTACCATTTCATCATCGTCGTCTATGGACAATACTTGACTTGGTTCGATCAGACGACGCTTGGGCTGTAGAAATCTAAAAGCTGGCGGCGTGGAGCCGCGCGTTGGTGTCATTGAGGGCGAGGCGCAGACATTGGGCGTCGCGTCGGCGGGCCCAAATTGCAGCACAACGGGCCGTTCACGTTTGCGCGACGCATCTATGGAGGAGGAGGAGGAGGGTGCACTCAGTGCAGACTCCATAGATGACGTGCTAGACGTGCTGGGCGGCTGCTCCTGCGCCTTGATGACGGTCGTCTCCTGCTTATTGAAATCATAAACGCGCACTGTGTCCGAGTCATCGCTGGTCGTTTGCAGGGATTGATTCGATTGGGTCTCCAGACTGGCGTTGCATCCATCTTCCAGCACCTGAGCTGGCAAAGCTGTGTAAATACACTTGTCATCCGGCATCTCGACGAGCTGTTCCTGAGTTTGCTCGACTGCAGTTTTGCATGCTATTTTCGCCTTTTGATAAAACATTTTATTTGTTTGTTTGGTGTTCATTGTGTTTTTTTTTGTAGTTGTGTGTGTCGTTGTTGTTGTCGTTGTTTAGGTACATTTTATGCATGTTTGTTAGTTTAGGTTTCGATAGTTTAGATTTAAATATGGAAAGAAGAATTGTTTAGGTACAATATATTATTTGGCACAAGCTTTGTCGAGCTGTTTAAAGTTCAAATGCAAAAAAAATTGTTATTCAAAAATTTTGAAAAATCGCCAAAAAAAAACGCAAATTTTTCTTAATCTCAAAAAACTTTCTTGTTTTACAAATCTTATAGTTTAAATTCGATTTAATTAGTTACTTACTAAATTTTTCAAAATGCTGCATTTACATCAAGTTATTTATAGAATGAATTACAATATTTATATAAAATTTTATGGAGAGTTTCTAAAACTTGGGTGCACAACATTTTTTGTGCGTATTTGAACTTTAAGCAGAATACTCGTTTATGTCTGGGCTGATGTATAGAATGTGTTGTATAGAATGTGGCATATAGAATGTGATGTATATTTGCGGATGTGGTAAATGTGTGTGGCAAGTGGTCAAGCAGCAACATGCAATAGGGATTTGCTTTAGTTACAGCTACAAATAGATAACTTTTTGAAAAGCAACTAAGTTTAGCACAGAAGTGAAACAAATGCCGTTAGTAAAATGCCATAAACAATAATTATATAATTGAACTATTTAGCAATTGTTAGTTGCTATTATTGTTGTACTCACCCCGGTAAAATTCAGGTTTTTACTAAAAACATTTGTTTCATTTAATATTGGTTTGTTGTTTAACTTTTGGCTTTATTTGTATTGGTTGTTTATAAAAAGAAGTTAGCAATTAATTAAGTATGGATTAACTAAAGTGCATACAAGAGTTATGTTTTAAAATTAACAGCAACAAAATCATAATTATAACATACAAAAGAGAATGCTGCATATTTTAGGGCGCATTAGCATTAATAATTAGGCAATTGGCATTTCAATTATTATTTATTTGTTGTTTTTTACAATTAGGTGGAAAGAACTCTAGCTCAACATTCTCGGGAGAAAGTATGAATATGCAAATTGTTTGTGGTGCAACTTGAGGTGCGCTAGTATTTTGGGATATTTTTTTGGAAATTTACAATTTCTTGGAGCAGATGGCACTGCCTGCCTTAAAGCCTAACCATGCTGGAGATTCTATGTGAGTGTGTGTGTGTGTGTTGGTGTGGATGTGTGTGTGGGTGTGCGTGTGTGCTTGTTGCCTTTACTGACTAGTGTTTTAACTTGGCTGACTAATATTTTGGCAGAGACTACACCTAAATGCTACAACTACTACACAGAGGATCCCGAAAAAAAAGCCCAATTACCCCCCCAAATAAATCGACCCTCCTCCCGTTTTCTTGACGCGCACACACTTCCCCTAGAAAAGCAGACTATTATGGCTGTGCTTGGCATCAGCCCCGCTGAAGCCGTTCAAACAGCTGTCCACGCCCGAGTCCTGATCGTCCAGGCTGGGCTTTGTCTGCATTTCGCTCTCGTACAAAGGATTCATTACGAAATCCTTGGAGGTGGCGGACACAGCACGAAAACTGTTGCGTTTGAGGTCTTTGTGCAGCAGCTGTTTCTCGAACTGCGTGAGCACCGCAGCCGAGGGACCCACCGAATGCCGCTTCGAGGCGGACGAGCCAAAGGACACGCCGCTTCCGTTGCTGTGCAGGCTCAGCGAGGATTGCGTATGGCGTTTGGGCAGCGTGCTGCCAAAGTGTTGCCCCGTGCTGCTGCGCCACGAGCGCTGCGAACGTACGTCAAAGTCATCTCCGTCCGGTTCTAGGCCTAAGCTGGAGTCGCGATAGTGCGACGCCGACGTCGAGGGACGCTCGTAGCCGCCGGGCAATGTTAATGTGGGGCAAGTACGTTTGTTAATGAACTTTAGCGAGCTGCTGCGTCGCACGGGCGTCGACAGCGTCCAATGTGTGAGGAGGTCAGCGTGGTTACTTTGAGCGCTACTTGAAATGCGGTTGCCATGCGGTTGAATTACCTCATTGATGACAATGTCCTCATCCGTCTGTGCCGACGCTGGCTCCTCCGTGCTGCTGCACGCCACTGAAGCCGCCCTTGCGCTAGTAGGCGTGGTCACCTGAGGCGCATTGTTGATGTAATAGTCGCGACTGTAGCTGCAAGAAGGAGTTTGGAGTTTGATACGATAGTCGAGACTGAGCTCCAGGAGCACTAACCGCTTGTAGTCCTCGACGCGGCTGGCGGGCTCCTCATCCGAGCCCCTCATCAGAGCCAGCGCCTTTTGCTCGGCACATGCACTTATGTTCGGCACATCCATGAAGCGTTCCTGTGTGCCGCTGATGCGCTGCTTCAGCGCCTCCGGCGCATACGGATTGTTGGGCATTTCGACGGCATTCGACCACTTCCTGACCTCACGTTCCGCAATGGAGCCTGCAAGTGGTTTAAGTTAATATTTAATAGCACTAAAAATAATAGGTAAAGTTCAAGCTAGACTCAAGCAACATGTTAGCCAGTCTAAGAGGAAAGCAGAACAGATACGGAAACGGAAACACAAGAAAGCAAAGGTGGGCGACAAAAAAGTGGGAGACAACAAACACCGAGTGATGACTGTGTTGGTGGCCATAAGTGCGTGTTACCTGGGGCGAAGCGCCGCAACAGTACAACATCATCATCATCATCATGATCATGATCATGATCAATATCAACATCATTATTATTATCATCGGCATTTTGCTGGCCACCATTCAATGTGAGAACGTGGCCCGACTTGCTCGACCATCTTAGTGAACCATTTGTTAATTTACCATTTGGCCGTGTTCGTGTTGTGGTATTTATGTTAGTATTATTGTTAGTATTTTTGTTAGTATTTGTGGTTGCATTCGTCTGCGTGCTATTAGAGACTGCCTCATCTGGATAACTATCATAATTGTACACTGAGTCGACGTCGCCGTCGCCGTTGCCGTCAAAGGTCTCGAGCGAGGTGGACGGCGCGCTCTCATTGCTGTGATTTGAGTCTGAGCTCAGTTGATCTGAGAAAAGAACGTGGTTAATAAAGTTAAAGCCAATCTCTGTCAAGCTGCCGACAATGAAGTACTCATCATCATGCTCGGCAATATCAAGTGATGTTTGGCTGGCAATATCTGTGTGATAGTTGTCTAAATCTACATGAAAGTCTTCCTTCGACCCGTCCTTATGGCTAATACTATAATCTACATTTTGCCCTGCTGCTTCGGGTTCATTAATCTCTATATTCAAATCTAAGCTAACGGGCTGATACGAATGGAGCTCGTCAAACAGACTGGGATGTGCTTCGTATTCTACAGCATCTGGCGGCTCATCGAAACTATCAAAGGAACTCAGGTATTTGTGCATAATTAGGGCGCGTTGGCGTCGTCTTTGGATTGTGGCCAACAGTCGTTTGTCTTGAAGGTAAATCTTGCAAATGGTCCCTAAGAGGTTCACAGGTCTCGCAGCTGAGTCTCCATCGCTCGGTGTTGTGTCTGGGATATTCGGCTGTCTTCGCAGGCACTTTTGAGACGTTTTACCTAGAGCGCAATTATCGCTCTTAACAGATTCACTTGTCAACAGATCAGCTTGAGTTTCATCACCGGCCTCTAATATTAATTTATCTGTTGCAATTGTTGCAACTGCTTCTTCGCTGGCGACTTGTGGCACAGCGGAAATCTCCTCGAAACCGCCTTCCTTAGGATCAGCCTGCGGTTTTGTACTAGCTCCTGCTGGAGGAACTTCTCCAAGTACTGGAGCCTCCTCCTTCGGCTCTAGTATAATTTCAGCACTGGCAACCTTCTCAATTCCCACCATATCTTCCTCGGGAGCATCCGGTAACTCAGATTTATTTCCTACTAAAGAAACTTCCTTGATTTCTGGTTCTTGAGCTTCCCCGGGAACAACTTGAGGCTCTTGAATAGTCTCAGTACTAGCAACCTCCTCACTTGCTGATATTGCAGCATCCTCGAGAGCAGCCTGGGGCTCACCACTAGAAACCTCCTCAACTATTGGCGGAGTAGCCTCCTGGTGTGATTCGGATGTAGCTTCAGCTCTAGCAACCTCCTCAATTGCTATTGCTGGAGCTTGATCGCAAGTAATCTGTGGCTGAGTACAATCAACCTCGTAACCTTTTGGCGCTGGAGCCTCCTGGGGAGTAGCCTGGCGCTCTGGTGCAATCTCAGCACTAAGAACCTCCTCAACTGTTAGGGTTGAAACTTCTTTGAGGGCAGTCTGAAGCTCCGCACTAGCAACCTCCTCAGCTACTGGGGCTGGAGCCTCGTCGAGAATTATTTCAGTCCTAGGAACCTCCTCAATTGCTGGTGTTGAAGCAACCTCCTTGACTTCTGGCGCTGGAACTTCCTGGGGCGTAGCCAGTCGCTTTGGTACAATCTCAGCACAAGGAACGTCCGCAACTGCTGCTGCAGCTTGTGGCTCATTACTAGCAACATCCCCAATTTCTGGTGCTGCAGTCTCCTCAGAATCCACTTTTAGTTCTGGAATAATCTCAATACAAGCAATCTCCTCAATTGCTGGCGCTGGAGCCTCCTCGGAATCAACTTGTGGCTCTTGTGTTATCTCAGCACTTCCAACCTCCTCAATTGTTGGTGCTGGATCTTCGCCGGGAGTAAGTTGTGGCTCAGTACTAGCAATATCCTCAATTGTTGATGCTGGAGCTTCCTTAGGTTTATCGTGTGGTTCAGTAAAAACAACCTCCTTGACTACTGGTGCTGGAACTTCCTGCGAAGTAGCAAGTCGCTCTGTTGCAATGTCAGCAGTTGGATTCTCTTCAACTTCTGAATCTTCCTCGGAAGCAGCTTGTGGCTCAGAACTAACAACCTCCTCAATTGTTGGTGCTGAAGCTTCCTCGAGGGTAGTCTGAGGATCAGTAATAGCAACCTCTTTAATTGCTGATGCTAGAGCCTCCTCGGGATAAACTTGGGGACCTTGTGTTATCTCAGCACTTCCAACCTCCTCAGATGTTGGTGCTGAAACTTTCTCAAGGGTAGTCTGAGGATAGGTACTAGCAACCACCTCAATCGCTGATGTTGGAGCCTTCTCGGGATCAACTTTTAGATCTGTTGTAATCTCAATACAACCAACGTCCTTAATTGCTTGTGTTGAATCTTTCGCAGGTTGTGGCTCCAGTACAACCTCCCCAATTTTGGGCGCTGTAGCCTCCTTGGGATCAACTTTTGCCCCTTGGTTTATTCCAGCATTTTCAACCTCCTCAATTTTTAGTGCTGGATCTTCTTCGGGAGCAGGTTGTGGGTCAGTACTAACAACCTCCTCAATGGCTGGTGCTGGAGCCTTATCGAGAATCATCTCAGTAAGGGCAACCTGCTCAGTTGCTGGCGTTGGAGCTTCCTCAGGTGTATCGTTTAGTTCAGTAGAAGCAACCTCATTGACCACTGGCTCTGTAACTTCCTGGGAACTAGCTAGTCGCTTTGGTGCAATCTCAGCATTAGAAATCTCCTCAACACCTGGACCTTCCTCGGAAGCAGGTTGTGGTTCAGTACTAGCAACCTCCTCAATTGCTGGTGCTGGAGACGTCCCTGAATCAACTTGGAGTGCTGGTGTAATCTCAGTAGAAGCAACATTCTCAATTGGTTGAGCTGGCACTTCCTCGTGTGCTGTTTTTGGCTCTGGAACTTCCTCAGGTGTATCGTGTGGTTCACTGGTAGCAACTTGTGGCTCAGTAGAAGTAACCTCTTCATTCGCTGATAGTGAAGCTTCCATTTTAATGATTGACACTGAAGCGTCCTCTAAAAGGGCTTGAGGGGCTGCTGCTGAAGCTTCCTCGACAGCAGCCTTCTTGGGTTCAACTTGTGGCTCCAATGAATGTTCAACCCTAGCAGCCTCGTTATTTGCTGGGACTCGACCGTCCTCGCGAACAGCCTGTGAAAGTGATGTAACCTCAGAACGAGCAACCTCCTCTACTGCTAAAATTGGAACTTCCTCGGAAGCTGTAGTTACTGCTCCAGCAGCAGCAATAACTTTCTCTCCTGTTACTGGAGCTTCCTCATGAGCATTAGTTACTCTGGTGGAAGTATCAATTTCAGCTGGTGGCGCTGAAGATTCCTCGGAAGCAGCATTAACTTCTGCTAAAATAACTATCTCAGATGCTGTCGCTTGAGCAGCAGGTTCTTCTGCTGGTGCAGGATCGACCTCGGCAGCAACATTTCCTTCTGCTGGAGTAACTACCTCAACTGCTGGCACTGGGACTTCCTCGGGAGCAGCAGTTACTTCTACTGGAGTAACTATCTCAACTGCTGGCGCTGAAGATTCCTCGGGAGCAGCAGTTACTTCTGCCGGAGTAATTATCTCAACTGCTGGCGCTGGAACTTCCTCAGACGCAGTTACTTCTGCCAGAGTAACAATCTCAGCTGCTGGCACTAAAACTTCCTCTGAAGCAGCAGGTTCTTCTGCTGGAGTAACTATCTCATCTGCTGGCGCTGGAACTTCCTCGGGAGCAGCAGTTCCTTCTGCTGGCGAAACTATCTCAACTGTTGGCAGTGGAACTTCGTCGGGAGCAGCAGTTACTTCTGCCGGAGTAATTATCTCAACTGCTGGCGCTGGAACTTCTTCGGGCGCAGCAGTTACTTCTGCCGGAGTAATTATCTCAACGGCTGGCGCTGGAACTTCCTCGGGAGCAGCAGTTACTTCTGCCGGAGTAATTATCTCAACTGCTGGCGATGGAACTTCCTCAGACGCAGTTACTTCTGCCGGAGTAACTATCTCAGTTGTTGGCACTGGTACTTCCTCGGGAGCAGTTACTTCTGCCGGAGTAACCATCTTAGCTGCTGGCACTGGAACTTCCTCGGGAGCAGCAGTTACTTCTGCTGGAGTAACTATCTCAACTGCTGGCGCTGAAGATTCCTCGGAAGCAGTTACTTCTGCTGCAGTAACTATCTTAGCTGCTGGCACTGGAACTTCCTCGGGAGCAGCAGTTCCTTCTGCTGGCGAAACTATCTCAACTGTTGGCAGTGGAACTTCCTCGGGAGCAGCAGTTACTTCTGCCGGAGTAACTATCTCAGCTGCTGGCACTGAAACTTCCTCTGAAGCAGCAGGTTCTTCTGCTGGATTAGCTATCTCATCTGCTGGCACTGGAACTTCCTCGGGAGCAGCAGTTACTTCTGCTGGAGTAACTATCTCAACTGCTGGCGCTGGAGATACCTCGGAAGCAGTTACTTCTGCCGGAGTAACTATCTCAGCTGCTGGCACTGGAACATCCACGGAAGCAGCAGTTGCTTCTGCTAGAGTAACTGTATCTGCTGCTGGCGCTGGAGATTCCTCGGAAGCAGTTACTTCTGCCGGAGTAACTATCTTAGCTGCTGGCACTGGAACTTCCTCGGGAGCATCAGTTACTTCTGCTGGAGTAACAATCTCAACTGCTGGCGCTGAAGATTCCTCGGAAGCAGTTACTTCTGCTGCAGTAACTATCTCAACTGCTGGCGCTGGAGATACCTCGGAAGCAGTTACTTCTGCCGGAGTAACTATCTCAGCTGCTGGCACTGGAACATCCACGGAAGCAGCAGTTGCTTCTGCTAGAGTAACTGTATCTGCTGCTGGCGCTGGAGATTCCTCGGAAGCAGTTACTTCTGCCGGAGTAACTATCTTAGCTGCTGGCACTGGAACTTCCTCGGGAGCATCAGTTACTTCTGCTGGAGTAACAATCTCAACTGCTGGCGCTGAAGATTCCTCGGAAGCAGTTACTTCTGCTGCAGTAACTATCTCAACTGCTGGCGCTGGAGATACCTCGGAAGCAGTTACTTCTGCCGGAGTAACTATCTCAGCTGCTGGCACTGGAACTTCCTCGGGCGCAGCAGTTACTTCTGCTAAAGTAACTGAATCTGCTGATGGCGCTGGAGATTCCTCGGAAACAGCTAGTTCTGCTGGAGTAACTATCTTATCTGCTGGCACTTGAGATTCCTCGGAAACAGTTAGTTCTGCTGGAGTAACTATCTTATCTGCTGGCACTTGAGTTTCCTCGGAAGCAGCAGTTACTTCTGCTGGATTAACTATCTCATCTGCTGCCGCTGGAAATTCCTCGGAAGCAGGTACTTCAGCTGGCACTGGAACTTCTTCGGGCGCAGCAGTTACTTCTGCTAGAGTAACTATCTCAGCTGCTGGCACTGGAACTTCCTCGGGCGCAGCAGTTACTCCTGCTAAAGTAACTGCATCTGCTGATGGCGCTGGAGATTCCTCGGAAACAGCTAGTTCTGCTGGAGTAACTATCTTATCTGCTGGCACTTGAGATTCCTCGGAAACAGTTAGTTCTGCTGGAGTAACTATCTTATCTGCTGGCACTTGAGTTTCCTCGGAAGCAGCAGTTACTTCTGCTGGATTAACTATCTCATCTGCTGCCGCTGGAAATTCCTCGGAAGCAGTTACTTCTGCTAGAGTAACTATCTCTGCTGCTGGCATTGGAAACTCTTCGGGAGCAGCAGTTACTTCTACGGGAATAACTATCTCAGCTGCTGACGCTGAGAATTCCTCGGGAGCAGTTACTTCTGCTGGATAAACTATCTCAACTGTTGGCAGTGGAACTTCGTCGGGAGCAGCAGTTACTTCAGACGGATCAACTTTCTTAGCTGCTGGTGTAGGAACTTCCCCGGGAATAGAAGATTCTTCTGTGGAAGAAGCTGTCACATCTGCTGGCGCTTCAGACGTAACAGGTTTTTCTGCAGGAGTAAATAGCTCAATTACTGGCTCTGGAATTTCTACAGGAGCAGCAGTTTCTCCTGTTAACGTAGGAACTTCTTCGGGAGCATCTAGAGTAACTATCTCAGCTAAAGGCGCTGAAGCTTCTTCGGGAGCTACAGTTGCTTCTGCTAGAGGACTTGATTCTTCAAGTTGTTGCGTTGGTGCTTCTGTGGCTGCGGCAATTAGGGTAACTTCTTCAACAGCTTGTGTTATAGTTGGTGCTGGTGCAGCAGTCTGTGGCTCTACAATTACTTCTGCTTGAGTAACTAATTGTGCCAGATCTTCCTGAGGAACAAGTTTTGTTTCTGAATTAATCCCAGCACAAGCAATATCATCAATTAATGGTGCTGCTGTGTGTGTTTCTCCAGATATAGGCTGTTCATTAGGAGCGAGTTCCGTTTGTCCTACAATTTCAACATTTTCCTCCTTAGGTTGAGATATTTCTTCGGTAGCGGAAGATGGAATCTCACTCGCATTAACAGGTGCCCTGTGCTTGTGTTCTTCTTCAGCAGTTTGAGATTTGTCGACTTGGTCTGAGGATTGTGCTTCCGTGAACTCTTCCTCAATAATGTCCAGAGAGTGTTGAGCTAGCTCCATTGTGCGAGCGTTGATTTCAGCCAGAGCCAAATCACTTAGTTCCTTGAGTGTATGAATTTCTGTTGCAGTCATGACAGGAGGTTGTTCAGATGCTGGAACCGCGAGCATGGGTCCCAGAGCAATGGCTGCTAGTATTTCAATAACCGAAGGTATGTTTTCATGTAGCTTGCTGTCATCTAGGTATTCAACGTCCCCGAAGCCTGTTAAGCCCTCGAGATCGCAGAGTTCATCTGAATCACATTGGGCTGCTGTAACACATAACGACTGCTGAATGCCGCTGCTTCAAAACTATGCACAGATACGCTGAGGTTCATTACAGGTGGGATCCGCTAAAACTACGGTAAGGTCTAAGGGACTAAAACTCCCAAACTAAACAAGCTTAAGGCAGGATGTATTGTTTAAGTGAATATAAGTGGTTAGCTTAAAGGATGAGTTGTGGATTTGTAAAAGGGAAAAATACTTGTGCAGTTACCTGCGATCAGTGTCTGAGCGGGATCCTCAGTATTTTCATCATCTTGAAAAATCATGGGTGGCGGGGGCGCCATTACGTTAGACGTTTTCTGTTCTTCTGACTGTGGCGCTGTGGCCGCCGTGGGCTGTTGGACGAGCGGATTTGTGGTCTCGGTAAAAGCGGGCTCGTGCTCCGCTGGCAAAGTATTTGAGGTCAAGCTTGTGCGATCCACCAGCTCGTCAAGCACTAGTTTTGTATTCTGTCCACCAATTAGGTGTTTGCTTAAGAGCCGATCATTGAGCTCATTGCAGCGCAGCAAATCCAGGGATGTCTCCTCTGCGTCGGAGCCCATTTCGGACAGATCGCTAACCTCGTCGGCAGTCCGATCGCCAATCTGAGCGCGTATATTCTCCTTGGGCGCGGGCACCAGCATGCCAATGCTGCTCGGTGTGGCCGAACTCTGCAAGGTGCTGCGCTTCTTCTTGAACAGCCAATTGTCCTCCCAGGTGCCATCACCGACCAGGCTCGATGACATCGAGACAACATCTGGAAGTGATAGGAAGATATATTTATGGCAGGGTTGGATTTTGAGGTTGAGTACTCACCATCCTCCGATTCGGTAACGGATGCTGAGAAATCCGGCAGCGGCACCATGTGAGCGGCTATATAGTCGCTCAAGACCGACTCACGTTCCACGTCCAGCTGTGAGCCAGCATGTGCTTCGGCTTTGCCAGTCTGAAAAGATGGGGTATTTATAGATGAAGAGATTTGAAAAGCTCCCAACTAGCATTGAGTACCAGTTCATGGTCCGTCAGGCTGCAATCGCTGCGCGGCTCTATTGAACTTCCGGAGGTAGTGCTCAACGCTTCGGCATTGTAATTCTCATCAATGTTGTGAGCACTCAAGTCCGGCGTACTCTCCGAAATGAGCCTGTTATTGCCCTCCTTGTCCGCAATCTATAAAAAAGTTGAAGTCTCATTAAACCCAGACTCTATAGGAATATACCTAAACTAAGGGTTTTGTTTATATTTTGGGGGGCTAGGAAAATATGAAACTGTGCAGCATATAAGCTGCTTGCGACCGGCAACACTTGTCAGCTGTGTTGAAAAACGCTGTGTAGAAAATCAAGACTTTTGCTGAGCTATGTCGTCATGATTGTACCCAAAACTAGATCGATTTCAGCGTGACGCAGCAGAGATTTCAGCAGAAGTAAAACAGATTATTCAATCACTTATGAAACCTATGTTAAACCAGGCGAAAATATGACTGGCTGATAAGATATGATACTTTAATCCAAATGTATTGACTTTTTATAAAAATAGTTGCTACTTTATGTTTTAGTTGACATATTTACATGCTGGGCTGGCTCTGCCATGGCGAAATCCAGAATAAAACCAATTAAATACGATTTTTAGCTATGGAAAATCGAGTTTTTCCTCCGACTGAAAAGTCAATGATCCAATTAGCGTGTAATGGGCCAGTTGATGCCTTTTGCCGTTTACGATTCTTCCAGGCGTCCGCACGCTTGCAACAATGGGCAGCAACTAATTAGTGGGGCATGCAACTGTGGTGGCTTTGGGCCAATTGGGAAGCCCGGCAAGTGCGGCCTAAACGAAAGCGAAAACTGAACGAAGCTGACGTATGAGGAAATTGCCAGAATGTGCCGCGGATTACAAGCGAGGTCAACACGTTCCTGCCCCAGATGCAACAGTTGTTCTGGGAGGTCAGTTTCCCATACCCTCTAACCAGTGACTAAAGGAAGAGTATGCTAGATTTGAGCAATTGCTCGTAACTATGTGAAGAATCGAACACGCTCATTTCGGAGAAAATAATGACAAAAGAGCACAAATTTGAAAAGAAGATGCTTGTATATCAAAAGCAGAATTCTTTTTCTTATGTCTTCCAACATTAGTATCTATTTGCATTCTATGCTTGAATTTGAAAAGTACATTATGAGCAGAATTGTTTTTATACCCTGAACCCATTAAAAATGGGTATAAGGGTATATTGTATTTGTGCGAAAGCCAAATGTATGTAACAGGCAGAAGGAAGCAACTCCGACCCCATAAAGTATATATATTCTTGATCAGCACAAATAGCTGAGTCGATCTAGCCATGTCCGTCTGTCTGTCCGTCCGTCCGTCCGTCCGTCCGTATGTATGAACGCAAGGATCTCAGAATCTATAAGAGCTAGAGACTTGAAATTTTAGATGTAGATGCTCCTAGCTCCCGCGCAGATCGAGTTTGTTTCCGATAATCGATAACTTACTCCGTTTCCAAGCAATCGATAAAAATCAACATCGATATCCTGTTTTTTGGGCAATTTTGGTAAATTATAAAAGCTAGAGTCACCAAACTTGACATATAGCTTCTAAAATAGAATATATATATGATATAGGATTTTTCTTCACGGTTTTCCCTCTAGATTAATGTGGCATTCAAATCTGAACACCGATTTTTTAGTCGAAATTCATGTCCAAATCTTACCCCAAGATTCGTATATAGACATGGGTCAAAATTTACCACCCCCATATCTCGACCAAATCTCATCCGATTTCCACGAAGTTTGGCTTTTTCTTTATAGTTTTCCCTCTAGATTAATCTGGCATTCAAATCTCGACACCGATTTTTTGGTCAAAATGCATGTCCGAATCTTACCCCAAGATTCGTATATAGACATGGGTCAAAAATTACCACCCCCATAACTTCGTCAAATCTCATCCGATTTTCACGAAGTTTGGCTTTTTCTTCATGGTTTTCCCTCTAGATTAATGTGGCATTCAAATCTCGACACCGATTTTTTGGTCGAAATTCATGTCCAAATCTTACCCCAAAATTCGTATATAGACATGGATCAAAAATTACCACCCCCATAACTCGGTCAAATCTCATCCGATTTTCACGAAGTTTGGCTTTTTCTTCATGGTTTTCCCTCTAGATTAATATGGCATTCAAATCTCGACACCGATTTTTTGGTCGAAATTCATGTCCAAATCTTACCCCAAAATTCGTATATAGACATGGATCAAAAATTACCACCCCCATAACTCGGTCAAATCTCATCCGATCTTCACGAAGTTTGGCTTTTTCTTCATGGTTTTCCCTCTAGATTAATCTGGCATTCAAGTCTGAACACCGATTTTTTGGTCGAAATTCATGTCCAAATCTTACCCCAAAATTCGTATATAGACATGGATCAAAAATTACCACCCCCATAACTCGGTCAAATCTCATCCGATTTTCACGAAGTTTGGCTTTTTCTTCATGGTTTTCCCTCTAGATTAATCTGGCATTCAAGTCTGAACACCGATTTTTTGGTCGAAATTCATGTCCAAATCTTACCCCAAGATTCGTATATTGACATGGGTCAACATTTACCACCCCCATAACTCGGTCAAATCTCATCCGATTTTCACGAAGTTTGGCTTTTTCTTCATGGTTTTCCCTCTAGATTAATCTGGCATTCAAGTATGAACACCGATTTTTTGGTCGAAATTCATGTCCAAATCTTACCCCAAAATTCGTATATAGACATGGATCAAAAATTACCACCCCCATAACTCGGTCAAATCTCATCCGATTTTCACGAAGTTTGGCTTTTTCTTCATGGTTTTCCCTCTAGATTAATCTGGCATTCAAGTATGAACACCGATTTTTTGGTCGAAATTCATGTCCAAATCTTACCCCAAAATTCGTATATAGACATGGATCAAAAATTACCACCCCCATAACTCGGTCAAATCTCATCCGATTTTCACGAAGTTTGGCTTTTTCTTCATGGTTTTCCCTCTAGATTAATCTGGCATTCAAGTCTGAACACCGATTTTTTGGTCGAAATTCATGTCCAAATCTTACCCCAAGATTCGTATATAGACATGGGTCAACATTTACCACCCCCATAACTCGGTCAAATCTCATCCGATTTTCACGAAGTTTGGCTTTTTCTTCATGGTTTTCCCTCTAGATTAATCTGGCATTCAAGTCTGAACACCGATTTTTTGGTCGAAATTCATGTCCAAATCTTACCCCAAAATTCGTATATAGACATGGATCAAAAATTACCACCCCCATAACTCGGTCAAATCTCATCCGATTTTCACGAAGTTTGGCTTTTTCTTCATGGTTTTCCCTCTAGATTAATGTGGCATTCAAATCTCGACACCGATTTTTTGGTCGAAATTCATGTCCAAATCTTACCCCAAAATTCGTATATAGACATGGATCAAAAATTACCACCCCCATAACTCGGTCAAATCTCATCCGATTTTCACGAAGTTTGGCTTTTTCTTCATGGTTTTCCCTCTAGATTAATCTGGCATTCAAGTCTGAACACCGATTTTTTGGTCAAAATGCATGTCCGAATCTTACCCCAAGATTCGTATATAGACATGGGTCAAAAATGACCACCCCCATATCTCGGCCAAATCTCATCCGATTTTCACGAAGTTTGGCTTTTTCTTCATGGTTTTCCCTCTAGATTAATCTGGCATTCAAGTCTGAACACCGATTTTTTGGTCGAAATTCATGTCCAAATCTTACCCCAAGATTCGTATATAGACATGGGTCAACATTTACCACCCCCATAACTCGGTCAAATCTCATCCGATTTTCACGAAGTTTGGCTTTTTCTTCATGGTTTTCCCTCTAGATTAATCTGGCATTCAAGTCTGAACACCGATTTTTTGGTCGAAATTCATGTCCAAATCTTACCCCAAGATTCGTATATAGACATGGGTCAACATTTACCACCCCCATAACTCGGTCAAATCTCATCCGATTTTCACGAAGTTTGGCTTTTTCTTCATGGTTTTCCCTCTAGATTAATCTGGCATTCAAGTATGAACACCGATTTTTTGGTCGAAATTCATGTCCAAATCTTACCCCAAAATTCGTATATAGACATGGATCAAAAATTACCACCCCCATAACTCGGTCAAATCTCATCCGATTTTCACGAAGTTTGGCTTTTTCTTCATGGTTTTCCCTCTAGATTAATCTGGCATTCAAGTATGAACACCGATTTTTTGGTCGAAATTCATGTCCAAATCTTACCCCAAAATTCGTATATAGACATGGATCAAAAATTACCACCCCCATAACTCGGTCAAATCTCATCCGATTTTCACGAAGTTTGGCTTTTTCTTCATGGTTTTCCCTCTAGATTAATCTGGCATTCAAGTCTGAACACCGATTTTTTGGTCGAAATTCATGTCCAAATCTTACCCCAAGATTCGTATATAGACATGGGTCAACATTTACCACCCCCATAACTCGGTCAAATCTCATCCGATTTTCACGAAGTTTGGCTTTTTCTTCATGGTTTTCCCTCTAGATTAATCTGGCATTCAAGTCTGAACACCGATTTTTTGGTCGAAATTCATGTCCAAATCTTACCCCAAAATTCGTATATAGTTATGGGTAAAAAATGACCACCCCCATATCTCGGCCAAATCTCATCCGATTTTCACGAAGTTTGGCTTTTTCTTCATGATTTTCCCTCTAGATTAATCTGGCATTCAAGTCTGAACACCGATTTTTTGGTCAAAATGCATGTCCGAATCTTACCCCAAGATTCGTATATAGACATTGGTCAAAATTTACCACCCCCATAACTCGGTCAAATCTCCTCCGATTTTCACGAAGTTTGGCTTTTTCTACATGGTTTTCCCTCTAGATTAATCTGGCATTCAAATCTCGACACCGATTTTTTGGTCGAAATGCATGTTCAAATCTTACCCCAAGATTCGTATATAGACATGGGTCAACATTTACCACCCCCATAACTCGGTCAAATCTCATCCGATTTTCACGAAGTTTGGCTTTTTCTTCATGGTTTTCCCTCTAGATTAATCTGGCATTCAAGTATGAACACCGATTTTTTGGTCGAAATTCATGTCCAAATCTTACCCCAAAATTCGTATATAGACATGGATCAAAAATTACCACCCCCATAACTCGGTCAAATCTCATCCGATTTTCACGAAGTTTGGCTTTTTCTTCATGGTTTTCCCTCTAGATTAATCTGGCATTCAAGTATGAACACCGATTTTTTGGTCGAAATTCATGTCCAAATCTTACCCCAAAATTCGTATATAGACATGGATCAAAAATTACCACCCCCATAACTCGGTCAAATCTCATCCGATTTTCACGAAGTTTGGCTTTTTCTTCATGGTTTTCCCTCTAGATTAATCTGGCATTCAAGTCTGAACACCGATTTTTTGGTCGAAATTCAAATCTTACCCCAAGATTCGTATATAGACATGGGTCAACATTTACCACCCCCATAACTCGGTCAAATCTCATCCGATTTTCACGAAGTTTGGCTTTTTCTTCATGGTTTTCCCTCTAGATTAATCTGGCATTCAAGTCTGAACACCGATTTTTTGGTCGATATTCATGTCCAAATCTTACCCCAAAATTCGTATATAGTTATGGGTCAAAAATGACCACCCCCATATCTCGGCCAAATCTCATCCGATTTTCACGAAGTTTGGCTTTTTCTTCATGGTTTTCCCTCTAGATTAATCTGGCATTCAAGTCTGAACACCGATTTTTTGGTCAAAATGCATGTCCGAATCTTACCCCAAGATTCGTATATAGACATTGGTCAAAATTTACCACCCCCATAACTCGGTCAAATCTCCTCCGATTTTCACGAAGTTTGGCTTTTTCTACATGGTTTTCCCTCTAGATTAATCTGGCATTCAAATCTCGACACCGATTTTTTGGTCGAAATGCATGTTCAAATCTTACCCCAAAATTCGTATGTAGACATGGGTCAAAAATTACCACCCCCATAACTCGGTCAAATCTCGTAAAAATCGATATCGATATCCTGTTTTTTGGGCAATTTTGGTAAATAATAAGAACTAGAGTCACCAAACTTGACATATAGCTTCTAAAATAGAATATGCATTTGATGTTGGAAGAAGAGGGTTCAGGGTATCCCCTAGCGAGGGCTCCCGACTAGAACCTTGTTTTTTTTATATGTCTTTCAATTTAGGTATCTATTTGCATACTATCCTTAGCCATCTTAAAGCTCTCTCTTATAACAATCGGATTGCTTAAATTTGCATCTGTGCATGTTATTTATGCCTGGCTACAGGGTATCTAGTAGTCGATGTTTCACTTGCTCTTACCTTATTGAGCACCGCTGTGGCCAACAGATCCTGATAGATTTTGGGCTCAAAGTAGTGCTCGGTGCGATGGCGTCGCTTGCTGCTGCTGCCGCCATTGCTAAAGCCCGACAGCTGCCCATTGGAGCGCGTATCCAGGCTAATCTCGGAGACGGCGCCGCTGGGCGAATTGAGGAGGATGCTGTTGCTGCCGCTGCGCAGCGTCTCGGCGATGATTGTCTCAATGAGACTGCGCAGACGCGTCTGCGATATGTCCGCCAACTGTTCATTGTTGATGTTGTTGTTGTTGCTGTTGCTGCTGCTGTTGTTGTTGTTGCCATTGACAATGGCTGGCAAATCTGTAAGCAGGCGAATTGGTCAAGAAAACATTTGGGAGACTAAGAATAGCATGGCATGGGCATGGTTAGCACGAAAGTCAGTTAAAAAACGAACAAAACGAATGGAAAAGTGAAAAGTTGCCAGTTGTGTGAGTGTGGAAAGTGAGTGTGTGAGTGAGTGTATGAGCTGATTGAGGAGAAGGCATACCTAATTTCACCTCAATGACGTAAACAACGTAAAAAACAATTACAGCTACGACGGCATACATGCCAGTTATCAGGCCCAATGTAAAGTCCATGCTGCATGCACACACAGAAAAACGAGTATTCGACGAGTTATTCAGTTACATATACGAATAGGTTGAGTATTCACTTTGGGCCAACATCAATCAATATGAATTAGTTGCCTTATTTGTTTATTGTTTTTATTTTTGTTTTGTTTTTATTTTTAGTTAACAGTCGCTAATGCCGTATTTGTATTTATTTGTATTTGGCCTGTGTAAATATTTATGTTCCGGTTTTAATTAAGACACACACGCTGACACATGTAATACACTCTTTGAGTAGCAAATTACGCATACGCCGCATTAGCCAGCCCTCTTTAAACCAAAAATTTGTATATTTAAAGCTGAGCTAAACGCTTGAGCAGGCAGCAAACCCAAAGTCCAGGCTCAAAGCAAATAAATATAAATGAATGTATATATATGTATGTATTTATATCTGCACGCATTGTAAACAAAACAAAACAACGCAAAATAAATGTATCTTTTGAGCCGCTGCTGCTTCTTCTTTTGTGCTAATATCTTGTCTTTCTTTTAGCGGTAAAAACATAATTAATAACCTCAAGTTATCTATTTTGCCTATACAAAAGCCACTAAATTTCTTTATCGCCTCTCTGACAGGTCTATTGTGTGTGTGTGTGCGAGTGTGTGCGTGTGTGTGTGTGTGTGTATCGCTTGAGTGCCGTTAGTCATTGAAGAAATGTCAAAGATTGAAACGTATCTGCCGCATTTTGCATACAACTGTCATTAATGAAGCAGAGCCGAACCTGAACTAGACAAGCTGAACCTCAACCGGCACAGATCACAGCTAAATATAAATATACCCTATATATATAGTCTAAGTGTGCTGTGCAAGGTACACAAGTCAAGTTCAGTTCAAAGTTCCTGTTACTTCCACTTTAGTTATTAACTTTTACACGTTTAAATACAGCTCTTAACTTGTTTAATTAATATATACACACACACACACACACACGCACATTTGCACATTTATAAAATGTGATTAAAGTCGTGACATTAATTTAGCATATTTTGGCGCATAATCTTGTGCGCTCGAAGCCATCATTAATATTTATTAACATTGATTAAATATTTTTTCCTGGTTTTTGCTGTTTGGGCCACGTTTAGAGTTTTGTTGTTAAATGTAGTTTTATTTTTTGCCAATATATATACACTTTACACAATATATACACTTTATTCAGAGGGTCAAGGTTGGCATAGACATAAGCTCAAGAGCTGAGTAACTGTGTGTGTGTGTGTGTGTGTCATCTGTTATCTGCACAGGCATATATGTATATATATATATATATAGATATTTGTATTTGTATTGCTCGCCGTTTATTTTGTTGCTTTACTTTACTTTTCACTATGCGTCTTTCTTTTATTTTCTTGTTGTTTTATGTGTTATCATTATCACTTTTGGGCACTTGCTTTTTTTTTTTTTCTTATTTTTGCTTTTACTTTGCACGCTTTGACGTAAAAAACGTTATTTTATGTGATTTTTTTTTTTTTTATAATTTTTCACCCGGCTTTTGGCTGCTCGGCGCGCGGCCAAAACGTTGCGATCAGCGCGCGTTGCGTCTGGCAACTGCCGCAAGCAGCCGCAGCAGCAGCAGCAGCAGCAGCAGCAGCTAACAACGTGTGAGTGTGCCAACACACACACACACACACACACACACACACACACACACACATACACAGTTATAGACATATCTATAGCTTTGTAATGGCATACAAACAGTCCGCTTTTGTTTATTGAGGTATTTCGATATTCGCGAGCATTGTGCTTGGATTCTCTCCATGAGAATTGAGCACAAAATTTCAAGTCTTTAAATTATGACATATTTAAAAAAATCATACATTTGTGCTTTATTAGAGCATATTTTTGAATATTAGCTTGAAAAAAGCTTAAAACAGTATCAGAAGAATGTCTTGCTAAGTTAAAAACGGTTTGTTCTGATTGATTGATTGACTTAGTGATTGACTGACTGACTGGCGGACTGACTGATTGATAATCAACGCACAGCTCAGTTTTTTATTGCCTTTATTGCTGAGTCGTAGATGAGTTTGTCCCTATTGATTGATTGACTGACTGACTGATTGATGATTAACGCAGAGCCCAAACCGTTGAAGCTAGCTAGATGAATCTTTAATTGTAGCTACTTCATGGAATGTAAGTCGTGGAAAAGTATGTGGAAAGGGATAAGAAAAACTGCCTGGCTGATTGAAAGTCGTGATCCGCTTAATTTTAATAGATTATACAAATTTGACTTTAAGTAACTTTATTAAACAACAAAACACTTAATTGTAGCTCGGGTAAATAACGCCCGATCTTGACAAAAAATGTCTTTCTGGGTTCGTAGAAGTCAGTTAAATGGATTGGAATGGAATGTGTTGCGTGCGATAAAGTGTTAACACAATTTAAAAAATTGAAATTTCAGAAATAGATGTTTCCTGTTTTCGTAACAGATCTGTCTATATGGGTTTTTGTTTGTAGCAACGACTTGAAGTGATTGACATGTTTATTTGCAATCGACGAGTTAGCATGTCTCTAAGTTATTACACCCTCGAGAGACGAACATGTTTGACTTTGTAATTTGAATGATGGGCATTTTAAGGCACTCAAACTCTAAACTCCAAAATGGAAACTCGTTAAAGTTGCCTCGACTAGCCGTGTAAATTGTCAATTTGCAGCTGCTGGAACCAGTTGCTGAGCGATGTCGGCGCACGTTGCGTATGATTAATGTGCGTGTATCTCGGCTTGTCATCTGGTTAAGGCCAACTGTCGCTACAGTGTGCTTAAATGTGCTTACAAAGTGTTGTACTTGTCGGTATTTCAATAGACCAGACGATTCCTCTTATCAGCTCCATATGCTTTGCCTTATCAGGTGTCTGTGTGTCTGTGTGTGTGTGTGTGCGTGTCGCTGTTATCAATGAGTGTTGACCGCGATTTTAGTTTAGTTTTGTTGTGCTTTGTTTATTTTAGTTGGTTTTTATTATTTACTGATAGTCATAGAAAATTTTCGCTACATAATCAACGATTGCCTCAGTTTTTTGGTCAGCATTATTACAACATCACGTATACGTCCGACTCCGACTGCGCGTCATCCATACATACACATACACAGAGCGAGATATCTACGTGCATTATAAATACTATATACGATTTTATGGCCATGATTCATGCCCAGATACGAGCAGGTTATACAGCATTCAATTTAGATAGCAGCTAGCAGGCAGCACTACATCATGTTAGGGCGTGGCACATGCCACATACAAAGTACATTCAACAGGACTCGCTACGACTTACCTCCCTTGAACGCGCGAGCGCACAAAGCGTTCTCCACATTGATAAGCAGGTTGCTCAGTTTCGCATGATATTTATCAAACAGCTGCAGGTCTGTGTGCAGTGTGATTGTAAATGTGTGTGTGAGTGTGTGTGTGCGTGTGTTGATAAAATTTAACATTAAGTATGCAATGAAGTTTGCCAAAAGCTTCAGCTGTCAGTAGAGCCAAAGCTTTAGCTCGAAAAGCAACAGCAAGTATGCAATAGTCTTTTGTGAGCGCGTGCTTTTACTCAAAGAGCTTTTTGAGCTTTTATTTTGATAGAAAAGTAAAAGATTTAGTTCTTATAAAAATCAGTTATTTAATCACAAAGCTTCTGTAAGCTCTTCGGTTAGATTTGAATATATCGCATCTTGTTTGTTTAAAAAAGGTTTTTTGCGGACAACATAGATTCTTTAAGGGGCTTATGGCTTGCAATTAATTCTGATAGTGCCATTTTGTAGTGAAGCTAGTTTCGTAGAGATTAAAATTTGGATAAAAAACTCTTGAAATATGGTTATGAAAACCCTAAAAATGTTCTATTTAAATACCTATTGCCGTCAAATAACTTTGCTCAAGAGAGATTTGAACGGCTTTTGTTGAGCTTGGCTTGGTCAATTTTCTGCTGCATACTTTTGGTTGCTTTAGAGAAAAGTGAAACATATTTTACTTTTCTAACTTGCGAAGTTGCAGCGTTTTTGCAATTGAGAACCAGGCAAAAAGACTTGGTTCATTGCCCTAGTTAAGACTGCATAAAAAGCTGAGTATATATAGTTGCGTAGCTAGAACTTTAGACTGTATGCCTAGGGTAGACCAGACGGTGTATAGTAATATACAAACAGCTTTACTATGTTATTCAGCTGCTCTTTTAATTCGCAGCAATTGAGCGAATTTGCACTGACAATTGCATTTGCACTAATCAAATCTAAGCCAATCTGAGTACATGCTTGATTTTTCTTACTTACAGTTCTCGCTTTTGGACAATTGTCCGACTTTGATGTGATCGAGATTGCCGCCGAGCATTTCCGCTACGATTTCCTCGACATATTCACGAATGCGGCTGCGCTCGTCCATATTCATTAGGGTCGCGCTGTTGGCGCCGACTTGGCTGACGCTCTCGAAGTCTGCGGGAAATTGGAGCAAGGACTTAGCTGTAATTCGGCTAGTTTCGGCGGCATTTTTACTTACGCATCGAGCTGTCGGCCATTTCTGCACTGATGGGAATATAAATTTCGCTGCGTGCGCGCAAGGGATACACGAACTTTTGCTGATTGAAGGACATCTGTTCGGCCACCCAGGAGGAGGTCTGCTCCAGCGATTGCTTCGAGCTGTGGCACAGTTCGCATACCCATTGCGCCGCCTTTGGCAGCCAATCGGCGCACTTGATGCCGCGGCACACGTGCTTGCCGCACGTGCAGCATGTGACGTAGCTGTGGGAAAGGGTGCAAGTTGTTAGCGAGGGGCTTGGCAGAGGAGGCGTGACAGGTGATTTGTTGCTTACTTTTTGGCACTGCTCAGATCCAGGTCCGCACAGCAGACATTGCAGCTGTGCTGCTCCGAGCTGGCATTCGCCTTCTTCTTCTTAACAGCTATTTTGCTGCAAAACAAACAAAAAAATTCAATTAAAAATCTCTATAAAAATGCTATTTTCGAGCTACTCAACTTATGCAAATGAATTATAACTGTTTGCGCAGTTTTAGCTCTGGATATTCAAGCAACGATTCTTGACACAATTCTACGTCTCTGTTTTGTATACTTTCCTTTTAGCATCAATTTGCATTGATTTCGTTGCGGCTTGTGACGCAGAACCAATTTTCAAATTAGCTAAGAAAGAGCCGAATTGTTGCCAAAAGGTTAAACAACTCTGTGAAGGTTGCGCTTTGCTAATTTTCTGTTTAATTTCAGTTTTTTTGTTTTGCCACAATATGTATAATTAGTTAACGAAACAGAAAACAACATTCATAAGCGATTCTATATTTCATGTTTCGATATATTGAAAACAAGTTCCGTAGCCAAATCGAGACTTCAATTAAAATTTATCATTTTCACACTCTCTTAACTATTTTTCCATTGCATCAATGGAAATGCGGAAGAAAAACCACATGGACCTGTTTGACGAGTAAAAGCGAAAAATTCCCTGCAATTTATCACAATTCATTTACAAGCAACTTGCAAGTACTTGAGAAAGTTTACAACACTGGTCATTGTATAACAGTATAGACAGCTTGCATATGTTGCAAAACCATGTTAAGGCACATCTTGTCGATTGCATAAGGCAAAATGAGGAAGAAAAGCCGCAGTTCAACCAGTTTGATTCGATTAAAGCAAAAATGCCATAAACTGACTTGCAGTTTGTTAACAAGCTACTTGCATTTATTGAACTATAAGTTAAGCTTACAACACTGAACATAGTATAACAGTATGGAAAGTGTGTTTATATAAGAAAACCATAGTGGGAACATCACATCACGTTCATTGAGTAAGAATAACCAAAGTAAAACCAGTTTGAATAGTGAAAAAAGAAATTCTTTAAAATGACTTGCAGTTTATTTACAAGCTCCTTGTATTAATTAATTAATCAGAACATAGCAAAAGAGCATAATGGAAAACCATTTTGGTAACATCACACGCAAAACTTAAATTACATTTAATGCTAGTTTTATGGAGATTACATAGATATATATATATACAGTACTACATGCGCTGTTTGCATATTGATTGTATGTATTGATGTAACATGTAGATATTATGATTATGTCAGTCATTTACAATTTATGCAAATTTCTATACAAAAAACAAATGCACGTAATAGAAACCGAATAATCGAAATTATATGTGTATATGTACTTATATATATAAATATATTTTATTTAATTTTTTTCTTCTTTTTCTTTTTGTATATATATATGCGTATATATTGGTTGGTTAACAACGTGCACAAAATTATAACTAATACACGAATTTATTTTTCTCTTATTCTTTTTTCGCTTTTCTCTTTTGCTTTCAATGAATTGGCAGAAAATTTTGCAATTGTTTACACGCAAACGAAACCGAAAATGATAAAAAATAAAGGCGTCAACTTTGTAGAAATTTGGCTTAGGCTAAATTGCAGAAAACTCAGTCATATATATGTACATTATAAAACGGACAAAATCCCTATAGAAGTTGTTGTTGTTGCTGTTGTTGTTGTTGTTGTTGTTGTAGCAGCTGCTGTTGTCGCTGATGATAACGCATGCGCCTGCGCGCCCAATGCTCGTAGTTGTTCTCGAGATTCTCATAGTAGATATCCTCCTCGTACTCGCTGCCCTCGTCCCAGTCGTCGTGGTTGGGCGGACGGCCAAAGATGTGTGCACTGGTGGTCAGCTTGAGCAGCACCACCTCCATGGTGCAGGCCATGAACAGAAACGCGAATACCGCAAAGCTGATGGGCGTGCAGAGCAATTTCTCCACCTGGCACACCACAACGGACGTAATCAACATGCTGCTGGCTCGTTAAATCTCACTGTTTCTGTTTCTGGACGTTTTGTTGTTGTTGTTGCTGTGTCTTATGCTTCAATTTGTCAGTTTGTTTTTTGTGCTTTTTCTCGGATTATTGTTGTTTATCTCATGGATTGTTTTTTGATTTCGTACTGTAAATGTTTGGCACTGTGTTTGCTGTTGCTTTGGGGCATGGCAGCAAAATTGTTATATTATTCCTTCTGGTTGCAAGTTTGAATTTATTGCGAGTTTTTTTTTTTTTTTGTTCACAGTTTTTGCGAAGCGCGCGCCGACAACAACTTTCTCGCACCAGCTTTGGTTTTGTTATGCGCAGTTCGCTTCGAGCGCGCCTTGTGCGGCCAACAGCTGAGCGCCTGGCAGCGACGTCGACGCACGCAGCTTATGCCGGTTTTTGCATAGAAAGCAGCGCAACGAAACAGCGTGCGCGAGCGAGAGCGAGAGAGCGGCAGAGTGAGAGAGCGAGAGAGCGAGGCAAAAGCAAACAAACATAAATGCCAGACATGCGGATAGACAGGCTGACAAGCTCGTTGATGACGTAAGAGCTTGGAAGTTTTTTTTTTTCTATTTCTTTTTGAGTAATTCACGCGTTGCCAGAAGCCCATAGAAAGAAAAAAAAAAGTACCATTTACAGCTGGCGAGTGAAAAGCTTGGCAAGGCTGACGGCTGACGGCTGACGGACAGCACTGGGACAGTGTTGGACAACCGGGAACGGGACAGCTGATGCTGCCAGCTACCACACTCAAATTCGGTTTTAATGTTGATTAATTGTTTGTTGTCTAGCATTTTCTTTTCTTAATCGTCGAGACTTCATTATTCATTGCAAATTGAAATTGTTGTGGAGTAGACAAAATTCCGCAAACGGGTTTTGATTTCAATCAAATGTTATTTATGCATATTAATTTTAGTTATTTTGAAAATTGTCGCTATTGGAATTTGTGAATTTATTGGACTGTCCAATGATGCGCTGACTAATAAATGGCGCCCAAAATGAAACGAGTTTCTATTTTTTAAGAAACATTTAGAAACAACATCAAAACAAATCATGCTATAAATAATATACATATATCTACCTCTATCTTCTCAATGATTGTTGTGCAATACGTTTTATGCACTTGACTTTCAGCCTCATTGCCAGTGTCAATGCCTCAATTGCTAATTTGCTGCTGCCGTGTGGCAATTTACAGGTATTCATTGTGTTTATACTAACATAAACCGCAAACGTGTAGCTTAACAATTTGCACAAATTTTCATTTTGTTATCTCGTTTAGCTGCCGCCTGAAAACATGCTACAAATATCGCACGCGCTTTGAAGCTATGCAACACTTATTTGGCTTTTTACTTGTTTGGCAACACTTGATTGTTTTTTAATATTTTTAGAAATTGTGCGTTCTTCAACTGCCAAAAACTCGCTTTGACTGCTTTTTAACCACTTTCGTGAAGACACAGAAAAATGAATTCTCTGTCACATTTGTTACACATTTTTTTTGTGGCTTTTCACTTGCTGCGTTTGTGACTTGAATCTAAATTCAACCAGTTTTGCTTCCCATTTCGAGTCACATTAAAGAATTTAACGCAGCAAAAGCAGGTTAAGGCATTTAGGAATTTGGACAAATATTTTAGAAATAAAAATAACACTCATAACCTTCATTTACTTTTAATTAAAGCTGAGCTTAACTAACTGTATATTAAGGACAATTAGTTTTTCTTAGCTCTAAATGAGACTGTACTGTCTTAATATCTGTTATATCTGCTAAAGCTTTAATGTGCTTTTGCATGGTTTGAATTTGCATACATTAAGCTTCAAGTGCCAATTGAGTAACTAAACATATTTGGTTTAAGCTTTTTTAACTAATTTTTTTTTTAGGTTTTTTAACTGGCGAGTTGTTTAATGCACATTTTCTGCTAGTGTAACGCATTAAATACTTTGGCCAACTGACGTTGACAGGCGTTAATTGTAATTATTAAGCCATAAACTGACTGACTGACTTTCCATTTATGCATGAAGCGTCTCTCGTTTTCAGTTTTCCGTTTTCAGCTACTTCAGTGCCAGTCACAGCACCCATTGTACAGAAAGTGAGCTTGGCACTGTGTAAAATGCCAGCCGATGTTTGTTTATACAATTGAAATGCGGAGAAAAAAAGAAGCAATGTTTTTCCAAGTATTGTCATTACTAATACTCAATATATGTATGGTACAATAAACAAGCGCTTAATTAGCCTGGGCAGAAAACACAAAGAATATGCCCAGCTAATTGGTATTGTCAACTCGTGTTGTAGTTATATATAGACACAGCTACCGTTAGCCAAGGGTTCTTAACGATTTCCGCTTCGGGGCGTTTGCCAATTTGTGGCACATTGTTATGAAATGTACAACGAACGGTAAACAATAATCGATAGACAATCGAAATTGGCAACAGCTGCCGTTGACCAATTAAAGACATTGGCGAATCAAATTATTACACAAGCTGCTGAGGAAATCAAACGCTGAACGCAGCCGCCACCAGCCGAATAAGACAAGCCAGAGCCATAACAAAAAACAAACAAGAGTGCTCTAGTCGAGCCTGAAAGACTAGGAGATACCTCGCACAAACTCAAAAACTTCATTTCAAGCACGGTATTTCTAGGCCTTTCAATTCCCGAGTTATGCTTAACAAGCTAGGCTAACAATCGATAATTATCGATTTCGTGCAAAGCTATCGATGATTTGCAAATCCTTAAACCTCTAGCGGAAAGACGCATATCTATATGTTCCTCGATTCTTTCTTTTGGCCTTTCAATTCCCAAGTTTTGCTTAACGGCTAGGCTGGCAATCGATATTTATCGATTTCGTGGACAGCTATCGATAAATTGAAAATCTGAAAACCTCTAGCGCACTCAGACGCATTGCAGATCTATATATTATTCGATGCTTTCCTCTGCCTGTTACATACACTATAATTTAAAATCAAACCCATTTTGTATTAGGTACAGGGTATACAACCCAAACACGGCTCGACATCAATTATGTCAATTCAGTTTGTGCAATTTGTTAAATACTCTTTTTTTGCTAACAGACGCAAACGTAATCAACACGTAACCGAACGTAAAATGAAAATCCGAAATGAAAATGAAGCTGTAAGGCTGCGGTCCATTTCGGATGCCACAGCAAATGGCCAACTCCAAGTTGGCCCAGAGAAATGCGCTGCACGTGCGACAAGTGGCATTTAATTGTGCGTCTCACGTAGCAGGTTCAGCTAGTTGGTGGGCCAAACGTCTCGCTGCCACTCACCTGAGCAAATGTTGGGCGCCGCATTGCAGCAGATAGGCGCCTCCAATCAAGCCCAGCACGCTGGTCAGGCCCAGGAACAGATTGTTGTTGCCACGATACATTGGCAGCTCCATGAGGCAGATGTAGGGTCGCGCCAGACGCTTGCAACACTGCGAAAATGTATTTGTCATTTGTGATTTGTCATTGAATCCGTTGTTCAAACATTGAAGCACACAACACGTTTGCTGGCCCAACAAAAACCCAAACACGAACTCAATCTGGCAATAGTTCTTGGCCGGATTATCAGTCTCGAATGGTAAGAGATATGGCTATCACTGCCTTTGACATTGTTGCTGTACGTTTCTTATCTCAATGCCACATAAACATGAATACACGTAAGTGCGTTAAGTAATAAGTATATATACATCTTTGCCTCAAGCTTTCAGCTTGCATTTGTATGGGCAGGTGCTAAATGGCATGCTCTACGCGGGCTAGTTGAATTTTCTGTGTCGATTTGTGACAGCTGCGCGAATTCTACTTTTATCTATAACTGATTTGTTTCAAATGATCAAACATTAACTTTAAGCATTTGCAAGATGTATTGCTTGGCAAAAATAAAAGATAAATCCTTCGGTTATGTTTTTAGAACTATTTTACATTCACATACGAAATACTTTTTTAAGTTTAAGCTAAATAAATGAACATCTGTTTAAAATGAATGACTAAACTTGTGTGTTTTCTGAGACTGATTAAACACTGGCTGCCTCATTTACTTTTTGCGCTTTACAACACACACAGCCCTTTAAGTGTGCTTTTTTTGTTATGTCAAAAAGCTTCTGAAAGCTTTAATTGAGATAAATTATAAAAGAAATCAAGTGACTTAGAGCTTGTTATATACAAATCTCTTTATGAGCGATTTCTGATTATGATTATTGTATTCGTGATTAATCCTGATTAATATGGTTACTTTATAGAAAGTGAAGCATGATTAATCACGTAAGATTTAAATACAAAAACAAAGCAACTGCATGATTAATCGGAAATACATGCGTCATTTTAAGGTAGTTTCACTGTAATTGAGAGCATAAATTGTTGTCAGATATCTTCCTGCACTGCAGTTTTTTATCAAAATACCAAACAGCTTTTCACAAATTGAAGCTTGGACGGAGTACAAATTCATAACCCGTGTACCTGCTTATCAGGTGATAAAACAAGCTCGGTGTGTGCTCTCAAAGTTATTTTTAATCACTATCAATCACGAATGTATTTGTTTACTTGTTTACTTCTGAGTCGTTTGAAGATTAAACATAACTGATTAATGCGAAGAAGTTTCCTGTCTTTTGTTGTTAATGTTGTCGGGGCGTGATCAAATGTCTTATATCAAGATGCTCTGGCACGTTGTCTAACACTGGTCACCGGCAATTGTGTGTGCTTCAATGCAAAAACATGACAAATGCTTTTTTCACTTGGGCGGACATCAAAGTCGCTTATATTAATAGTTTTTATTAATTATTGTCTCTTCAACTATGTATTGTTGTCTTGCGCTTAAGTAACATAAACTTCACGGCGTCAGCTTTGAATAAATAATTAACCGAGCTGAGAACTTTTTGCTTTGCACTCAAGTATTTTAACAGCGATTATCAATCACTTTTTCGATATTTTTAAAAAAATTTTTTGCGAACGCGGCGCTCGTTAATTGAGCCAAAGTTGATTGGGCCCGGGCACCTCTCAACCTCCGGCCGAGTTCGATCACGTGGCAGAGTCTCCAGTCCAGTATCTATGTATAAGAAATTGCGTGCACTTCTTTTGCTCTTGGCCATTTACCTACTTTTCCCGCCAGCTACTAACTAACTGACTTGGCCAGATCTCGACGCGATCTTAGCGCAAAGGTAGAAAACTCAAGACTGCGACTGCGACTGCGTCGTTGGGTTTACTTTTTACTTTTTCCCCCCTCCATTTTTTATTTTTTTTTGCATTTTAACGCTATTTATTATTGTTGTAGATATATACGGAGGGGTATTATATAGTCTTGCGTTTTGTTTGTTTTTGTTTTAAAAAAAAAGTCAGGTATTCACTTTTTGCGGCTTTTGATTTGATAACAACGCGCCGCGAGCACAATGATAAATAAATAATCATAAAAATAATAATAATAAAGAAACAACAACAACAACTTTTTCAAAACGAAGAAGAAGCTACGAACGTTACGAACAATTTCACAGATAAGTGTCAAGATTTTTGAGGTTATATCACAAGCTCCTTATAATTGGGACAGTTGGTTCAAGAGCAACAATTTTATATAGAAAATTGGGCTGGATTTTTAATATAATTATAAATTTTGAATTTCGATTATTTATGGGAATTTCTATTGTTTAATTTTATTATTTGTGTGCGTTGTGGCGAGTATCCAAAGTGGAACTGGACTTATTTAGTCATAGTTTCTGGCCGTGAGGAAAAACTAAATCGCGTTTGTTGCGAAGATAACAAAGAATCAAAAGCGTAGAGAAAGGGCGACAAATGAATAACAAAGGTAGACACAAAATGGGCTAAAGGGACAGCTGAATGAATTTCTCATTAGCCAGCTCTTGGCATTATGCAAATTGTGGCTGCCACAAAGCAACCGCCATTTGGGGCCGCACTTTGTGGCATGTGCCGCTGAACTTGGCCAAACCAAACTGAAAATCGATGCGAATCAACAAAGCGCCGCATTACGAGCTGAGCACATTCCAATTGGGTCTGTTGTTGATTTGGCGGGCCAATTAATTGGCATTCATCAAATTAATTACGATTTTAGTGATAAGATAGACACAAGCGGAGCACGCCTATAACACTGATAAGACGCAAGGTGAATTAAGAATGTGCTGGAAGTTGGCGTAAATACTCCAAAAAAAAGAGCAAAAGTTCAAGTTAAGCCGAATATTTTGTGCGCTACAAGAGTAGAGGGTAAGAGAGAGCGAGAGAGAGAGAGAGAGACAGACAGAGAGATGAAGACAAAGGTAGAGCTAGAAGAAGAACCATTCAGAGAGAGAGAGAGACAGAGAGAAAGAGAGAGAGAGAGAGAGAGAGAGAGAGAGAGAGAGGGAGAGAGAGAGACTAGAAGAAGAAATATTAGGCTTTAAGATATAGATATAGAAGAAACAATAAGCTAAAACTCTCAAGAAACCCCTAGAGACAAAGAGACAAAGAAAAAGAACTCTGAAGATCATTTCAGAGATTTAATCTAAAAAAAATCTGTTATATCCTAAATGAAGTCTTTAACAAAAGATCCGTTAGATCCTAAATGTAGTCTAAGCTTAAGAAGAGCGCTTCAGAAATATATCCAGATCGGTTCCAGCTAGCTTTGATATAGTTTTGAAGAGTCTTAAGCCTCTCAAATTAAATGGGTTTTATGTCTGAAACTGTATCAAGGAAGATCACACGGTGTCAGACGCTTAAAAGCTATTTGGAAAATTTCAATCCAAAATTATAAAAGAAACTTTCGATAACATCAGGAATGCAACTGTAATTATGCTTCGATAGTTCCGTCAAATGCATATGAAAATCGATAACCGAAGAAAACTTTCGATAACTTTTTAAAACATCCAAAAGTGCTTAAAATTCCCAAAAATTAAAATTAAAATCTGTGTAGAATAAAACTTTTAAAATGATTATATTGTTATTAAAATATCAAAATAAATTCAAGATATTTCGAATAGACTCATTAGGCATTGTATTTGAGTGGATGTTCGCATAGGAATGCAAAAGTTAGCACATATGTATATTGATAATAGTTTTGGGTTATTCTTGGCCAAGAAGCAAGAGCTAAAGTTAATGATGATACTACACAAGCTGCGAGCATATACAGCTAACAAAATTGTTAACGATGTGTTCATCTTCGAGTGTCTGACTTGGCAATAAAAAAAATCATTTTGAAGATGAGTAATGAGAAGAGTTTTCTCGGTTTTGTTTTTCTTCTATTTTTTCTGATTTTTTTAATGCTTTATTGTGTTGGCCGTCGAGTGGGAACACATGTATTCCCAGAAGAGCTCATTCAGATGCGCCTGGCATTATTTTATTGCTGACTGCACCTGTGAATTTTGTCATTTCGGGCAATTTCCTCTCGCCGCAATTGAGGTCGACAATTTACATAAATAATTGAAAAAAAACTGCAAATCTCAAGAGACGCCTGCCACAATCACAATAACAATCGTTAATGGATGCAGTTTGTCGCACTTTGTTGTGCGTGTGTGTTGGCCATAAAAAGCACTCGAAACGCACCCAAACAAAATGCTAATCAAATAGACAACTGACTAAACAGCAGCAGCTGCATCTGTGGCATGCACAGATTGAAAGATCCACAAGATGTTTGCCAAGCCCAACCAACATCAACATCAACAACAACATCCGTCAACGAACATTTTTGAATATACCTTGCCACGGGGCATCATAAATTTACAATTATGTTCGTATGCCTCGCATATCTGACTAAGTAATTGGGAAATTTCCATGAAAATAATCATAATTCATGCGAATAAAACTTTATATAAGAGAGGTTTGTAAATGTTGTAAATGTTGGCGTTTCGGCTTTTAAGAGTCGTTCATATTTGTGGGTTATGTAGAAACGCGAGAATTTTCATTTAATTATAGATACTTTCAGAAGTTATGATCATTAGGATCATATGACATAACTCTTATTTCTGTCCCTTGTCTGAAATCTGAAATTCAATCCTTTTTTTCGAGAAAACTTGCTCAAATTCCAGACTAGTGTATACATATCTTACTATCTTAGACGAATGACAATAATAATATATTAAATAATAATGATAATAAAAACAATAAGAAGTATAATAATATTAGTATTCATAAATATAATAACAATAAGAGTAATAAGCATATTAATAATAATTATAATAATCATAATAATAATGAAAACAAATGAAATAATACGAATGATAATAAAAATAATCAATAATAAAATTAAAATTGATTTCTATTGATAAATATCATCATGAAATTGTGTAATTTGCGTTAGATAAAATCGGAACTAACCTTAATCTGTCGCGCAGCTGCTGATATGTGGGCTGATCCCGTTGCAGCAGCTGCAGAATGCGCTGGCATTGCTGCAGACGCTGGCGCAGCTTCAAAGCTTGCGTATCCATCTCCGGGACGACAATGCCGCTGTCGACGCTGCTGTTCAGCTGCTGTCCAGGGCTGCTCTGCGGGCTGTCGCCCGTTGTTGTTGTTGTTGTTGCTGCTGCTGCTGCGCCGACTGCAGTTGCGTCGGCGGCCATTTTGTTATTGTTGTTGTTGTTGTTGCTTTTGCTGTTCGCTTTTGGTATTTGGCGCTTTCGCTTCACTTGAACCCGCTTGACACACAAACGTTCACTTTTAATCACAAATGTTATTTTGCGCTAAGCTATTTCCGCACGCACACACACACACACACACACACACGCCAGTTGCAAACATGCAAATGGAGTGCCTGGGAAGCGGCCGTCGGCGCCTCTGCTGCGCTGCCAAGTTCAGCAGTCAATGGGAATTCTCGCGCACTTCTCAACACTATTTTACACACTTTTTTTCCTGCGCGTATTTTGTTTATTTTCTTCTCCTGCTATTTTCATTCACTTGTCGCTCTGCGCGCATATTGTTGTTAATTACGCGCCCGTTTTGGCCATTGTTTTTGGCCTCTTACCAGGGCCCATTGGCGCTTATCAGCTGCAGCGATATACAAATTTTTTAAGTTCGGCTGGGCGGGGCTGGCGAGTGGGGGGGCTAGAGAATTTCACTACAGCTCGTGTGTTTGCCCTTACGAAACATTTTGTACTGCAAGCAAAAAATATAAATAAATACATAAGAACATTGCAATCGGCTGTAGACGACTGCGCAATACTCTGCACAAAACTGTGATTGAGCTCTCTCTGTAATGTTGTCTTTGTACATGGTTCAAACCCCGATCTGAGGGGGGCGCATGTGGGAGTGGCTTATGTATTTATTAAGCATGAGCTGCCCGTGTGAAAAAGTCTTTAAAACTGAACCTGACTCAAAGTGAAGACAATAGAGCTGTTTGCCGCGTTTAAACTAGATATTTCAAGTTTTGGATCTGTAACTAATGTCCGTGACAAACCTGGCATAGAAACCAACACAGACTATTGCATCTTGTGAGCGGAGTATAAGTTGATTTTTTCGGTTTATTTTATGGCCAGAATAAACAAGTCGCGTTTATTGTTCTTGGGAGATAACGCTTTAGTCGCGGCAGAGTATCTGCATCTGCAGCAGCTGCTTATCTCGGCCGGCTCGGTTCGGTTCGGTTCGGTTCGTTTAGGTTCTGAGACTGAAAGAGCTGACGATCGCGACTAAGAGACGCGGCACATCTGACTGTAGGTACAAGTATTTTCCAATGATATGCGAGCAGAGTTTGCCGCACGCCTAAATATGTAAATTGCCAAGACCTAGAAAGGCACGTAGCCGCATTTGGTAATTTCATTTAATGCACTGCCATCGATTTGCATAGTTGGTGAAAGGGAGGGCGGGAGGGGAGGAGTAGGGGGACGACTTGACAAAAAGCCCTCAGCATTGAGAAAGCTGCTCGGCCAATCTCCTCGAGCGCCGCTCGCTCATCAAGGCACGCAGACGGGCAGACAGACAGACAGACAGACGGGCAGACAATCAAGTCCATAACCATATTGAAACACAGCCCCTGGGGCAGCCGAAGCAGTCAACATGGCGTTCAAAAAAAGTTTTGCAAATCAAAATCCGAAACACAAACTTGAAAACGCAAAGAGAAATTCTAAGACGACACCTGCGAGGGCAATTCGAGAAATTAGCCGAGAAAAAGTGAATTGGGCTCAGATATATAATTATAATATAATAAAATCGAAATAAAGAAATATATGAGTACTAATTTGACTTTTTTTAATATAAAACATATTTTTTCCAAGTTGAAGCTATTTCTATCTTATTAATGAGCACAAAAGGTCTAAAACTTGATTAAAGTTTCTACGTACTACTTGAAATAAGAATATCTCACTTGAGTCAAGTTTTACCGGTATTAAAAAACTTTCAAGACCTGTTTTACTTGATTCAAGTAAGAATATGTTCATGTTTTTCTCCATGTGCAGCGAATTAAATGGAATTTAGCTGAGAATTTGGGCAAAAAATAGCTTTCTTGACGGCGAAATTTGACTTTCATTTATTGGGCAAATTTGAGCAAATCTCAATAAACCGCTAACTAAATGTGTAAATAATGATAGCTCATTTCAAATATCAGCTCTAAATAATTAAAATTAATTTTGAGTGTTTTTGCCCTAAAGCACATATTTTTAGAGCTCGCCTCGCAGTTGTGGCACATGTGGAGGATAGTTGCCAGTTGCCAGTTGGGGCAGTTAAATAGATGACAGATGAAATGCCAGAGTCTCTGTCGCAGTTGATGATGATGATGATGAGGATGATTATGATGATGTTGGCCAGTTGCAGATACATTTGTATCTGTGTATCTCTGACTGACGAAGCATTAAACGAGCGGAAGATACAAACAAAACAAGACGATTTTGTATCGCATTTCCAGACAACGGGACATGGACTGACTCAAGACAGACTCAAGACGCACTTGTTGATTGTTTTTGCCAGTTTTGTTGTTGTTGTTGTTGTTGTTCGGGTTCTTGTTGTTGTTGTTGTTGCTGTCACGAACATTTCTTATGCTCAACTAAAAAGTTCACTTGTCTTTAAGCCAGCTGCGGGCTACGGGTTTGCAGACTGACCGCTGCACGAAACAACAATAGAAAATGCCTTGTGTGTGTGTGAGTGTGTGTAGTAGTGTGTGTGTGTCTGTCGGTCAGGTGAAAACGTTTGTGAATAGGGTTTTTGGGCGGATTTGTTCGTTATAGAAAATGCAACAAAGCCCCAAAATCATGATATGCAATTTTGTGAGCATAATTAAAAATGCATTTCTCAGCTACTGTTGCCAACTATCGGAGAGAGAGAGAGGGGGGGGAGGGGGGTAGGGGGAGAGAGAAGAGGAGAGTATTACAACTTTTGTAATGTAATTTGTAAGCACATTTTGAGCATAAATCAGTTTGAGCCAAAGAAGCTCGACGTATATGAATACATTTTTGGTAAGGGTATTCAAGCTTCGGTAGCTATTTCTTTTTTTTTTGATTATCATAGAGCTTTAGTTATGTGCACAGGTAGTTGGGGACCTTTTGTACTAGAAATTGATTTTCAAATCAAATCTGCAGCACATTGCCCAATGGCAACAATTGTTGTTGTTGTTGCAGTTGTTGTTGTTGTCGTTGTTGTTGTTGTTGTTGTTGCTTTTGCTGTTACGTGTTGGCAGCTTGGATGCGGCATATCTAGACTTGAGATTTGTGCAATATTCACACAATTGTTTTGCCTTGCATGTCGCTTTAAGTGGTTACAGTAACTAATTTGATAATTAATTAAACAATGACAGCAATTCCAGATGCAATTGGGTCAACAGCAAAATGGGCCAGACGGATATTAACAACATGTATTATTTATAAATGTTTGCATGTGTATGTATTTGCATATGTACATGCAATTAGTTAACAAGACGGCTAAGTATACAAGCGTTTAAGCGTACAGTGAAACAACTCTACAATGAACCCTGTCAGGCAGATCTTCCTTAGAGTCAATCGATAATAATGGGAAATAGATGGACGTACTAAAGTCTTAACATAGTCAAACTAGAGGTTCGCCCTAGGCAGCTTTCACTGTACCTGCAATTAGTTAACAAGCCGGCAAGTATACAAGCTTTTAAGCGTACAGTGAAACAACTCTACAATGAACTGTGTCGGCTTCTTCTGCTTCTTCATAATCGATAAATTGGCTGGGCAATAGATGGAAGTACTAAAGTCTTAATCAAACTTGAGGTTCGCCCTAGGCAGCTTTCACTGTGCCTGCAATTAGCTAACAAGCCGGCTAAGTACACACAGGGTTTATATTTGTTAGCCGTAGCTGAACGTCTGCGCAGCAGGCAATCGCTTAATTAAAATTTGGACAAATATTTTGCATGCCGCCGGGCGAATGATTGATGTCTGCGGCTTGAGTTGAGGTTGTGGTGGAGTTGGAGATTGATGTACTGCGAGAAAGGGAAATCTTTTGGTATTAATTACGCGCAGATGTATCAATAAAACTTTTACTAACGGTTTCACACCCATCCCTCCCCCTCCCCCTCCCGCCGCTGACGAACTGTCGTTTCATTGGGAAATTGGCCAACAACAACAACAACAACAACGGCAATTGTTGGTAGCTGGAAGCCTCTTAGGCGCCCAAAACGAACGGAAGTTGGTAACGTCTCTTGGCGCGTCTCAGTTGCCACTTGGCTCTTAAATATTGTTAACTGATGCTGGCCAATTGGTTTTGCTTTCTGCTTTGCTGTTACTTAAGTAATTTACTTCTTTTTTTTTCTTCTGTACGTAAAAGTTGTTTTCTCAAAATTGGCGTTGAAAAAAAAAATGAAAATGAAAAACCAATCGATCAACGGAAGCAATTTCAACTCTCTTTTCCGCTTTTAAGTTTTTTTCCTACACACACACACAACACTGGCCCTGTCCCTGTCCCTTGTGCCCTTCTGCACTTGTTTGCTACGTTTGACACTTTTCGTCATTTTATTTTGTGCGCTCATTTTTCGGTGTCCGCTTTGCGCATGAGTCGCTCGTTTTAGTTTAACACTGACATATCGCACGCTCCAGTGACCCACTAGGAGAGTGCACTAAACACACACACACTCTCACGCACACATATGCACAGGCTATAAGGTCTAGGGTTGCCTATGGCTTTTACTCCCTCGCTGTCCCTGAGCCCTTTTTTATTTTTATCACCAGTTTCGGCTCATATTGTTATTGTTGTGTTTGCGCTTCAACGGTTTTAGCTTCGGCTAAGGTTCACTTATCATTGTCCATTGCACGACACGTTTTGTGCTATTGTTGTACACCAACAACAACAACAACAAATTTAGTTATATATAACAACAATAATAATAAGAATAATAATAACAATAACAAGCGCTGCCCGACGCACATTAACTGTGTATATCGCTCGCTCTGCTCTGCCGTTGCGTGAGCTCCGCGCAAACGTTCAAACGCGAATGAGAGTCGTCGACGTCGACGCTGTTAAGTCGAGCTTTGTGTCGTCGTCGTCGTCGTCGCTGCGCAGCTCTGCTGCTGCCGCGCAGTCGCTGCTTGTTGCGCTCTCTCGCTTTGCTGTTTGTTGCGCTAAACAGCTGTCACGACCAGGCAGCAAAAACAACAAAATTAGCGGCAAATTTTGTTCTGGTTTTTGTCATTTCTTGTTTGTGTTTTTTTTTTTTTTTTAATATTTTTGCCTGCCGACCGTAGGGGCTAAACATGTTTATGGACCAGGGGTTGCAGCTGGGGGTAGCTAAACAAGTTTGGCCAGCACAATTCAAGGGCAACGCCTGACCAAAGCGACCAATTAGCATTGCGAACCTCTCATACGCACTTCTTACACTCAAACTCTCTCTCCGCTCTCTGCATTTGCAAAACTCGCCTCAGGCAACTCTCCCGCCCAAAACTCTCCTCTACCCGTTTGGTCACACGACCAAACTTTGACGCGTCGCATTAATTTGTATGCCATAAGGAAGCAGCATAAAGGGAAGTGCAAAAACAAAACGAAGAGCAGAAGAAATGCAAAAGATGTGCCGTAAAAGCACAAGCACAGTGACCAATGCGTTTGTGTTCGGTTTCGGTTACAAAAGTTCAGTTAGCCAAAGAAGCCTCTCTATAAATAGACGTTGTTTATGGGTCGGTCAAATGAATCGGGAAATGCCCTACGCCAAAGCCGAGTCCAAGCTGGCTTCATGCAAAACCCATTGCAGCGACAAGCACGGAATAGGAAGCGTTTAACTACCTATGAAAGACATTTGATACGTCAGGCGGTCCAACAATAGTGACAGCAACAACAACAACAACAACAACGGCAACGGCAACAGCGACAGCGATATTCACAGTCCGTCACACACACACACACACACACGCACACGCATATACACACACATGCGCGCTGCCAGAGTTTATTTTTTCTTCGCCGTTTTGTTAATTTTTTTCCACAATTTTTCTTCTATTTTGTGTATTTTTTTAATGTACTTTTTACGTCTGACTCGTACAGCTGCCGCCCCTGCCTCGACCTCTGCCGCTGCCTCTGCTGCTGCCTCTGCTGGTCAACAGCACCGGCACATTGCACCTGACACAGTCGTCCGGCCAGCAGAGACCCAGACTGAGGCGTCTCAGTTTTGGCTATTTTTCGAGCATTTCTTTCCGCTCACTTTTTTAGCGCACTTTTGTATCGATACGGATCGGCTTTTTTTTTAGTTTCTGCCAGCTGCCGGCGAGAGAGGCAAGTGCCGTTGCCTAAAGCCTGGCTAATGGCAGCCAAAGTGGCCCATCATCATCCTTGGCCAAGTCATCGCGGAATGCACAAGAGCCCGACTGACCGTTAAGCTTGGAAGAAATGCGAAGAGAGCAAAACAAAGCTCTAGTCGGGAGTGCACGACCGGGCGATACCCTGGACTGCTGCCAAAAAACATTCTAATCCCAACTATGGGAAATTCTATTCCTGATTCATTTCAGTGTAGATACCGAGAAGGAAGACGGACGGGCGGAGGAGCATAGCCAGATCGACTAGGCTCGTCGGCCTGATCAAGAGTATATATATATGTATATTTTATATTGTCGAAGTTGCCTACTTCTGCCTCGTCATTCTACCCTCTTTGCACGTTCTTAATGTGTTCAGTTAAGAAACAGAGTTAACAAGAAAACTAAGAATTCAAATCTAATGGCAACGCATTCCTCAGGTGCTTTTGACGTACAGCCGGACGGTCAAAACCTGTGCTAGATCTTTACATCAATCGACAATAAAATTCGCTATTGGCCTAACTTAGAGAAAGTCATTCAGCAACCACTTTCGATGCTTCAACAATGTAGTTTCTGTTAATTTGGGTGTATAATTTAATAGCCATAGAAAATTTAATAGTTTGCCCAAAGCGTGAGAATTTCGCCAACATCTGAGGCATATTTAATCATAATAACAATATCTTGATTTTTGCATATTTTTAGACATACTTTTGAAGTTTACGCAAGAAATTGACAGCTCGGGTTTTAACGTGGCAAATGGGCCTGAATCTACCTGGATCATGTCTGAAGTTTTGTTAACAAAATTTTGGTAAATGAGTTTAGAGACAATCGAAATAGGAATCAGAAGTCGGAAACAAGGTTTTCTTCAATTCTAGATTGAAAATATTTGATTAAACAATATTTTTAAAATGTTTTTGATTTCAACAATACAAAAGAAGTTATTACTTACTCGCCAATTTGACTGACAACGTTGATTTAATATTTGTTCTTATCTTTATGGCCTTGGCTGAATTTCAATATTCAAACACTTTTGCAAGCGTTAAGGTAAGTTTTAAGTTGTGCGTGAGGGGAGAGATTTACAGCTATTCGGACAAGTAAATGTATGATTTATGGCAAACATATTGAGACTGCAATAAAAAAGATTGAATTAAGAGCAGCAACAAGTGCTTGCTAGCAGCAACTGCACACGAAACACCCTGTGCCGCGACAAACAACAGCATACTTTTAGGCGCTGGCTTTAAAGAGCATTTGTGGAATATGCGGAAATTGGCTCGCTTACGCTTTGATGAAGTACATTGATGAACAGTAATAACTTAAAGCCAAGTTATTAGCCAATATGCTGCCATAATAACAGTAAAAGGTGACACTCCTGTGCTTGTTTGTACCTGCGCATTGGCGAGCAGCGGGCAGAGCGCAGCATCCACAGCATCCAACAGCTGTTGTGGAACCTGAGTAGGTCCTATAAAATGGCCAAAGGCAACAGCATTCGCAGTAGTCCTGGTCCAGTGCTCGAAGCAGCTAAGACAACATTTTCACTCCTTCCCCAACCAAGAAACGGAACAATTAAACCGTTTCACGACACAGCGTTTTCTGCAGCTCCTGTGCAAAAAAAACCAAAAACAAACAAACTGCGAGTCGTGTGCATTGTGAATTACATTTAAATTGTGAATGTGAGGCAAGTGAATAAATCTCTGTCTGGGACACACTTTAATAAATAAATACCAACCTTTCTCATTCAAAAAGTGGCGCGACTGCCTGTAAACTTACGCTCACACACACACACACACATACACACTTATACACTCATTCGCACACACACACACATGCGCTGGCATTTTAGCGCGCTTTTGTGTTGTGTGTCCCGGCTGCAGCGACAGCTACAACAAACGGGGTAAGTGAAGCCCCAACCCCTGGCCCCTGCCGCCTCCCCCCCTCACACCTGTGTTGAGTGCTTTGCATTTCATTTGCTCGCAATTAAGCGAAATTGCATTAATTGCACGCGCGTTCATATACAGATGGCGGCGACTGTGTTCAAGCTCAAGCGCGGCAACAACAAGCCAGAAGCGGCAGAGTACACGGCATAAGAAGAAGAGTAAAGCAAATAATAACAAAAACACGTGTGTTTCTTTCTTCAGACAACTAAAACTAAATCCATAAATTGATTTTTTGACATGCATTCATTTGCTTTTTTTTTTTTTTGTATTTTACGTACATACATATATATATTTTTAGCACAAGATTAAGAAGCAGCACAAGCATTGCAGTTGCCCAGGTGTCGTCTTTCTGGGCAGAGCCCAAAAGCCCACTTAAAGACGACGCTAGACAATTGGCAAAAGCAAAAGCAAAACCACACAGGCACAGGCCAACCGGTTGATGGCTGTGTGTGTGCGTGCGTCTGTCCCTGTGTGTGTGCGTGTAGCGCTCCCTTTTCCACACACACACACACAGACACAAGCGAACGGCTGACTATTGGCGAGTCGCAACTATGAAAAGCTTCACACACAGTCTGTTGCCTGTGTGCCCGTATGTTGATTTTTTTTGGTATGTCTCCCTTTGTGTGTGTGTGTGTGTGTGTGCCCGCAGCACTTTTGCTGCGCTTGAATGTGTGTGTGCGTGTTTTGTCTGTGGCGTGAATTTTGTGACGCAATGCTTGGAGGTTTTTGAACTGAAGTACTTTCAAACTTCCTCTCTCGCTTTCTCCCTCTCTCGCTCTCTTCGCTTGGCTTAGGTATCGCATGCTAAACACATTAAAGCAGCAGGAGCAAAGGGCTTTAAATAAGCTTTAATCAACAGGAAGGAAACAAATTGGAAGCGGGCGTTCGCATGCGAAAAACTAAAAGTAAACTGTAAAATGTAAAAGTTTCTGACACGTACACTTTGAGAAAAGTAATGCTATAAATTAGACTTTGACCAGGATACAATTTACACGACATTGTGCTTAAAATATTGAGCATATTTCATGCGGGCAAATTCTCTGAGCAAGATTCAGTTTTGATTTAACATATGAGCTGTAAATTTAAAGGGAAATTCAATTGAGAACTGGTTCTGTGTAAAAAAAGATTCTTCAGAGAAGATTGCATTGCCTGGCTTGTATTTTCACCAGATTTATAGTCCCAAAAATACTTATTCTAAAAATAAGCATTGTCAAAGCAAGCGTGAAACTTTTTTTAGCACTTGTAATTCAGAATTTTTGTTTTAAAACAGTTCTTGGTTTAAGATTTCAGTGCTTAGATTAAGAATTTTCAGCCTGTTCTGCATTTTAACCACATTTATAGCTCGATAATTTTCGCCAAGTGCAGCCTAGGGGCACTTGCAATAAAAGAGCACAATGGCTGGGCCAAATCATTGATTGGACTTGGAAACTGGGACAGTTCCGTTTGGAAATGGTAGCTTAACTTTTAACCTGAACTAAATAAACTAGCGTCCATTGTTATCAATTAGGACACGCTCGACTGCGGCGTGCAATGAATTGACCGATTACAACAAATCTGCAGCTAAATGCGACCTTGCCACACAGTTGCTGCAACACCAATAAATAAGGAAACCACCGAAAGAAACTAACGAGCGGCACATAAATAAAAAACCAAAAAGAGCAAAGTGTGCAGTGTTGTCCACAAAAGGACACACACCCAATGAAAGTCCACGGGCCAATGTGAAAAATGAGCCAAGCGGAAGCTGATAAGCAGAAAAACAAG